TTGTTAACTTTCAATGGAATCTAATTAGAATGCTTGTACATGCAGCTGAAAATTTCATCTTGAAATTTGTTAATGAGTGAAACGATGTCAAGATTTGCAGTGAGATACTTTTTTAAACATTATATTGTGTTCATATCGAGACTTTAACCTGCATATTTACAAAGCCATGCTTGCATGTCTTTAATATTATGTCAGTGTCATAAAAATTATTAATTGAACATGTTTTTGTAGAATGACTGTTATATAATTCTCATTTGAGAGAACACGCATAGGGTTAAAAGGACATGGAACAGTTTCAGCTGATTTTTTTTTAATCAATCTTAATCATGTTTTACAATTCCTAGCTAAGACAATTCAAACGACAAGCAAAGATTCGAACATCATTTGTTGATTTACAAAGGAGAGAACTTAAAAATCTTCATAATGTAAACAAGACGTGCGCCTTGTTCTTGTTTTCATATTGAAAATATATTCATACCAAAAAGTAATTCAGCAAATCACTAGAAACTGCATGTTTGGTCGTATTTAGAATCAACTTTATTGAAAGAATCTGCTTTGATCGAACATATTATTATTAGTATATCTAACTTATATGTAAACAAAAACATGGCATGTGCCCTGTTTACATTATAAAAGTTTGGAGCTCTAAATCTGTCATGTATCTCGACCACTGAAATTCAAAGTTTTGATGGTCATTAGAAATAACCGAGTTAAATATTTGTCAACATGAACAAATATATTTTTTGAAATTTTTATCTGCATCTGTGTCCATGTCCCTCCAAGTATTTACTGCCCTTATTTGATATTAACAATTTAGCTTTTGATTCGGTTTTATCATTTATTTGAATAGATGAAATGTACAAGTACAAATTCAATGTACATGATCATGAATGATGTCACTGACTATAGAATATGTCTTTATAATCGAACTGTCAACATGTGACTTCACTTATTTGAATGGTTGATATGACCTTAATAATTTTAAATTTGTAAAATCGCATTTATCAGAATTTAACCTAATATCTGCTTTAGGAAAATATATATGGAAAACCAAGAGGGAAACTGGTTCCTCTTAAAATTTTAAACCATCGTATTTCCGTCAATAATCATCGAAACTAAATGTTCTAATCTTATCTTATCTTATTAAGGTACACTAACATACTCAAAATAAATTCAACTAAATTAACAATATGAATAATATTGTTTTCAAACTCCTAATCTTTCCCTAATTCATTTTTAGTCTTAATTTGTCATAAAACAAAACAAACAAAACAAAAGCATATCAATCAAACTATCAATGGGAAGATTCATAAATGGTTACAGCAAACAACAATTTTCTGACAACTCAAACACAATGAAAATGATTGTCAATGTCCTGTCTTGGAAGTTAATGAAAATAAAAAAATTATAATATTTTCTTTGTTGAATCTGTTAACTTATTTGCGCTATAGTTTTACTTCTCCTCGGTCTGACTTCTCGATCCACTAGGTTCAAAACTGTACAGTCTAACTTCGTTTTGACATGTTAGTAAAAGCCTCGGTCTAGATCCCATTACAGCTACACGAACTGCCATTGGATTGTCGATTGCTTCGTCTTTGTCTTTAGAAAGAATCTGCCTCACAAACTCGCCATTCATGTTCAATTGTGATACATTGTTGGTACTACACCCTACAATATAGATATTCCCATCAGGATCACAAGAAACTCCTAGAGGATAGCTCAAATGTTCGTGTTCGAATGTAAATTCTTGGGTTCCCAGTTTATCATCATTCAGAACATAAACTTTACCATTTTCAATATGGTGCGAATAAATGATACGTCTAGAATAAAGACAAAGTCCATATACGTAGCCCTTTTTGACTGTTACGGTGTGTAGAATGGTTCCGTTGTCGTCAATATGTCGGAGCAATCCATCGGTTGAGGAGACAATGAGAGTACCATTGTCACAAGCAATTCCATTCGGTTTGAATGATAGATTGAGTATTTTGGTAGTAGTCAGAAAGGGGCTTTTGTCCATTGCCAAATCAACAAATTCTATGCTTGAACGTGGTGAGCGAATGGTGACTGCAACCGACAATTCACCTGTTTTTGTCATTGCCCAAGGTTTCCCTGACAATTTACCCGATGCAACATGACATTCGTTAATATGGAAGAGATCCAATAAATTGTGATTGTCGCATATTGCAAGAACATGGTCGTCTCTAATGGCTTCAACGTCTGTCAGTCTGCATCCAGATTTAACCAAGACACTGCCCAGAACTAAAGTGGAATTCAAATAATCAGTCTTTGAATTTGTGTCCGTTTCCTCAACAACAAGTTCGCCAAATGGTTTTGGTTCTTGCAGAATTTTTGTCAGAATGGCATCATCCTCTAATTTTATATCAACACTTTTATAACTGGATTGAACTGCACCTAAATTTTCCTTAAGGGAATTATAATTTTTCTGTATTTCCTTCCTTGCAAGGAAAAGTGACATCTTGTTTTTATCGTTTGGATTTTTTAATTTTTCAATGTCGTTATCAAGATTTTCTTGAAAGTCGGATAACATTTCGATCTTATTCACAAATTGTGTGTTTTTGTCCCTCTCAACTCTCTGTAGCTGTTCTATAAATTCAGCCTCTTTCTCGTCCAAAAACTCTACCATCAACTGTTTTATTGATCGTATATGCGAACGAACATCATCAACTTTAACATTGAATTTCTCTTTACTCTTAGTAATGTTAGCTGTGTCGTCTATACATTCTCCTTTCAAATTTTCTAGTAATTCTCGCAATTTCTCTACTTCATTATCATCACTTGCCTGTTTAGCACATTCCTCCAAATTTTCGACCTTCTCGCATTTACGATGCTCTGTCGTTGCACACATCAAACAACACGCCTGCTCATGATCAAAGCAATACACCTCTAGTTTCCGATCAGCATGTTTTTCACAAAAAAGTTTCATGTTAGAACAACATTTCTCTGTTTCAGCATCATCTAGCGACAGCACGCGGTGTTCCATAGACAAACGGTTAGCGTGGTGGCAGTTGGCGCATTTCTCGCACAGATCGTCACAGCAGTCGATACATCGTGACGTAGCAAGTTCAACCGAGTTCATACGCTGACAGATGTCGCAGGATTTTTTGTTGGAATTTTCCACACGTGCCATGTCTGTATGCAAAACAAGTACACCTACACTCGGGTCACGTAGTTTGTTCACTATGCTAAAATATATGCAATAGATTTAAGGAGATAACATTACTTTTACAGCAAACCTCGTCCTTTGTGTTTCCTTACAGTACAATGTATTGCGTTATTCCACTGATTTTTCCACAAACACTGCACTGTTTTATCTAGCCACTTTCGGAAAATAAAACACACGTGTTTATCTGTCAGGTGAATTGAGATTCTGCGCTTTCGCAGCGCAATGTTATCTTTAAATTGCGGAAATGTTTCACACCGCAGTAAAAAAAAGCTACCAATTTAAGACAACTGGATTATTTTTGAAACGTTTGCAGACTCATCATTATTATTAAATCATCACCAGTTACCGTAATCCCTGACATATCAAATCAAATAGCATTAAGATTTCCGAGGGTGCGATGTACAAAATACGATCAGGAAACGGAAATGCGAACATGTACACAGCGAGTGTCTCAATTTATCATCCTGTTTTTATCTGTGTTAAACATATTTAAATTGTGATAAGGTTTGTATACATCAGAATTTATCGTTCGTGTCCCATGGCAATTTTTTAAAATATAACTGAAGTTAGGTACAACATTTTTAATAAGGATATTTATTTTATAATAAAAAATGTTGCATAACTTCAGTTTCTGTCCTTTGGAACTTATAAGTTTAATTAAAAGAAATAATGGAGCCTTATTAAAAATGTTGTACCTAACTTCAGTTATATTTTAAAAAATTGCCATGGGACACGAACGATAAATTCTGATGTATACAAACCTTATCACAATTTAAATATGTTTAAGTTCCAAAGGACAGAAACTGAAGTTATGCAACATTTTTTATTATAAAATAAATATCAAAATTATTAAGACAAAAAGAAATTAAACTGATAAATGAACATAAATAATAATTTTAAAAAATGTCATTCTACTGATAGTGGAGCGGATGAGACTCATTTTAATCCTCTATTTTTTTTTTTTTTTTACTTTTGTATCAGCAGACAATTTTGAGGATACTGGTAAACTCATTGATTATTGTACCTCCATAAAAACATTGCCTAAATAAAAAACGCGTGGATAAATAAACTTCATTTTGTCTAACTACATTCTCATAAAATGTATTGGAGTTATCTTTCTTTTTATGTACATGGGAATATTAGTTGGATTTTTTGCAAAAGGACTAATGAGAAAACTTTTGATCATCATAACAAATTGGGACGAAATGGAAGCCCATCGCCACCGCGACCAAGAGCAAAGAACAATGAAGATTGTGTACAGGGTAACCAGGTCGGAATGTACAGTCATGCATGTAGAGAGATCAAATAAGCTCTTTTTAAAGGTATTCAATGTATAAGTAACGGCCACACTAAATGAATAGTTCAAATTGATTAATTGCGGCATGGTAGCATTTTGAAAGTGTTTGAAATAAACATACTCTACCAAAGCAATTTACAAAAAATTAATTTTGTCCAATATTAAAATTTTGCCCCTTATGTAAATTATGTTCTTTTCTTCCATTCGTTATATATTGAATTGCTTAAGTTCACCAATTTTCACGCATTTCAATGTTATATATCAGTCTGTATTGGTATATCTTGTACTGTTTTTCATCCCTTCAGAAATTTTTGCCGACACCTGATCTGATTTCTGCAATATCACTAGGATTGGATGACACTTTTCCAACAACAATGAAGAAATCCACAAAACCATATCCTTTGGTATAAAAAGTGATAAACAACGTTTTCATAATATATATTTTAAAAAAAGATGACAGAACTGACCTAGCTAATTACTGCGGTTCATTACCAAAATTGAAAAAATAGACTACTGAAATTGTATATTTTTTTTAAGTATATTTAATAATAAAAACTTAAAAAGGTTGTATGGAAATATAATCAATATATACATATACAGAGAACAACTTGGCAATGGTGAAACGGTTACAAATAACATTGTGAATCACTACAACCTTTTACAAATGTTTCACAGAATTGATATGGCGTACAGAATATCAATGGTGAACGATAAACATCATCATCATCTGCTCAATAAAATGGAATTAAAATAAGAATGTCGACGACTACATATACCATGATTTATATATTATTACAAATAACGGGAACAGATAACGATTGCAATAATTCGATCACTTGTCTATTTATCAGACTTGTGGTGGGGTGGAATGTAGTAACGCTCAACTTTGTATAGGCCAACTAAGCCACAACGACGGGTTTTCAGAGTCTCAAAGAAATCCATGGCCACATTTAAGTGTTCCATTCCGTTTTCACACTCACAGAGGATCAGGTATGCAAAATTTTCAGTTCGCATCGTTGCCCTGAGAAAAGTTATCCTTCGAAGCTTAAGGACCCTGGGACAGTTCCAGAGAATGAATTTCGCGCCACTCCACGTGCTCCACAACTCCTCCATTGATGGCGTCTGCTCGAGCGCGTGGAATGACGTCAGATAATACACGCTATCCTTGCTGACTGGTGTACGAGGTAACTGTTTCACTCCATCTCTTACAATACATTCAATTTCATCGTAAAATTCTGCAATATAAATTAATATTCATAATTACATGTACCTAGTTCCACAATCTCATGTTTTTAAAGACATACTAAGTCTTCATTATTATTCTCCAAATCTCTGAGTTTCACAAATAAAATATGGAGACAACGAAATGTAATCAAGTTCAAAAGGCCATAATAATTGAAACAATTCAAATTGGGAGGAGAGTAATCAGGACCTCTTATTATCGGAGGGGGGATCAGGTGCCAAAGAGGAGTAAGCATCCCCTGTCGACTGGTCACAACAGATGAGTCTGAATTCAACTAAACGATAATTATACTATATGCTGGAAAGGTCACTCTTTCACCCCCAAAACTTGCAAAATGTTGACTAGCACTGTTGATATTCTTGTTCTTATCAACTTGTTTGTGAAAACCTTTCAGAGACCAGAAGAACGTATGCAATAGTAAGACGTTCGTCGTCTGTCTGGCCGTTCGTCTGTCTGTAAACAATATTTTCAAAATACTTCTCTTCTTGCAGTTTTGGTCTGCTTTCAATACTAGTATTATAACATGGAATAAAGGCAAACTACATTAAGACATATGATAGACCTATATTACTTAAAGTAGAAATTTCTGTTATTTGGTCCGATTTCAATATAATTTTGCACACAAGTAGACAACACTAAGGTACATAAATCTATGTCGGTTTTTGATTTTTGATGAGCTGAGTTGCCACATGATGGTTACTAAAAGTAGAAAAATCTTGAGAAATAGTTTTGGAACACTTATCTTCCTATATATACAGATTGGTCTGATTTTAACGAGACATGCAGTAAGACTACACAGAGATGTTTTGTTATAGGTACAAACCAGCTGAGCTGCAGTCTCGACAGCTTCTTCTGATTTAGAAATTGTTCCTAGTATATAGAGCCTGCTTTCGCGAATAGTATCAAATGGCAGACAAAAACTTCAAATTACGTGTATGGTTCTATATACAATAAGGGAAGTTGAAGTATACAAGTTAGGTATTTTTATATTGTATACCATTAACGTATTTGAATTAAATGTGTCTGATTTGCTGGTATCTTTTATGTTCATTAGCCTAAGCTATATCAAGTTCTTTATTTAATGGAGTGTTTTTAATTGAGAATACGTCGTCAATGTACCGCGGTATCTGAATGTCGTTGAAGGCCAAAGCAAGTGTTTCTTCTTCTCATATAGTTTGAATTATACATTATATATAGGCACACTGTGTTCCCATTAGGAATTCACGCAGATTGTTGGAAGACCTTATCTCCAAAAACCACAAAGATATTGTGAATCAAAAACTCAAGCAATTATTATAATCAACTCCAGTGAACTTTATGTGTGCACAATCAGAATGTTTTAAAAACGATAATTATGCGTGTTCCATTATCTTATTTTGATAGCAACAAGAATTCAAAGGAAAAAAAACCTTTAAAAAACCTATGTCCATTTTTTTTTATCCATTTAGAAATTCGTTAACAAGTATTGGTTCAACACATTTAATACAATTTCTCTTCATATATAGATTTATCAGCTGTCACAGAAATAATTACTAAATATGTTGATTTATATTTGTGATCACGAAAATCCCAGAGAAGCAGCTGTGGGGATCTGATACAAAATTCTCGTGGGTCTGCAATTAACTCAATTTGTCATTCTTTTATTTCATTTACTTTGTATCCATCCTATGTATACATGCAAGCGGATCAGACTCCCTTATGCCACGAGAAATGTACGAACCAAAGCTTCGGGATCTTTTTTGTTTGGTAACTCTTCTGGGGGGATATCTAATTCTTAAGGGAGAATATAGTTCTTATACTAGTTAAAAAATGACAGTTTCAGTTAAACAGGTCAGCAAGATCTTTTGTCTGGTGTCCCTTCGCTGATCAGGAGATGGCATTCATAATTATACAATGTACGCTTTATTTATTCAATATCAATATTTTCATCCATATCATTTTAGCAGATTTAAACATTGTTCCTTTATGGGTTAGGGAAGAAAAACGCCCTGCTAAGAAAGATACTAGTAACTTTTCCAATGATACTTTTAACAAAAATACAACAAAAAAAAAAATCAGTTTAGTAGGTGAATTTCCGGTTCATTATTTCATAATGAAAATACAGCAATATAAATAAATTCATCTTTTATTGATAAAGAAGGAAACTTTATAAGATTTCTCAAAATATCTATCTCCTACCCTTTTAAAAATTGTTCCATTTCTTGCATTTTTGACCAAAGTGAACTTGCACGGCAGATATACAATATAACAAGAGGACTCAGTCAATGGATTTTTGGATTATGTTTTACATTCCGACAAATTGTTTTCCTCTTATATGACAATATTGGCGAAGGATTATTTTTATATCGATTTTGTTGCATTGTCGCGCTTTCCCATGATAACGTTACTCCGTTAGCCCAAACATAGTGCTCAATTTTATCTAACAACATAAAAAGATCTCCTTAGAGGGGGGCGATCGTGTTCAACATTTATATTTTATCCAATGATGAGATTTCTTATTGAAACAGAGGAACTTGCCGATCCATTTCTGAATAAAACACTTTCACACGTCTAGAATCCTGCAAATATTTTTTTTAAATCTTCTTTTGGGGGTTAAATATTCATCTTTTCACCTTAATGAGATATCAAAATTGTCCCCATGTTTGATGTGTCAATAATTTAACATTCAGATCCTTTGAAAGGCATCCATTGGAAAATCAAATTCAATGGGGACAGTCGAGAAGTAAATCATATTATCCGGAATTTCCTTTACTTCTGCTGGAGATAAAACTAATAAACTTTTAATTCTTGATGTAATTCGGACCTAAAGCAGAAGTCAGTAATTTTAAGCAATCCTTAAGTTTACATTAAAGGTATGAAGCAAAGCGGTATTTTAAGAGAGCGAGTACTCAAGCTATTTTAATTATCTACACAAGCAAATAAAGTTAGTAACGGGGGGATTTCGGTCCAGAATAGAATGGGAGAAAGAATTCAGTAGAAGGATGTCTATATGAAGAAAACAGCTTGATAAAGTTATGTGGAATGTTGGTATACAAATATAAATCGTATTTTTCTATTATAGACTATGATAGAGACGTGCCACTGTTCGCAAAATCTTTATTAAGCTGAGAGCAATTATGTTGGGGTAGGGGGGTTGGGGTTACGTTTTGCCTATTCCCCATTGATAATTGAAAACAAAGAAGTCGACTTATTTTGTTAATGACTTATTGAGCATGCCTGTAGATTAAGCTAAAATTTGTTATTCATACCTGGTTGTATTATTCTGTTCCCTAACACTTCTATGGAAAATTTATGGTTGTGGACGCGTAGAATGTCCATCTGGGCATGGTTCTTTTGTTCTGACTGTCTTCGGAAGTCCTTGATCCCACTGAAGAAGACCGAGTAATCCACATAAGAGTACTGAGCTGTAACGAAAAAATACACACTGATTGAGATTAAGCTCATTCAAGCTAAAACTAGAGAGGGAAAAGATGGGGTTACATGAGAATATCATACCAAAAAAAAAATCTTTAAAATTTTACTTGTAAAGAATTCCAAGCCCATAATTATTACTGTTAATAATAATCATCGTGAATTTTTTTCCCCAGAGCTGACCCCTAGCAGTAGGACGGGGCCTCAGAAAGAAGTTTTACATAGGAATATAAATGAAAAGAGGAAAAAAAATCTTTACAAAATAAATCATCTTCAGTAAATCATGTAGAAGCATCCTTGAGTAAGACATATTTAAATTTAATAACAGCCAAGGGTTTCCGATTGAAATCATGTCCCTCAAAAGGGGGAAAATTTGCTTCTTTTCAAGATAAGGACGACCAGTGTGAATAAGGTGAGCGTTCTGACCTATAGGCCTTCTGCTTGTAAATAAGTTTTCGTTTTCGGCTTTTATGATAAATATTGAACGATTCATTTTTTTTTAATTCAGTGGTAGATGAGGTTGTTAAACGATATTGTAATAATTAAACATAAAGAATAGGTCAGAGATAAAAAGAAATTTGTAGACAAAATCAGTTGTAAATGATTCTGTAGAGCAGGTGATTTCAATTTTAACCCAAAATGTATAATACGCATGCATCGAGATCCCATGAGATGATGAAATTTAACTTACAATAACTTCACAAGCAAGTTCAAAAATATTAAAATTCCAATTTGATTTCAAGGTCGTAATTTTTGTCATCTCTATGTAAAAGTCAAATGAATTTCGAGACCAAAAATTGATAATGATTTGATAGTTACATATATTACAAGTAAATTAGTGGTCAGCGCTACACAAGTATCGACAATACTACTTCATACTATAATTATTTTACACATCATATTCCGTATTACACATCGTATATAAAATTATTCGTAAAATAAAATAATCAAGTAAAGCAAATAGACCTAAAACGATATGGTCTCCGGTTATACATAGAATGCTGTAGTTTTGCGCCCAAGCCATCAATCAATCAATCAATCATTTATTTGAATCTCATCACCATTTTACAATAGCGTACAGAGACTACAAAAACATATAAGTGATTTTATATACAACAATAGGTCTAGAAAGGCATGCGTGAGTAAGAAACTAAACAAAAACAAAAAAAAAATTGTAGGTTACTATAAATGTGAAGTATGGGAATTTAGGCCGGGGAGCATATTTTATTTATTTTCTTTACAAAGGAGCACAATTTTCTTAGAAAGCAGTGTTTATTGTTGTTCATAATGTTTTTAAAACTAATTATATTCTGGAATTTTATGTGTTTTTCTGTTAAGCAAAGTTTTCTTTCTGTTTGTAGCGAGTTGCACTTTAAAATGTAATGAAACTCATCTCCGAGTTCTTTTAGATTACAATGGGGACAAATTCTATCTTGTCTTGGTATATTAAGCCAGCGTCCACTTTCAATTGGTAAATGATGGTTACATGTTCGAAATCTACAAAATGTTATGAAGTCCTTTTTTGATAAAATATTAAAATAGTTTTCAAATTTTAGTTCGTCTTTGTATATTCTATAATTTAAGGCTTTGGGTGAGGTTTGAAGGATTGATTGCCAACTTTGTTTGAATTGATCCAATAATGTGAGTTTAACTTTCGCCTTTAACCATTTATTATTAATTGGGTTTTGTCCAAGCCATACATTTGAGAGTCCACAGTTATTTAAGATATTTCGAATATTTTCAAGCCAAACAATTTTCCCTCCTATTTCTTGATTTATAATGAAGCCTAATTTATAACATAAATTTGCAATTTTAATTTCCTTTCCAGTGATTAATTTTGACCAATAAGATATCATGCGCGTTTTTATTTGGATTTCCATGGGGTGTCGGCCAAGTTCGCCATATATCATAAAATCTGGGGTTGAATCTTTTAAATGGAGTAGAAGTTTACAAAATTTTAGGTGAACCCTTTCTATTATTGCATTATTTGAAAATCCCCAAACTTCACATCCATATAACAAAACAGGTTGCACAATTTTATCAAATAGATCTAGCTGACACTGTATTGATAGGTTATGTAATCTTCCTTTTTTTAATACTTCGTATAGTGCTTTTGTTGCCTTTTCAGCTATTTTCTTTTTTGTCGTTATAAATGAGCCAGATTTACATAATATAACTCCCAAATAGTTAAATTCTGTTACTACATCTATTTTCTTATCATCATACTGCATCTGTATATTTTCTTCACGTCTACTTTTCCTGAATATTAATATTTTTGATTTGTCGATATTTATCTTTAAATTCCATTTTTTACAATATTTACAGAAGCTATCTAGTTGTTTTCGTAGCTCTTCAGAAGATTCTGCAACCAATACAGTGTCATCTGCGTATAAGATTGCAAATAATTTAAAAAATATATTTAGTTTGTTTTCAAACATTTCTGATATGGTTGATGAACCTTCAATATTGGATGCATTCAGGAAATCATGTAAATCATTAAGATACATAGAAAATAAAAACGATGACATATTTTCACCCTGTCTAACACCATTTGCACATTGAAAATCAAAGTACTCAGAAGTACAGAGAGCCGGGTTCATTTACAGAGTAGAATGGATTTCTTACATGAATCACGTTTATATTCTGATGAAAAAAAATTATTTTAAAACTATCAATATAAATGATAAGACACTGACAGTGAGTTTTTCAATCCTAATACCACGGTCCGATTTTGTCAGAATCAGAATTAATCTGGTACCGCAGCTGAATGTAAACAAACAGGCCAGTCTGGTTCCCTCTCCTGCTTTACCTCGTATGTGTAGAGAACTACGGTAACACTGATTATCAAAAATCCTTACGCTAATGAACTATGTTCTTTGACTTATGAAGTTTTCAAAGTCATTACTACTAATGTTTATTTTATATAGATAAAACTTCGTTTTATTTTTGTTGCTTTATTTAGCGTTTGTATTATCTCAAAAGCGGTTGAGAGTAAGAACTATATTTTTGCACGTAACTTTAAAATGGCGACTATGGGGTCAACATCCTGCCTTGAACAGGATCACATAAGCCGGCAATTGCTCTTTGAGCAATAAGCCCGGCTAAAAATCTGACTGTTCTTGATTATAGACAATTCTGGATTTTATCTGACTGTACATATTCAAAATAATGTCATACATTTTGCCGTTAATATTCTGAGATAAAAGTTTAAACCACAACGCTTTCAAGATTTCATTTGGTCATGTATCAGATCTAATTGTTTTCACAATAAAGGCTTGAAGACAGATACACCATTTTTTTTCTGAGAGAGAGAGAGAGAGAGAACAATGGAAGGGTCATTTGTTTGTGTCAAATTAAAAGTCGCAGTAGCGATTTCAAAATTTTTAGAAACTATCTAAAACTTCTGTGATGATTTTAGTTATATATAAATCGGTATTCGCAACATATTTTTTTTTCGTCATTAATTGGGTTTCATGTATCTCAGAACATTCATTGTAAAGAGGAAATGAGAGCAAAATAAAGCTAGCCAAACAAATGACATATACGTATCTATACGGAAACATAGTAAGACCAAATATATAAACACAGAATTACAAAATCGAATTTGATTTCCTTGTAGACGGCAAATTATCGGAAAAGCAACGAAAGAAGTGGATTTGTTACAAAGTCCATTAACTGGTAATTTAAAGGAATCGCTAGATCTAAACAGTATCAATTTGGACTCCGTTTTCCGTTGCGTGAAGGCCCTGAATCTAGTTTCTGAGGGCGTTAGATTATACACCATGGCTGCTAAAACAAAATCCCAGATACTATATATAAATCGATTTCACTTTATCAGCGGATATGCGAGATCGTGCTTAATTTAAAAAGACAGGATAAACGAAAATCTCTTAGCTTAAGGATTAAACGAAAACTAATTTGCAGCAAAAACGCGAATATGTAATTGTGTGAAAGAAAATTATGATAGTAATCAGCCGTGACAGGGTTAATTTTTATGTACAGAATTTTAATATCCACTTTATAACTTTTTATATTGAAAATTCTTTGTGAATTATCATTTTCCTCTTTTTATTCAAATATGAATAATTTGCACCTTAAACGTATACGTACATTGTGTATTTATAATAACTTTTTACATTTTATAATTTTATTTATTACTAACTTTATAATTTTTTTAATTAAAAAAATATAGAAACTATTTTCACATTGCTTCGTTTTCCCTGGTCGTATTTGTACTTATTATGAATTTTATATTTAAACAACAAATTTTTAATCAGTATTTGTGGACTTAAAAAGTTTCCAAATCAATATACAAATACATATTTCTGGTAATATATATGTGCAAATAGGTCCAGAAGAACATACTTTTTTTAATTTTGTTCTACATTTACATATTTGTTTTGGCTGATAGTTTAAATGAAAAACATGTACAATGTTCTTTTATATAGCTATTGAAAGATCTAAAACATTTAGAAAAGCAAAATTTTCAGCATACCTAGGCAAGTTAAAATTTCTTGTTATTCCAGAAGCAAAGAATTCAATTTCAATCGGTAGTCAAAATATCATGTATGCTTTTTCCTAAGGATTTTTCTTAATTTTTTTTTTTTACTTCATTATTATCTTTTTAATTGTTTATTTTTTCTTTTTTTTAAATTATGTTTTATCTCATTCATTTATTTTTTTTTTGTTTTCGTTTTGTTTTGCCTATTTTTTCTACCATTTTAAAAAAAATATGTACATTTTATCTTGCAAAGGTACGATACCACATATTTATAATTATATTTCATTCTTAAAATTTGCATCGTTTTTTGCCAGTGACTTTTTGTTTTGTGGTGTTGTCAATAAAACGAGCTTTAGCTGAATTGTGTGGACCCGAGTTAACAACAAATATTTCTTTACACACTCATCAGTTTACTACCCTGTTCTAAATGAAACAGATTATGGCAATAATGGTACCAAGGCGACATAGTTCTGACAAGTTATTACCTCTGCTACTTATAAATAGTCGAGGAATCTTCATAATTATCCTAGATAAACACATTTTTCTTTGTAAACATTCTTTTACACGAATAGAGAGACTAAGAAATTTATTATTAAATGTATTTATCATATTCTGGATTATAATTTTGAGGGGTAAAATGTGCATTATAGGTATAGACCGGTACCTTAACATTCTGTTTTCAGAACGATGAAGATAAAACTCGTAGCACTTATACAAGTCTTAGTCTATTACTGGAGCATCCGTAATAACATGCAGATGTGCATGTACCTACCTCCCACCACAGAATAAATATAACCACAACCCAGCAAAGGTCGAGAGGTTTAGAAAGAAAGTAGATCTTTCAATACAATGGGTTAATATGCCATTGTTTCTGACCCAATGCTGTTAGAAAATTGAATGCATGATAGCAATGTTTCTTTCTGTTTTCTGATTTCTTGACACTGATCAAAAGAGTATGTCCGTCGATTTTGTGTCAAGCCATAAAATTAGTCTTAAGCTTGGTAAATATGTACATTCTGTATGTTCATGTATTAGACTATTAATTATACGTGAAAAATAAAATTATCTAATATTAGACCTGTTTTTTTTTTTTTTTTTTTTTTTTTTTTTTTTTAGTGCGATACATAGTGTACCATTCTTCAGTGGCCCTAATGAATGGCGGGTAACTGAGGTATACTCGATTCTCTCACTCAGGTAACTCATATGACACGTGGAGTTAGTAATTTTTTACGTAGAACTTGAGTCTATGGTGTCTAAGTGATAAACGAAGCCTCGTGGCTTCTACATGGTCGTATTTGCGTCTATCCACATACCATCCATCGTTAAAATAATTACCATTCTGACGCAGGAATAACTTGGTCTCATTTTCTGTTAATGAGTTATAGTTGTGCCAAATTGACAAAGACGCACGTGGGTACCATATGGACACCATTTAAGAATGTTGACCGGTTAACCAAGGTAACTCGGCAATTAATAGAGCAAAGTGCATTCCTATCCACTTCAAATGGAAGTCTGTATCGTATCATACCTATATTTCCATTACTTCATTGACAACTTAAAGTAGGTGTTTTGCTTCCGGTTTGTGCTAAATATATTCAAACTTTCTTATTTTATAACAGCTCATTTCTGATCAGATAATTTTTTTTAACAGTATTCTCACCAAAATCAATACTATTTAAAATCCATATTGAAATTCAATGCAAAAAATCTGCTTTAAAAATTCCAATGCCCCTATTTTTCCTTATCTTGTTCTCCTACATGCTGGTGTATTTGATGTATTAATTTACAATGCCTTAATTGTGATCAATGACCAGGCATTAGAATTTCCAGTTTTCACAGACTTTACCCACAGCTTACAGAATTTATTGGACGGGCATATTATAATTTAAATGAGGATGCGTAATTGTGCAACCTTTAAAAAATCTCTAAAAAGCAACTTAAATTCAACTTTGGCCTCGTAATATTTTTTTTTATTATCCTTTAATATTTCTCCTTTTTGTATGAAAATTAAAATGTATGAAGAGTCGGGACCATGCAGCGTTTCAAAGATTTCTATTGCAATTTTGAGCTTTGCGATTTTCTTTTTCCATTTTGTAAGTTTCAACTTCTGAATGGAGGGTCAAGAAATAAAAAAAAAAACAAACAAGATTTTTATTATTTTACATATTTATTTATTTACATTTCAAAAGAATATTCCCATCGCACTTGAGATGCCTGAAAATGTGACATACAGACACATTTCCCTAGTTCTGGTATGCAGTAACATGTATTTTTGCCTTGTTATATTGTACAACCTACGTCTATTATTCTTCATAATTCACAATAAAAACAATAATACCCAACAATTCTATATTCAGACTGAAAATATTAGGTTATTGTGACAATAAAATGTTAAATTCCTGAAAGTGATCGTTAACGGGTTGTTAAAATATTTTTATTGCATCATCGATTCTTCGGACCTTGTTTTAGTTGATGTCAGTTATATTATTCTGGTAGATACAGGAAACTTCAAACCCGATAAAAAGCTAATTACCAGAAACGGTGGTGTGATAATACCCTTAAAATGATAGTTTCATGTCTATTCAATCCTCCTAAAACATTTCATGAAACAAAAGAAGAAGGATTGAATAAAAATCGATACCGAATACATGTATATAATCTTATTCCCAAGTCAATTGAATAATGCATAAAGAATTTATTCTGTGGTAAGTAATATGTTTTATATTACAGACTCAGCTAAATTATTTGAAATAGTTTCGAAGCTTAATACACCAATACACAGAAAACGATCTGCTAATAATATAAATCATCAAAGACATGTCGATAACGCACCAGATATGTCATAAAACACAAAACTTTTCTGCAATATCACATTTCTTTTGTAACAGATATCAATCAATAGAGAGATAATGCTACTCACCATTTTTCTCCAGGCTTTTTAGAAGAATTCCCTCTAAGAACGTGGCTTGATGAGTGTTAGATTTGGCTGAGGACTTCCATTCCTTAGCGAGATTATCTTCATTCATATAGAATTTAAATCTGGCCTGGACATTGTAATGCGGTAGACTGGACATTATGCCATCTTACTACCTCCACATATCCAGCTTATTTGATCCATTCAAGGAATGAAACCTTGATACCGAGATACAATCGAACACCCGCAAAACTGAGTCGTGTTAAAACACCGAAAAAAATGTTTCGAATCAAATCATAGTAATGATTGATTTATTCACAAATATGATTTAGCCAAATCTTTCAATATCCCAAAACTGAGTCGTTTAAAACACCGAAAAAATGCTTTGAATCAAATCATAGTAATGATTGATTTATTCACAAATATTATTGAGCTAAATATTTCAATATCCCAAATATTTCCCTCCAGGCGACAAAAGTCCTCCTCCCCGAGTGAGTTGTCAAATCGTTCCTCGACCTTGTCGCTTAGCCTCGCGTTTGATTACACAGTTACATTATGTTTCATCAATGTAAACGTCCGAACTTGTGGGATCCAGATGATTTAAACTCATAATTTCACAGGATATAGATTTTCCTTACATCCGCGAACTCCCCGTTATCGAAATGTCGCATCACACGGACAGGGAGGAATTAGATCTATAGTGGCATCACTCCGAAATCTCGTACTTCTTACGCCGTATTACCAGATGCCTCGCTCACTACACCAGTACTTGTTCCTGGGAGTAAATATTGTTGCTCAACTCGCCAAAATCTCACAATTAGGTCTTTACTACTTCATAAATCACTAGCATATGTGCTGGGTGTCAGCGATACTGGTGCTGCTGGTACATATTCTACATCAAGTAATTATTTCATCTAGGAATGAGGGACATATTTCCTACATATATACTTAATGATATTTCTGTTTGTACAATATACACACGGCGTATCACCCTGATGGCAGTACAAGTCAAGTCGCTGACGCAATATTTTCAGTCTGCGGGGAGTTTGAAGAGAGGTTTTGGTGACAGAGCGGGGATTGTCTTGCAGAAAAAAGGTGACAGTGCATCAAGGCTTGGAATACATTTTTAGCGATAATTCTGACATTTAGAAGGGAGGATATTATCTTCTTGAGAGCCTGAGATCGATTTAATGGTGTATCTAACAGCCTGGTGCCAAAAAATATCTGACACTGATAACGGTGTCTTTACATCAAGCCAACGACAAATTTACCGTTTACAACCAGAAAAATCCATATGTAAAGAGAAAACTGCATTTTGTACATTTCTCAGACACTTTAATTATATAGATAGTGCCTTGCCAAGTAGGATTTATTATACATTATGGGATTTGATTGTTATAGATCTGTACGGTGTACAGGGTTTTGAAATAATTGTAATAATTTGATAAATTTGTTCTATTAAAATTACCATGGAAAATTTTCACGATTACAGCATTTTGGCGAAACAATAGCATATGTATAACTCATATTTATCTCCGCCAAGGAAGTTTTGTATTTGATGTATCTTTATTTTTGCCCGTTTGTCTGTCTGTAATTGGTCATGTACATTTCTACATTTAAAAGATGCCTGGATATCCTTCGTTATATTTTACAGACCAACTATAAGTGCGTATATATGATGAGCCACTGTCTCAAGCCACGGTCCGGAGTCCGCATACCTAGAATGGGAGAGGATCGTACATTTTGGCCGTGGTGTGCGAAGATGATGATGAGCAAGCTAGGGTAAGCTCTTCCAAACTGCAAATTTTAATCAGGGATTTTAGCGTCAGAGCAAGCTAGACTGTCTTTATTATTCATTGAAATACGTCTAATCTTTGTCTATTTTTTGTTGATTTTTAATAAAGTGGCGTCTAAAAAAATCAAAATTCTCAATTATGATTATTTAAAAAATCTAAAAATTTTCGAGTGTAACTATCTGTCAAACACTCGATCAGAATTTCCTTTATATTTTTACAGCTCGGTAGTACATGTACACTCATCCGTATGTGTCCCCTGCCCTTACAGTGTTCCTCAACACACCCCTTCCTCTGAAAGCTACGATACGCATTAATTTTACGTATAAATGGTCAAAAAGTAAAAATCACTTCGAAATACTTCATTTTTTCTTGTTTAAATTTATTCAATTTTCATTAATTATTCATTTTATTTATTTGTTAATTAATTAATTAATTTATTTTATTTATTTATAGTGTATATGATAATAATATAAATGTGTCCCTTTCGAGGTCCTCCGTAGTTTTTTTTTCTCCTTTTAGAGTTATCTCCCGTATGCCGTTTACTATCAGTGGCCGGTGTCTATGGTATGACCAATGGATAAGTTCCGTCTACTGGAGAACGTCCATACATCGCTTACCCCCGTCGTCACCGACGCCGCGCTGGTTCGTGGAGATTACATGTATTATCACTACGGCTGTGACGGGGTAGATGATAGGGTAAGTAATAACATCTGTAAGCGAATATTTTCTCTGTTTACAAAATTTTCCCACGTGTGGGAGGCTCACTACAGGTAAAAATGCATTCTTAAAAAATATAGCTCACTCAACTTTGGTATTTAGAATAATGAACTCACTGACAAAATAAGTACCTCGACGATAAATGAAATACTGAAAAAAATATTTTAATTATTGCCTTTAGTAATCACTCGGTCAAAATTGATACGGTGTCTGAATAATTAAATATTTATATTAAAATAAAATTGTACAAATCCTTCTTTCAAATTGAATCAGCATGTTTTAGGGACAAGGCACGTATTATCTGGGGCGGGGGTGGGGGTGGGGAGGGGGTAGTCGCTGGCTCCCAATTTTTTTCCTAGCTGTATATTAGTAGCTCGCTGGTCTAAAAATTTCAGTGGATGGATGACCTGTCAGGTCCGTCTGTGCAAAATTAAAATTCTTTGTTGATAATTAGATACTTTTTTTTCAAAAAGTCAGAAAATGTGTCTTTTTACTGTCTATTGAGATTTTTATTAAAGATTTAAAATTTTATCCAATTTTGAAAAAAAATTCCCTCCCACCCTCCCGTGTTTGAAACCCTCCAGACGGCAATTTCAAACAAGCAATTTTTAAGGATGGCCGTGGTAGTCTCAGTGTTTAAGACAATTCATTAATTAGCATCTTTGAATAATTTTATACGATTTTTGAACACATTGCAGACATGAGTATTTTCTATAAAAGTTAATAATAGGTAATTTAAAATTTATCAGGGATGGGGTTGTGGATATCGCACACTTCAGACGATGTGTTCCTGGATAAGAGGACAACGAGGAGAGAGCATGCGCGAAGTTCCATCACTAAGGAAAATTCAAAACGCACTGGTTGCTATGGACGACAAGCCAGACTCATTCGCTGGTTCCAAAAACTGGATAGGAAGCTTTGAAATATGCATTTGCATTGACTACTTTTATGAGGTAAACTATATGCTTTAAGTTTTTATTACACGAAAATAGAAAAATCGAAATGAGCTTTCTGATCAAAGATTTTTCGTCGCATGTAAATTATTGCTTGACATGTGTCGCGGGAAACAACTAGGCGTTACAACTGACCATCCAAAATAAATGACGTAGAATTAACCGTTACTTTGGATTTCTAATATGTGCATTCGGGAAGAGTCCTAAGAATACGGCTTTACTACTTCCGGCCAACAGCGCCATTCATTATCCCTGCCAACATTCCCTTTCCCGATCAACGACATATTATATTTTTGACCCAAACTATGTGATCACAAATCTGCCATAAAAGACAAAATCCCGGTATTGAAGACATTTGTACAGTTTCCCTATAATGTGTGCTGGTTCAAATTTAACTTATCTTGGTCTTTTGGGATAACATGCTCTTACTGGTATAAATGACTATTATATTTTCTTTAAAGAATGTCAAATACCCTGGTACATGTTTAAAAAGCAATTTCTAGTATTTAATTTTGTACCTTAAGATATGCTAAAATTCTTTGGATTTTACTTATAAATCAGTAATTTTATTTTGGAAGAATTAAAACAATTAAATCCAAATTAGATATGCGTTTAATATCTATTTCAAGGTTCCATGTAGGTTAATTCACGTAACTTCTGGAGAAAAACTGATTGAATATCTACCAGACCTTCAGAAGCACTTCCAGGAGATAGGCTCAGTTATAATGATGGGTAAAGTTTTCACTCTTTATCAGTTATTTAAGGTTTATTGACCCCTCTCATAAGAGAGGTAACTCGTACTAAGGTAAATAACTGTTATTTATTTTTTTTTTAATAGTCAAGTTAAAAGCTCATTTTTTTTTTCAAACTTTGCGCAGCAAGTTTTGTTGAATTATGTACATTTCAACTTCAAATTATTTGTTTTGTAAATTCAGGAAAGTCATAAAAATTAGATTTAGAATTTTATATGAGTGATTGAACAGTGCGGTGTTGAACCCTGTTTTTGTTGTGAAAAAAGTGACATCTACCAAAAAAATATCTGTAAAATGTAGTCGAAATAAAGAATTACAGAAATGCAGTATTATACTGACGGGTTTTTTTTGCCTGTTGTTATATGTACACAGGCGGTGATACAGACAACGCTTCCAAAGGAATAGTAGGAGTCTCCATGGAAAAGAAGTCCCTGCTAGTTATAGTAAGTACATTGTACCTTATTTATCTGTTAGCTTTATTGTCTTAATTGTGAAACGAGACACAAATGGTCAGTTTGCTTTTATTGTTTTAACAAATTTCAGATGATATCAGAAAATAAACCTATTGAACAAAAATCAAATAAAAATCATGATTCATAAATAATCCACCGAAATCCATACACGATTTATCATACCTTTTGATTTACTTATATTTGATAATTACAGTGTATAGTCTATAACATTACTTACTTTTTGATGGATTATATAATAATATTCTATAACTTTTCTGTTTAATCTCGTTTAAGGATCCTCATTACTATGGAGATATTACGACTGTAACAGAACTCTATGACAAAGACATGGTATCCTGGCGGCCATTAGATTCATTTCTTCACCATTCCTTTTATAACTTTTGTTTACCTCAACTTAAAGCAAAGTAATATCTTATTGTCTTTATTGCCTCGGTTTTCTGGATTTGAAGAACAAAAAAGTTAACAATGCATACAGTAGATAAAAATAGAAAGCGATATGTTTTGATAGAGGATTCTACAGCATATTGTACAAATATGGAGTCTTTGTTAACACCCATAAACTTCAACACGAAGGCCTGGTTTCCCGCCATTATGCCACGTGAGAGGAACAAACCGGATGAATCTTGCACTGATTCTGCTCGGAAGGTGGTGTTTGACAACGGTGTCATAAGTACTGCTCCCAAAGAATTCCTATAAGAAAAAAAAATAGATGGCATGTTTTAATGAGATTTCTACACATAATCGCTCTTGTTACATTTATAATTTCCTAAATAATTAACATTTATTTTCGCTATAAATAATTTTTTACTCGAGTGATAAGGACCAAATCTCACAACTTAGAAACAAGGAGTCAGTAAATTATAATATGCTTTAGCCTAAAACTGTTTCGGAAGATAAAAGTTTAACCTTTTGAGATCCATTACTTCCGATGACGTCATGGAAGTTGTTTCCGTCAGTGCTATATTGGATTTTATAGGACAGAGTGTAGTAGGTAGATGAGCGATATCCTTGTGTTGCTATGGAGTAGACCACACGCACTTGTCCCAGGTCAACCTAATCATACAAAGATTTAAAGATTAGTGAATTTAATGAAAGGAGCTGTGAAATGATTGATTGATTGTAACTATGTTGTTTTACGTCCCATTCGAGAATATTTCGCTCATAAAAAGACATCACCATATTCAGGTGAAGGGCTTCAAGTTTTGATCGTTACTCGGCACTTACGGCCATTGAGCATTAATGAGCAACGAGGGATTTTTTGTGTCAACTTTACGTCTACCCTGACACAGGGCCTCGGTTTTTACACTCTCATCCGAAGAACCCTTGTGAAATGATTGAATATAAAAAGTTTTGATACTACTGCCTCGATACAACGTCTCAGACTATGCAGAACATTGGCAGTTAACAATTCCATTCAAATATGTGTGAAAGTCAATTCTTACGGTACAGCTGTATAAAAACATGTATGAAAGCTCATGACCAAGAAATTTTTTTCAAAAGAAGATCAAACCCAAGGTCTTTGTCATGAGATCAAAATGAAATATGAAAGCTATGGCATCAACCGTTCAAAAGATATAGCCAAGGATAAAGTTTTTGTGAACTATCTGACAGATAGACATACCAAAATCTGTATACCCTTGAATCTTTGATGTTTATTTTTTAGTACGTGTAATATACAGGTACGTATAATCATGATTTTATAAACCTGTAGCCATGAGTTGGAAGTCTCTCCTATCCATCCGTCTGAACTGTGTAGTCGACCATTGGAAGCGAAATGGTTGGAGAAAGTGTAGTGTGCTGACATTTGGGCATCAGGAATTGTCTTTTTGGCGTAGTCTATACCAAATGCATTTGCATCACAGCCTAAGCAAAGAATTTAAAAAAAGGTCAAAAATGCAAACTTGCATGGCTGCAATGGTATCTACTTCACTATTTATACTTAAAATCATTTTTGTTACATACGCAGTTCACAGCGTTTGCCACCATAATATGTAGAGCATGCGCATTTGTAATTTCCAAAATCGTCTGAACACGTTCCGCCATTTTGACATGGATTGCTAGTGCATTGATCTCGTTCTGCAAAAATATGACGGTATCCTTATTTGATAAAATCGTTTTAATTAGATATTCTCTCGCATTGTTGTTTTATTTTTATATAATTGAGAATTAATTAAATAAATGCTCAAAAATAAATTAAATGTTTAATAGTTTGAAACCTCTAATATCGATAGAAAATGTTCCGTCTGCGTATTTTCCATGGCGATCAGTGGCTCGTATTCCGAACGTGTATGAAGCATCTATATCGGGTGCTGTGCCACTGATGACACCAGTGGTAGAATTAAGAGAAGTTCCGGGAGGAAGATGGCCAGAAATTACTTTATACTGTATGTTATTGAAATCAGACTAAAACTGTAGGAGGAGTAGCATTTTGAAAGAATTTCACAGAAATTTCTATTTTTAGTAACCACGGCAACACCGTTCATCGAAATCAAAATCCGACACACAGAATTGTGTATCTTAGTGTAGTCTACTTGTGTGCCAAGTTATATTGAAATCAAAATAAAACTGTAGGAGGAGTAGCATTTTGAAAGAATTTCACAGAAATTTCTATTTTTAGTAACCACGGCAACACCATTCATCGAAATCAAAATCCGACACACAGAATTGTGTATCTTAGTGTAGTCTACTTGTGTGCCAAGTTATATTGTAATCAGAATAAAACTGTAGGAGGAGTAGCATTTTGAAAGAATTTCACAGAAATTTCTATTTTTAGTAACCACGGCAACACCATTCATCGAAATCAAAAACCGATATACAGAATTATGTATCTTAGTGTAGTCTACTTGTGTGCCAAGTTATATTGAAATCAGACTAAAACTGTAGAAGGAGTAGCATTTTGAAAGAATTTTACAGAAATTTCTATTTTTAGTAACCACGGCAACACCGTTCATCGAAATCAAAAACCGATACACAGAATTGTGTATCTTAGTGTAGTCTACTTGTTTGCCAAGTTATATTGAAATCAGACTAAAACTGTAGGAGGAGTAGCATTTTGAAAGAATTTCACAGAAATTTCTATTTTTAGTAACCACGGCAACACCATTCATCGAAATCAAAAACCGATATACAGAATTATGTATCTTAGTGTAGTCTACTTGTGTGCCAAGTTATATTGAAATCAGACTAAAACTGTAGAAGGAGTAGCATTTTGAAAGAATTTCACAGAAATTTCTATTTTTAGGAACCACGGCAACACCATTCATCGAAATCTAAAACCGATACACAGAATTATGTATCTTAGTGTAGTCTACATGTGTTCAAAGTTATATTGAAATCAGACCAAAATTGTAGGAAGAGTAGCATTTTGAAGAATTGTTTACAGACAGACAGACGGACAGACAGACAGACGGACGGACGACGGACGCATTACTATCGCATAAGCTCTTCTGGTCTCTGACCAGTAGAGCTAAAAAAGTAGCGTGTTTTTAATAATTTTTTTTCTACTTAGCATCCTTATTTACATATAAACAATCCATTATCAAGCTAAATATTTGAAAATATTTCCTTTTCTTCTCATCATTAATTTTGTCGTCAATGTCGAACAAGTTCACTTTGTTTAATTACCACAGCCTCCACAGACACAGCTATTTTTGTTCCGGAAGTGAACGCTCCCAGTGATCCATGGACCGATTGTTTCGTCCATATCGGGGGAAGACTTTTAACTTTCTGAAAATATTTACTTTTTCATGAGGAGGAAATCATAGATCCATGAAAAACTACCAACTGAAATAATTTTTTTTTAAAGTAAAAAGTTAGTACTAAAAAAGTAACAAGTTTTTGTACATGTAGCCATGTTATTATCTTATAAAAAACACTATACCTCTATAAATTTTCGGAGATCTGTTCCACCAATGATCACGGTTCCTCCAGACCCTGGTTTTAGAATAACATTACCACCCACTCCTGCCTGTCAATAGAGGTATTAGTAATACTTTTAAACAAATACAAGGGAAGTAATTGAATCTTAAGTAAGGCAATGCCACTTCTAACCTCAAATGTGAGATCTCCCCCGGGCTCTGCCGATACATTTACATTGGGGTAGTCAATCTGGAAGAAGCTGAAAAAACACCACAGAGATATAATCAAGAGAATTGGTAGAATTTTTGCGAATGAAAAAAAAGCAAACGTTTTGTTTTCAAATCATATTAATGTTCATAAAAAGCAAAAACAAAATAAAAACAAAAGTGAAAAATAAACAGCATTAATCTAAATACATGTACAGAGTAGACAAACAAAAATGACAATAGTGCATGAGTGAAAAAAAGAAAACAAAACAATTTTTTATGAAATGCCTCATGCCACTCATGTAGAACATCTGGCAAAATTAAAAAAAAACATTTTATCCAGTGAGTTCAAACTATCTTAAATGTATATGAATATAAATGTTATGTTTACCTTCCATAAGCAATCCCAGGAAGACAAATTATTGAGAATATAAAATACTGAATCATAACTTAACTCGCCATCGATGATGTGATTAAAATGGGCAACGCATTAGAAAACTACTTCCTTGGCAATGACCAAATCCCTATATTTACAAAATAATTAATCATTCCATTTATTTTATTAATTGCCTTAAATGTATTCTCTTTGCCCTGATGATTTTGTTTCTAGAGACCTAAAATTTTGCCTCACGCCTCTTTTTCTTTGGCATGACCTTGAAACATGCAATCTCAAGGTTATGAAAATGGCTTCCAGGCTTGTTCCTGTGGTACTTTTCCTAAGTAGCATTTTGTGTGATGATGGGTTTGTAAATTTATTTTATGTAATACAGCCGTGTCGGAAGAGACAAACCCATGATGCAAGTATTCCTTTGATTAGAAATTTTGACTAATTTTCTATTTTCTGTAGTGTTTTGGACATAGAATATCCAAGTCTTTCTATTCATGCACCTGCCGATGGAGACATTATTTTACAGGTAAGTCGTGATAAAAATGTCTCTATCTCAGAAAAAATAACATCTCGAAATATATTTTTAAAGTTAAGTAGAGTCATATGTACGTAATGACGGTTAAAGAAACTGTTTGTTTACAACAAAGAGACTGACAGCAAAGTCTGTCCTCATTGTAAAAGATCATGTTCTCTCCTTTAACTCTACCTTGAAAATATTTTGCAAGATATTGTAATATTGATTTAAATGAAATCAAATTGGTTTTTTTTTCTAATTTTAGTAAAAAGCAATGTTTGACTTTGACAGTAGTTCAGTTGTTGTTTCTAAAGTTTTAAAACAATGACTTCTGAAATGTTTATTCTAATAGAAGAATGTTACTGAAGAAAATACTTCATTATGCTTTATATATTTTCTTTCTAAACTTATTTTTTTCAGTCTGGATACGGTCTAAAAGATGTATACATCAGCCCAGGCCCTAGCGGCTCCGTTATATTTGAAAATCAAGATATTTTAAAAATCATAGAGGTATCACTGATCCCGCCTGTTAAATACATGTCAAATGTACATTGTTATCCCACATAATTTATTAAAATTATATCTATAAATAGCGTATATATATATTTTTTAAATATTTGATAACATCTTTTTAAAAGGTAGCAAAAAGCTTGCCTCCTGTATGGTCAAAGCATGCACACATGGGTTTCTTTGGAACATTCACTGGTGAGCAACGGATTAACATCAAACTTGATGCAATAGTAAGTTTTCTGCAAACTCCAAGCTATTAATTCAAATCACATTTCATATATTTTTCTAGCTGCAGAACTGTAGCTCTCTGCTTGAGAAAATTCGGACACATAAAGCAGAGAGCTACAGATCCTAGCGTTGTAAAAACCTTCGATTTACGCCGACGATTTTTTGTCGCTACTTTAGGTATTTATTTCGTGTAGTTTAAGCTTTCTCTGGCTTTTAGAAAATGTGTATCCTGTAATTATTCATATATTTACGCCTAACTCTTATTTTTTATACTTTATTTACCTTTTAATGGTCCGAAACAGTCCTGTATATATATATATATATATATATATATATATCGTTTTGTAATGTCTGTTTAAAAGAGTTCCATTTCGACGTCCGTAACCACAAACAGTCATTTGTTAGCGTTGATAGGTAAGTAAATTATCAGGAATTTAAAGTTAAATGTATGATTAATTGTAAAATACCATTTTTAAAGCTGGGAAAAGTATAAAATACAAGAAAAAATGCCCGACGTGAGCGACAAAAAATCGTCGGCGTAAATCGAAGAGTTTTATAATGCTTGGATCTGTAGCTCTTTGCTTTATCTGTCCGAATTTTCTCAAGCAGAGAGCTACAGTTCTGCAGCTAATATTTTTCTTGAATAAAAAATATTAATCTAACATACAAAGTCACAAAGTATGATTACCCTTCTCATATCTTTAAACTAGGACCCCGAAGGTACAGATCTCCATTTCATGATTGTATCTGGTGATCTACCGCAAGGAGTATCCCTAAACAATGTCACAGGTTACATAGAAGGTGTGATTCCGGATGTAGAAGAAATTTTCAAATTTGGAGTTCGTGCTATTGATGAACATGGAAAATATGCTGACGCAATCTTTAAAATGGAAACTGTTGGTATGGTTTCTTATCATAACTGTAAAATTAGGGACAGAAGATATGTTTAAATTGTTTTTTATTGCAATGTAATTTTATTCTTTTCTTAAAAATTTGAAGTGAAGGACCATTGTCAGACAAATCCTTGCTTGCATGGCGGATCATGTACAGATACCAAAGGTTGGTTCAACTGTACCTGTCGAAGTGGATATGGAGGTCCCAGATGTGAATTTTGTAAGTAAATGTTGTTCATAAAATCTTGATTTACAATTACGTTTTTCTATAACCTGTAGAAATTATGTTGCACAACAACTTTTTTAAAGGACTATCAGTGGCATACATATATCGTATGTAACGACACAATGTGTATCAAAACGAGGCCATACAAAACTTGCATGTTTCAATAAAACATGTATTACTCGTATTATACTTAATACATGTATACATGTTTACATAAATTATTTCACATTTCAGTATTGTATTTCAGATTTTAATGATTTACTTTCTTTGCCCACTACAGCTTGTGCCTCCCAAGCATTGGGAGTAAGTGACAAAAACAAGATTCCAGATGCTCAAATGTCTGGTTACCTTACGTACAGCTCATACTTGGAATCAAATGGACGATATCGCGCTTCTGGGTATGGATGGGTGGGATCCAACAGCAACTCATGGTTACAGGTGGATCTAGGTATTCACAGATTTGTAAGGTTTATGACCGAATGCAAATAAAATTTAAGTATGCAGCCATACAAGGCGATAAGACTGCACATCATTCGGTTAAAAAGTAAACAAACTCTCTACTCCTTCTTTAATATATTCAGGTAGAAATACTAATAAAACATACTGGATAAAACATAAAAATGAAGAAAAAAATCGTAGCTTTTCAAGCAACTTAAAAGCAATTCTACATGTAATTTAATAATCATATCTATTCAAAAACATGTTTGTTCTAAATTCCCTTTCCTGGAAAAACACGAATAATGCAATCTGAATAAAATTTGATTTGAATAGAAAAAAATTCTAGCGTAATTTTATTAATTTGTTAAGAACAATTTATAAGGCATGTTAGGCAATTTAGTAAACTTGGTATTGAGTTGCTTAATTTATTTTGAAAGGTAACCTGACTAAAGTGTATGCAGTAAGGAATCAGGGCTACAGTTCCACGTACTATAGTCGTGGGTATACCCTCTCTGTTAGCACAGACGGCACCTCATTCCTGTCCGTAAACAACACTAATGGAGGAATACATGTAAGTACTAAGTAGTACCATGTCTAATTCTGCTTATCTGATCCATTTGTTTCTTCATGTATAGCTGAAACCCTTTATTGTAGTACCTGGTGGTATTGAATAACAACGACTGTCTAATTTTACTGACACATGCATGAAGTATTTGAAATCTCTCTAAATATCAATGGTGCTTTTTTTTCTTCTTCCAGACCTTCTCTGCCTCCACAGGAAATTACCAGTACTCACTTCCGGTTCCTGTAGATGCGCGATTTGTTCGATTTCACCCAACTTCATATCACACTAAACCACAATTTAAAGTAGAACTCTATGGATGTCATTACCAGTGACACAGGAAAGCGAATCATAACGGAAATGATTACATTGTTTCCAATTTCTTTCAAATAAAATGATCTTTTGAAAGAACTTTTATTTTATTCATTTATTTTTATCCCAGTAATAGTAGTAAATTATATTGGCAAATTTAGTTTGCTTCTTCGAAAATTACGAGTAAGAACTGATTCAGAAGCATAGTTTGTATTGGATGACATATACATGCACCAATTGAAACTGAAATGGAAATGAAAGCAAATACGATTTAGCAACTATTGATGATTAAAAAATCTTTATGGTAAGAAAGCATTATTGAGTGATATTGCATTGCATCATTACAATTAAAAAATAATTTCTACGTGAGCTTAATTTTGGCTTAGTAAGTGGGACCATCAACTCGCGTAAATTGCGTTCTGCCAAACAATTAATTGCATCATTAGGGATTTTCAAAAGTTGCAAAGTCAATCACGTTTTACTCCTGACGATGTTCTGAAAACATATCTCACAGGATGAAATATCTGAGGGAGAGTAGATTCGAAATTGTTCAGATCATGACCCTTGGGCTTCGATGTGGCCACAGTAAGGAATCAAATTTTGAAATTGCATTATATAAGTAAATCTTTTTTCACAATAACCACTGTGCCAAAAATGATGAAATCTTGTGGATGCTTCCTAAAGTAGTTTTGATAATAAATCGTTTAAATCGTGCACCTCTCCCCCCCCCCCCCCCCCGCCCCCATCTAGGGAATCAATAGGCGGAGCCGCAACAGGAAATCAAAATTTTACATTTTGATATACAGGAATTTAAATTATTAAAATGAAAAATCGTCTCAAGAACCACTGGACCGGAAATGGTGAAATATATGTTGAAGCTTCCTTAGGTAGACAAAAATGCAGATTTTCAATTGTTCGAATCATGGCCCCGGGGACAAGGGTTGGCTCACAAGAGGAAATATTAAAGTATCACATTGAAATATATCTTAAATAAATATAGACAAAAGTGTAGATTCTAAATTGATTAAACAGTGACCCCTTCAAGTTGATACGTTTGGGCCACAATAGTTAATCGAATTGAAATATTTAAAAGTATCTCTTTAAAAACCACAGGGCCAGAAGTTGTGAAACTTATGTTGAAGGTTTCAAAGGTATAGTGTATATTCTGAATTAATTAAAGAATGCCCCCCGGGTATGGGCTACAATGGGGAATCAAAGTTTTACATTGATATACGGGTATTTAAAGAAAAATCTTAATTATTCTTCTTTTCAAGAACAGATGGGCTAGAAAAAAAATAAAACTTATGTGATAACTTCATATGGGAGATTGGATTTATAAATTGATTGGATCATGTTCCCTCGGGAGTAGGTTGAGACCACAATAGGGAATCACAATATGTCGGGGGGGGGGGGGGTTGAAGCCCAAGTGACTCAGGTGAGCGTTGTGGTCCTTGGGCCTCTTTTTATATTAGTTGTCTTAAACATACATGTACATTAATCAGCTGACCACAATACTTATATCGATTTTATTTTTGATCAAATCAATGTTAACAGTCAGGAAGATATTAATAAAATAATGTACCACAAAAAAAGTTTATTGTCTTTTTATTTGCCGTTATTCTTATTCAAACATCACATCCATACAGCTCCACTCTCATTCCTGGCTTACTGTGGAACGTTTTGGGTATAAACTTGACAAACCTCGCTTTGAATGGCGTCAGAAACGTGTGTTTTATCACGGAGTTTACGTTACTGCTCCCGCTAAAATCCTAAAGCAGTAAAAAAAGAGTATTATTTATATCCATTTGACCTTCTTTCAACAATTAAGATTCAAATCTTAAACATTTTTCAATACTGATTAACGACGTATTTATTATTCTTTACTCAAGCATGTCTTGATGGATAGATATATGGAGGGAATCATATATTTACCATGACCGAGGTTCCGTTTTTGACGTCATAGAACGTGTTTCCGTTCACGCTGTATTTGATCGTGTACGCCAAGATGTAATAGCTGGAAGATGCGTGGCCTTGGTTTGCCACAGCGTGTAACTCCATTTCTCTTCCAAGGTCCACCTACAAAAAGAATGTCCATGCTGAGCTATTTCACTGAATATTAACTCGCAGGACAAAAAAAACAACAACATTAAAACAGTTTTAAATTACCTGCAGCCATGAGTTTGTATTTTGTCCCACCCATCCTTGTGGAGAGTGAAGTCGACCGTCTACACCGGCGCTATCGTCATAGCAGTAGTGACAGGACATCTGAGCGTCCGGGATTTTCTTCCTGTTCTGGTCAATTCCAACAGGTGCAGAAGCACAGTCTAAGGGATGATATATATCGTATGCTTAAGAGTGTGACGTTACTGAAATAAGGCGATATTGATGCAATTGTTACATGTAGGATAATGAGGAGTAGTTACTTAGTTGACATGTTTTCCCGCCATACGGTTTCACGCATGCACATTCGAAATCTTCAATATCGTCACTGCAAGTTCCACCATGTAAACATGGTGAGCTTAAACATTGGTCTCTCTCTGAAAGTTATAAAAGAAAGGTGCGGATCATGAAATCCAAGCAAAACTAAAGACCTGCTCCGTATCAAACTGTTTGAAATAGAAGATTAATAGCTGATTTACGGACTAAAAATTACTTAATTATCATGCAGGACAGAAAAATATATTAAAGACATAGAAGATGCCAATCATTTTGGTATCAATAAATACTTTGAAACATGGTGTACTGTGGAAAAATAAAATTCAAAACATTTTAATTCATGTTATTATAACCTCTGGTATCAATCGAAAATATCTGATCAGCATATTTTCCATGTTTATCTGTAACTCGGATTCCAAATTCGTACGTTGCATCGACATCAGGAATGCGCCCAGTTATTTCACCAGTAAGTTTGTTCAGATGAACACCAGGTGGCAGTGCGCCAGATACTTTTTCATATGTAACAGCTCCTTTTTCAGGATCCTGTATTATAAGTTAACTTTCAAGTTTAAGCAGTTTAGTATAATCAGTATATAAAGAGAAAACACTTGTATGCATGTACTTGCAGATTACACACCTGAGCTGAAACGCTGAGAGACACCGTTTTTCCTCCTAGGAAAGTTCCTAGAGTTCCATGCGGGGATTTTTCACTCCAAACAGGCGGAAGGCTATTCACAAGCTAAATGCAATATAAAAAATATTGCCAGGTTAAAAAAGGTTAAAATGTTGAATTTGGTAGTATTGTATATGTATCTATTTTGGTGCCGTGACCAGGATCATAAATACCTCAAAGAGTTTAAGCATATCTGTTTGTCCGATGAAAACTGTCCCATTGCCTTGTGGAATCATTATTATGTCTCCCCCATTTGGACCAGCCTTTTGATAAAAAAAATATTGATCAACAAAAAGTCGAAAGAAATGCAGAATTGATAATTTTAATTTATTGCCAAGAACTAATGATCTATAAAAGGCTTAGTTTCATCAATTAAAGAAATAAATTTGTTAGATGAAAAAAGTGTTCACCTTTATAGTAAGGTTTCCACCTTGTTCTGCCGTAAAAAATACATCTGGATAGTGAATATCAAAGAAACTGAAATAAATTTTATAATTTAGCTTTAATTTGAAGCAGATGCCTTATATGAAAATGTATCTGTTTTAAATCTAAATTACGCAATTACATATTTTCAAAATGTACATTTATGAGTCATGAACGTATTCATTAATTCGATTCTTATTCAAAGAATTCAGAAAGCAAAAATCAAAAACATTTACCTTGCAGCACAACTTTCAAATCTGAAAGTTAAAATAACAGAAAATGCTACAAAGAATAACTTGGACATCTTGGTTTATCCTTCGTCTTCAGGTAATTCCAAATGTGTATCTTCGAGCAAGATATTAATCATCTAAACCTCATTAGAAACCAAGGATTGCTACCGTGTTTGGAGTTTTTCTCTAGTACGATTTACAGGTAAACTGTGTTTTTCAACTATTCTTCAAAGGGTAAGAAAATTAATTTCACTCTTAAATTGATATTTATGAACGATTAATCACTTAAAATTACTATTGGTCTAATTGTAATATTAACAAAAAAATGAAAAACTAAATAAATGAAAAATTATTTAATTAAACCAGCATAAAACTAGAAAAAAATATATGAAGAATAATGGTAGTTTGTACATCTCAAAGAATTTACCGACTTACTGATTTTTTACTGTCATATGATAGACGTATAATATTTTATTTTAAACAGTGCACCATGATATGGATGTTAGCCTTGGCAATCGCTTGGTCTTTGCAGACCGTCTCATCAGCTTCTTCTTCATTTGAGTGAGTAAAAAAAAATATTTAAAAAAAAAGAAAAGAAAAAGTGAAATGATCTTAAAAACTTTCATGAGTAACTCTGTCTCAAAACTAATAGATTATTATTTCTTTCTTGCTAAATACCCTTTCAGTGCGTTGGTTGTACACAGACCACACGTGGATATTATTGCTGAACAAGATGGGAACCTAACTCTTAAGGTACATTGTTGCTTAAAACAATAAAACAGACTTTCAATGTTTCAGAATAACTTAGTTTAATGTACATATCTTTTTATGCACAATTTAGTCTGGCTACAATGGTGATATCAGAATTGTACCAGGGGCCAATGAAACCGGAAGTGTATATTTTGATGGAGAGGACCTTCTCCATATCATTCAGGTATCGTTCTTCGTATACGGTATTCGCTTTTCCTATATAATGATTTAAAAACTAAAGGATTTGTCACATCGTTAATTAACACTTTTAAGATCGAGTAAAGAAAAAAACTAAAAATATGTGCAATGAACAAAATTTTATCTTCGTGCACACCACTTATTATGTTTAAAGGAGTAATATGTGTTTTAGGAGTGATACATGTATTCAATATTATGTTGAAACTAACATTTTATGTTTAATATGACATCTTTTAATAGATCATTGTAAGTCTACCACCGGTATGGGATGACCATTCTCCTTTCGGCTATGTAGGAGAATTCCACAGTGGTGAGAGGGTGAATATTCAACTTAGGGCAAAGGTAAGACATTCAAAATCGTCTTTATTAATTGAACATTCAAAATAAACGCCTTTGTAACCTCAGACTCTTGTATTTCATATAAGTAAGTTTGTACTTCCTCTACTCTCTTAACTGTTCTGATGAGACAGTCACAAACACGTTTCTTTTTCCAAATTTATTGAATCAATTAGACAAAATATCATACTATATCAATTTACAATTTGACAAGAAAAAGGGGGACAATGGAAGTAAATGGCCACATTGTGTTAACCCAGGGTCCGAGGGGATATCCAGTATACCAAGCTGGAAGGTATAACGGGCAAACTGGTGGCCTGGCGTTGAGCGCCAGTACCAAAAATCCCAAACAGACATCGATATGATGTTCCTCCATACCCTATGCACCAAAACCACCCATGTTTTATTCATTATTTTATTATAAGCACACCCGACATAAGGTTATTTAACATCACTTGATTGCCCTCATCAGAGAGGTGTGTCCCAAAATAGACCTATGTTGTTGACCGATATGATATCATGTAATATAGCCCCCCCCCCCCCCCTCATTCAGTAATGAACTTGTTGACCTGTTTGTTTATTTTCCTGTGTTTTTATCAATCTTGTGGCCACTTTTTAATGGTGCACCATGCCAATATAAGCGATGATCAAAGGGGACCCCCAACCCGTTGTTAGGAGACTTCTTTGTTTATCTTTTCTTGTGCAATATTTGTTGGTGAATACTTTTTAGATTGTTTGCCTCCCTATAATCTCTGGGGCCCTGGTACTGCAATTTGAAACCCAGATTGACACCATTTAACATAACTGTTTTTTCTTTATAATAAATTAATGTAGGTAGTGTAGTGAGACAATCTGTTAACATTAATAGGAGTTTTCCCCAGTGTACAAATTGATGATACAAGGCTAGAATTGTTTAGTGCTCTCGCAAATGGATGCTGCATGTCTCCCATCACACAAGTTGCATGCATGGTTGAACCTACAATTTGGGTAAAACCTGCATGATTTACCAGCATTATAGTAATGACAATATTGGGTAGCATTAGCACTAGATGATGAACGGTTTTGTTGGGCTGAAATTATGTTATTTGTGTGATTGACTTTGCCTTGAGGGTTAACCCTATCTTGAGCCTGAGTTAGACTGTTGTTCGTGATATACAATAGCCACAATTCGCTGTTTATTTGGCCCCAGGAAGACTGGGGGTTAGACACTTTGAGTAGGCGAAACTGTTCATCATACTTGAACCAACCTGTAGATCGGGATTCTGCAATTCTTACATCCCGCATGTATTTTAATAGTTCCTGGGACCTTGTTCTATACTTTTCCAGCATAATACTTGTAAATATAATGAATGCAGATGTCCATTCTTCAATAGATAGGAAAGTGTTTGATTTTTGCTTGACAAGGCACATGGTGCCGTTGCGTATTTGAATCTGACCTTGTGTATTTTCGTGGTCGACCAGTTCCCTAGCGGATTTTAAGAGGAGGGACAAATTTATGAACTGTCCCTCCCAAATTTTTGTTTTGAACTTTAGAGGGACATGTGCATTGATCGGGTCCAAGGCGCAAGTGTTCAAAATTGGTTGATATTCTTGAATACTAAAATTCGGTCCAACAAAATTTTCAGTGGGTGGCATTAGAATCTCAGACTCACCAATTTCCTGATTTGTAGTTATCCCGACCAATTCGTCTCCATGAGGCTGGCTCTGACTGGCCACATTGACGATGGCCCCCGCTGGTGTGGGAATTTGGTCGACGCCATGTTGCGTGTGATCGCCATGTGGTCCTGTCCTTTCGCCCTCCCTCCTTCGTTTCCTTCCCCTGCCCCTGGAAGGCGTTATGAAGCTCCGTGTGTACTCCTTTCTCCCTCTCGTATCCGTGCGAGTTCGTACAGGTGGCATATTTTCCGGAGTACCTCGGATGGCAGCCGATACTTCTCAAATTTACAAAAAATTTTGTTGTGCAGGTTACTGTGATTTTTCCAAACAGCGGAAACGGAAATTGTGTGATATTAGATAGGTCGTACCAAGGAATGGTGCAACCAATTAACTTGTACTTAGTATAAGCATACAATCAAATCGCACTAGACTTTTTACGTCAATTAAATGAGATTATTTAATATGTTAATAAAATAATCTGTCTTAAATTCATCACTTTTTTTCTTCGAAGATCGTCTTATTGACTCATTTTGACGATTTTACATTAATGGACTAAATATAAAATACAGATACATCTCCAAAAAGATATAGAAAATCTTTCTAACAATTAATCACAGATAAGGTCTAAAGAAATTCATAATATATTAAAAATTAAACGCAGTGTTTTGCAAAGTAGATTCTGGAAAAAAGGTACTTTAGGTACTAGTATATAAATGAGGTGACTGAAATGCTTTTTAGGATCCAGAGGGAACAAAGATAACATATCAGCTGATAGGTGGGGAGCTACCACCCGGAATCAAACTGGACAAAGTGAGGGGCACCCTTAAGGGACTGGCCCCAAATACAGAGGATCTCTTCACCTTCACCATCAGAGCATATGATGAACACGGAAAACATGCCGACAACGTTTTTAAAATGTTAATTCGAGGTAGATTGTTTACTAAATATGGAAGCTTTCTGAGACACATTGAGACTTTCGAATGATTTTTGGATTTGATTTTTATTTTAAACAGGGGCCAACAAATGTGACTCCAATCCCTGTGTTCATGAAGGACGTTGTGAGGAGGTTAACGGAAGTTACGTATGTCGTTGTCCACATCCTTACGGCGGAAGGACTTGTAATTTGGGTAGGACACTGTTGGCACCGATTCTTTACATATTAATTGTTGTGTTTACATCATAATTAATTATTTTTTTCATAATCAGAAAACGCATTTAAAGAAACAACCAAAAGTGCATGTCTTGAATATCTTAAAACTTTACAAAATAATCATTGAAATTCTTGAAACAAAGATTGTTTCTTGAGATTTGAAGAAAATTAAGTGTAAATATATCTAAACAAATATACCATAGATTGTAGAAGTAACAGTCTTGGAGTCCGACAGAGTAAACGCTGGATTCCGGACGCCCAGATGACGGCTTACAAATCGCAGGGTAACGATTTCGCCTATCATGGCAGACAGGATTATGGCGGGTACTGGAGAGGGAAAGATGCTACCTCCTGGCTGCAGGTCGACTTAGGTATTGAACAAGCTTTCAAAAAGCTTTACACTCTTCAGCCACAGCCTTAAACAGTAAACTGACATACACCTATGAGGCAAAATAGTTTTTGAGCATTATACATGTACTTATTGGTTTTGTACATCACAAAAGTTAGCCCTGCCATTTAATCAAGGGGAACAAAGTTTCAATATTTGCATGCAAGAAAAAGAACATTCTTTAACGTAAAATGAAAGAAATTGGAATTCCATTATAGATGCTAGGAAAGACATGTCATTTTCATTGATTCCCAATTTTCATTTGTTCGTTTTATCGATTTTTTTTTTAAATCTTGATTTTTTTAAGATTGGAAATCTTGGAAAATTTCTTCAAAACGAAGGAAATACTAGTAACACTCAAGATATTCAAAATCAAAGTTTTGACTTTAATCTTCTCTATCTATGGTTTTGAAGAACTTTATCTCTCTAACCTTAAATGCCCTTCTATTACATTTATTTCAATTCATTAAACTGTCAAAAATATATGCCTCTACTTTTTCCTATTCATTAGAAATTTATATGCAAGCGAAGAAAATTATGACTATATGCATTCAAGGATGATTTATTTAATGATAAATTTTACTTATTTCATAGGAAATGTTACTCGTGTATACGCCACGGTTATGCAGTATTATGGAAGCCGCCAGTACACACGTTCCTATAGTCTTCAGTATAGCACAGATGGGAACAACTTTCATAACTACACTGTGGGAGGCCACTTATCGGTAAGCGTTTATTTATTTATTTTTTAAAGGAAAATCAAAGATAAAATTATAATATGCTTTCCGTATATTTATGTGAATACATTGTATGGTTGAAAATGAAAAACGTTTTCCTTTCAAATGCATTTCAGACATTTTCGGCTGGTGCCAGCACCTACACTCGGCCACTCCCAGAGCCCGTGGACGCCCGGTTTATCCGTTTCATTCCCCATGGATGGTATTCGTCATATGGACCGTATATGAGAGTGGACGTTCTGGGTTGTCATTATTACAATCTTTAATAAAAGACAATACAAACTTTTGTTTTTTTTAATGGACATTGACTGATTTTCTCGCTTCTATATGCAAAGTATTTGCTTTTTGGGGTGTTGTCCATATTCTCTCCCAAATTAAGTTTTTTTTCTCATTTTTTAGCCGGGCTTATTGCTCAAAGAGCAATTGCCGGCTTATGTGATCCTGTTCAAGGCAGGATGTTAACCCCATAGTCGCCATTTTAAAGTTACGTGCAAAAATATAGTTCTTACTCTCAACCGCTTTTGAGATCATACAAACGCTAAATAAAGCAACAAAAATAAACGAAGTTTTATCTATATAAAATAAACATTAGTAGTAATGACTTTGAAAACTTCATAAGTCAAAGAACATAGTTCATTAGCGTAAGGATTTTTGATAATCAGTGTTACCGTAGTTCTCTAAACATACGAGGTAAAGCAGGAGAGGGAACCAGACTGGCCTGTTTGTATACATTCAGCTGCGGTACCAGATTAATTCTGATTCTGACAAAATCGGACCGTGGTATTAGGATTGAAAAACTCACTGTCAGTGTCTTATCATTTATATTGATAGTTTTAAAATAATTTTTTTCATCAGAATATAAACGTGATTCATGTAAGAAATTCATTCTACTCTGTAAATGAGCCCGGCTCTCTGTACTTCTGAGTACTTTGATTTTTAATATGACATGCAATTACAAATTGTCATTTACAATTTTAATTGAAGAGCATGAAAGTTATGAAAAATAAAACATTATTAAAGTTTCATTGAGATATAACTTGAAGTTTGTCACATGATCAAATCCTTCATAACACATAGCATATCCCAATGAAAATCGGAAAAAATTATAAATTATACTTGTGACAAAGAAAATATACCCAATTTTGTCTTTGTTACGAAAATGTAATATAGTGTATATACAATGTATGTACAACTTCATATGACGCCAGAGTCTTGACCTTCAAAATGTTTTGTGCGGTTTGCTAATCCAAAAAATTGACAAGCTTCATTCCAACCAGAAGGAGTTGAAACCAGAGGGGACTGCAGGTTTCTCCTTAATTGTCTGTCCGTCCGTCTGTCTAGCTGTTCAACTTGCTGTCCGTCTGCCCCCCCCGTCTGTCTTTAAGTATGTACCACTTTGTTTTTCGCTTGTTTAAAAAAAAAAAGCTTGAAGATATTAAGTTGGTTCTTTGGTATGTTAGTGTTTTTCGATGAGTAATAGATCAAGTTTGGATTTCTTGATTGATTTTGAGGGAAATGCAGCTTTTTCAAGTCAACGGAATCTACACTAAAAACATTATGCCACTGATTTATTGGGACTAGAATATAATTAAAGTGCATAAATATAGTTTTGATACTTTGTTAACGATGCTAAATTTTATTTCAATTTTTTTTTTGTCAAAGTTGCTGCAAATAGTCTTGTCATAAAACTATTAAAAGCTGTAAGAGATTTGTTTATAAAATCAAGATATTGGTACAGTGAACATTCTTTCAGAACTTGGGGTTTTAATCTCCACTGCTGTTTTTTCTGCTTGCCTTCAATCATTATTTGTTTATAAAGACGTTAAAACAAGTTATAGCCATCTTGAATGTTATATACAGCCACTTCGAGGATTTTGAAAAAAAAGTAAACGTAAAGGGATTGGTTTTAAATTGCTCCGGAATACTAGTAAAAAAAAATTGATTTATCTTTTCATCTGCAAAGCAATTTTTTTCTCGTCTAGACAGAAAGAATTCAAATTCATTTGATTTTTAATCTGCAACTTATTTTTTTGTCTAAGAATGTTAGATAAAAATGTCTATGACATAATTTTTAGTCTATCGTACTTCTTGAATTGGTGTTGTCCTCTTAGGTTTGTTTACAAATGCAATTAGCACTCATTTATTCTGGGCAGATCACGAATCTTGTAAATCTTTGTTTAATTTATTTTGAAATGGTAATATTAATAGCATATAGGTTAATAGCTAATGGATAAATAAATTGGTTGCTTTGGGAAGAAGGAATGAGGTAAAATGAGGATATTACGTGATTTAAAGATGGCGGAATTCAAAATTCAATATGGCTAGTGTCTGGGTATTAAGTGTTTTTTTCTTTTGGAATATTTTCATCCACAGTCCAGCGACCACACAAAATCACGAAGAGTGAGTATTTTTTGAGTACATATCAATACACAGAACACATTAAAAAATATATATATAGAATACTGATACAAATCAAACAATATTAACTTTACCAGGAACAATGTATATATATAACTATATAAATACAATAAAACATATACATGTTGTCGGGTTTACCAACATATCAGAACTCTGATGACTGTCAAATAGGTTCCTAATGCTGTATATACTCAGGTATACTTAAATATTTCCAATATTTCATCAGATCAAACTCAAATTAGCTTTTAAAGGACAATTTCAATTTCTCTAGAGTTTAATTGTCAAAATGGCATAATTGTTAAATCAGAGTAACCCTGCAATTTGTCCAATTTTGTGTTCAGCATAACTTTAATGATAAACGTGAGTTTTGCTTAAGAGTTTTGCAGATTCACTTCCCGAGTGTTACAATGGCAGCCCAAAAGAATGGTTACCTCACGGCATCGGTGAGTCCAGTTCAGACGTCTAACAGTCTTACACACTCTTGTACATGTACAAGAAGCTTATGGCAAATTCTTCAGATCATGCCTTGTATTCTAAATATTACTTTTAATTCAGACAGAAGATGGCGGAAACATTCACATAAACTCCGGAGGAAACAAAACTGGTGTTTATTTTGATAATGAAAACTTGTTTCGAATTATCCAAGTAAGAGCTCAAACACCCTGAATTCAATATTGAGTTAAAGAATACATAACCTGTCTTTTTGCTATATGACAGTACGTTGTATTTAGTTTAATGAAAATGTTCATCATTATATTTTGTTTTTCACATCAATATTTCTGCCTCAATTACTAGACTAAAGTATAACAGATTTAAGGGGGGGGGGGCGCAATTAACGTAAATCACAGTTTCGTTTAGAAAATGTAAACATGTATACTTGGTAGACCTCACTTTTTCTCTATAAAATCTCTAGAATCCAGGAGCTTCCGGGGGCTTCGCCCCCTGGGCCCCACCAGGGCTTTGCCCTGGACCCACTGGGGGCCTCAAGGCAGCCCCCAGACCCCTTGCCTACTTTTGGCGCCCCCTCTAACTTCAATTCCTGGATCCGCTCCTGTATAAATACCCATGTTTCTTAATGCATATCACAATCGCACCTTTCTATTTAATTCCTTTAAGATTGCCTTGAGCCTCCCACCTGTGTGGATAAACCATACTGACACTGGATACTCTGGAAGATTCGAGGGAGGAAAACATTTCAATATTCCACTAAAACTAATGGTAAGCCCCAACTCTTTAAACATCCTTAGAAGAATCCTCCTTAAACTACAGTATACTGGAAGTAATCCAACCTTTCCAATCAAACTCTTCATCATTTTTCTTATCTCACATAATACATCTAAGAAGTACCGCCATTCTTTTATGTGGCTGGCAAATCAGTGTCTGGTTTATGGAATTTTTAGTTTTTGGAGGCCAGTTTCCATAAATTAAGTCCACCTATGGCGTGTCAAACGTTGCTTTATTCGACAATCTTGTGATGTATACTAGTATTCAAAATCTTATGATGTTTATTCAAAATCTTGTGATGTATATTCAAAATCTTGTGATGTATATGAAATATCTTGTGATGTATGTTCAAAATCTTGTGATGTATGTTCTATAATCTTGTGATATATGTTCAATATCTTGTGATGTATATTCAAAATCCTGTGATGTATGTTCTATAATCTTGTGATGTATGTTCTATAATCTTGTGATGGATGTACAATATCTTGTGATGTATATGCAAAATCTTGTTATGTATGTGCAAAATCTTGTTATGTATGTTCTATAATCTTGTTAGGTATATTCGATAACCTTGTGATGTATATTCAATAAACTTGTGGTGTATGTGCAAAAGTGGCATTGTGGGTAATATGACGCAATATAGTGTTCTGGTAAAGTAAGGACAGTTTTCATTGGTTGGATATAACGAAAGTAGCGCGGGGGTGATGCATATGTAGATCAACTGGACTTAATTGATACAAAGAAAAGAGACATAAGATATGGATTATGTATGCAGATATATTGAGGAAGATTTAAATGTAATTAATGGAGTGAAGTCCTGAAATCATCGACTCTTTTTTTCACAGCGTTCTGGTCTAGGTCTACTTTCACTTTTTAGACCCATGAAAAAAGTTCTTACAAAGGTAATCTAAACTAGAGCCGAGCTCGTTGCAAAGCAACGAGTAGGTCTTCCGTCGGAGCTGCGGACAAGGAGAAATGACCTTGGGTCAAGGTCATGCCACATTCTACTGTTAAAACAATCTTTTAAGGGTAGATGTCATCTTATTTATGTTTTACTATTAAAAAAGATAGTAAAGGAATGTTTGCGACCTTGACCTTGTTAAAATCACCTTACGTCACACCATGACACACGCTGGTGATAAGCAAAGCCATTTGTGTGCTACCGTATTGACGAATTCTTAAGCTATATTTTTTTCGATAGGCTTTGTCACAGCTAATACGTGTATGCATGTGTAAATCTAGGTATGAAAGTGTTATCCTTTCTTTATCAAAAGTCATGGTCAATTTTAAGCAATGTTTAAAGCCGGTTAAGCTTCAAGGTCAAAGTTCATTACATGCTAGTATTTGAAATGATTTTATCATAGGTCACATACATTTGATTTTTATGTAATACGAAAACCCTATCTCTTCTCATTCAAAAGTTATGATCAAGATTAAAATTGTGAAAAGTAAGTCAAGCCTCAAGGTCACGTTGTCAAAATCAGCGTATAGGTATTTAAAAAAATGTTGTTACGGGTAATACACAGTGATAAAAATAAAAGCCCTAATCGATCTCTTTTCTCTCAAAGGGTATAACTATGGTTAATGTTTTTGAAAAGTGGGTCAAACTTCAAGGTCAAAGGGTCAAAAATCATAATGAATTTTCAAAGGCGTTGACACAGGTATTACATGTACATGTTTATAAAATGAAAGTTTTCAATAGTTATGGTCAATTTAAAGTATTGTTATTTTTTAAGTAGGTCAAACTCCAAGATCAAGGTCACGGGGTTAAAAATCACAGTATATTTGAAAATTACATGTCACAAATAATGCACATTTGAAATATGAAAGTCCTATTTCAACTCATTCAATAGTTATTATCAAGTTTAAAGTTCTCGTGACAGATAGACACTGTCAGACTGGTTGACAAATAAGGTTTAATGTGTCCTAATAAAAATAAATACATGTTATTTAAACATGATGAATTGAGAAATACGAAGAATAAAAAACTAGAAAATATTAGAAAAATATTGCACTGAAGCTATATTCAAATTCGTGTTTTTCAACTGCTTGAATCTAAAAATATTATTTACCGTGTGTCTCTAACACATTTCTTAAACTTTTCTACAGTTAAACATTCCTTACAACCGTTTTTAATTGTCCTTCTGAGCCCGAACTTGAGATAATATGGATGGCACTGTAGCTCTCTGGTGATCCATCTCGATTTTTTTAGAACAGCTAGCGAGCTACAGATCTGCAGCATGACAATTGTCATAAAGTTAACTTTATAAATTCATTTGATATGTAACAGAATTGAATTTTATGAAAAGAATTATTTCTAATGCTTATTTTTAACATATGCTAAAATTATTTACCTATCAAGTTAAAATAAGACAGTAAAAAGGACATTGATACTCAGTATTTATCTGAGGAGTTAGTGTCAATCCTCAACCTCAAAGAGCGTTCGACTTGTATGATAATTGCGTATGTGTGATGAAACTGCCGCGAACTATCCCGGTCGTGAACATTAGATGTACTGGACATTCCGTCTTTTTGAAAATATTGTTCTACTCTGGACTATTCCGAGTTACCTAAACGTTTGTATGTATGTCCATGTGTGAGCGTTTCAACCAGTCTTTGTTTTATGTGACTTGACTTGATTTATTTTTCAAAATACAAACTTTAACGTTTTATTGCTTGACTTTCGTTTTATAAATCACTTGTGTTACTGTCACCAATTATATTCTATTAACTTTGTTTATTGTAAGAAATGCAATGCAAAATTCAGGATATCAAATGCAGCGAAAACTGATAACCCCCCCCCCCAAAAAAAAAAAAAAAAAAAAAAAAAAACTAGTACATATAGTACATGTACACACTTCGATGCTCGATTGTACACTCTAGAAATTAAAAAGTTTATGAATAAAAAAGTTTAGTTAGGCATACTCATCTTTGCCGACCTTTTCTTAAATTTATTTGACAACCTGCGAATTAACAATATCGTGTATGATTTTTTGGTTAATATTATAAAAGGTTATGGAGTAATCATTGATTTCATCACAAGCCCTGGCCTGCCATTCTCGACTCTGAAGGAAAGCATTGTATCAATTCAGGGGGGTTACATATCGCAGTGAGAGGAAATTTAATAATTTAATCTCTTTTAGTCCTATAAACACGAAAGAAAGGCTTGGAATATTTGTATGAAATTACAGGAAGAAATTTTGCATTTGTTAGAAGAATTTCTAATTTCGTATTCTTAAAGCTCATGTTTGGTGCTCTTCTGTGTAAAACAGCATGTAGTTTAGTTAATATTATGTACATGCACATAAAATCGTGTCATTGTGATATTTTAGCTTTTTATTTGAGGAAATCAAAGAAATTTATGAGCATATCATGCGGAAAAATACAATGATAAGTTATGTAGCAAATTATGCAAAACTCAAAGTTACTTAATTTTATTTTCGATTTTCATGAGAATTGAAAACGTCACTTCCACTTTCAATTTACTGTGTGCATTCTTCATGTTTAATTGTAATTGCTACTTTTAACAACATCGCAATTTTTTCTGAAATAAAGTAAGCAACAATTAGAATAACTTGATATAGGCCCGTATACATATAACGATTGCAATTACTTCAAAGTTGAGAGGGAGACGACGGCGCCTAAAAAATGTGTACCTTTCCAATAATATAGAATCATCCGTTCAAATTAAAAACAATTAAGTAGTGATATCCCCGATTCTTTAAATAACGAAACTATAATGGACTTCACAAGGGTAAAATTCAACATTAATTTACGTACATGTGCAATTACAATCTCTATCAAAATTGGCAGAGTTATCGATAGGTCATCCTGCGTCACCTTTCAGTGTAACCAATGGACTCGTCCAGAGAAATCATCTGTACCTGAGCAAAATCGCAGCGCCTTTTATTCATTCGTCAAAGAATAGAATCAGACATTTTATCTTTTAATACTCGTACATGTTCAAGAAAACCTTTATATTTGTGTCTAGAAATATTCTTACGATTTACGCAATTAACAAAATCTTGATTTTAAACTGAGTATATCGATGACTAGCATCGTTTTAGATAACTCTTGGACTCGCGTAAAAATAAAGAGCGGTAATGTTGACCTCCGGAATTTATATAGGTCAATGCATGTGCGATCGATAAACAGGTTGCACAACTGTAAACAAAGCAGTCATGGTCCGAGGAAAATTCACGATGCCTGAATAAAATGACAGTGAATTATTTTAAGCTTATTTTTTCTTTTATTTATAAATAATGCAACATTGAGTATCAATCGAATGAGAGATGATAAGTATTTTTCCTATCTCCCGTCTTGTAATTCAAACTTAATACAAGGAGAAAGTTGTCTCTGAATAATCTGTATGACATCCAGCTAGAGAATACGTTAAAAACTTTATTTTAACAAAGTTTAACATTCAGTTTAGTTAACTATATATTTTTAGCCAGTTTATTTCAGCTATACGTGTTATACGCGTACGCATAAAGAATTCTTCACTTGCCGTATAAAACTAATCAGTTACCTGTACATAACGTTTGCTGCTCATTCAATAACACAAGATTCGAACAAAATAACGTTTTCATGAGATCAGTAAGATGTTAAAGAACCCATTTCAAATCGATAACCATATCGAAATATTTACCGTTTTTGAGTTATAAAGCAAAAACTTTCGAGCGCCCTTGACCCCTAATTTGAGGGGCCAGCCCCTTTTTAATAATGTCAAATAATAGATCTTAAAATTATGCACAATATTTGTGAAATATGTCTTAACAAATTATTTTTAGTTTAAAAGATATACGAGGAAATATATGTAAAATTTGGCGCTTTTGGGCATTCTCATTTTTGACCCCTACCTAGCACCGTTTGGAGCGCAGAAATCGAAAAAGAAAAACCGATAGGCACAACTTCAATTCTTCTAGTATTTAAATGCAGTAGACATTCTGCTCCAGCTTTTGTCGTTTCTGAGCCTTTGTCTGGAAACGAACAGTACCAAATTTTCACTTAAAGGGAAATAACTCGAAAGCGGAAGGGATTTTTTAAAATGTATGAAAACATTTAATTGAGTTTTGTAATGTCCAAAAACTCTGAAAATTTGAACGAAATCCGTTCAGAAATGAGCGAGTTACGAGGTCTCAAAGTTGGCGTCTAGGAAAAAAAAAAGAATAATAGGGAATAATCTTAACCATCAGAATCAGTAGAAGGTCTTCCGCCTGAGCGAAAGACCTTAATAAATCAATTATTGCATATACATGTACATGTACATCACAAGATTTATAGAACATACATCACAAGATTATAGAACATACATCTCAAGATTTTGCATATACATCTCAAGATTTTGAACATACATCACAAGATTATCGAATATACATCACGAGATTTTGCATATACATCACAGGATTTTGAATATACATCACAAAATGTTGTATATACATCACAAGGTTATCGAATAAAGCAACGTTTTAGACGCCATATCCAACAATTATATGTTTTTATTGAATATTTTTCTAGTCTCTTTTGATCCCAAATTGATTTGTAGATTTTTTGCTTCTTATTATTAACTTGAGTAAATGACAAGTTTAACTGTCAATGCTGCTGTAATTTTTGTATTCCTCCATTAAAAAGCTTTGCTTTATAAGGTCTGGGCTTCGTTTTTCTTTAAAATAACAATGGGCTATACATGTACATAAGGAGAAAAAACATTTTACAGGTACCTGGATCCGGAAATCTAACTTTTGAGATTGTTGCTGGATCACTTCCACCTGGAGTTTTCCTTGATTCAGCAAATCGCCGGATATCCGGTATTGTACCAGATCAAGATGCTGAGTACATCTTCACTGTAAGAGCCAAAACCGAATACGGAAAGTTTGCAGATGCCGTTTTCCGATTTGATTCTTACGGTAAAGCCTCGAAATCTATATATTAAAGCATAAAACTTGTGATGCAATTATGGAATGTTTTGGTGGATTTTTTTCGATTTTTTTTTTAAGAATCTGATCAATGTCAAGAAGAGCCATGCCACAATAATGGTGTATGTAACGATACACGTGAGGGAATAGGCTACACGTGCATCTGTAATGGGCACTATGGAGGACTTCAATGTGATACAGGTAATAATGTTCTATCTCTTACCATCTTTAATTTATATCCGCTGAAAAAGTCTAACAAGAGGTTAATACCCTACATGCATTTCTACGCGTCTAATATATCAAACATTTTAAAATTTATTATATGATACCAAATAAGTATTTTAACCCTTTCATATTAGTAACTGAGAATATCAAATGGAACACTACATATCAAGAGTTTGTATTGATTATAACATAATTTCGATGATTTTACCTAGATTGTAGATTAAACAGTTTAGAAGTTAGAAACAAAAATGTCATACCGGATGCTCAACTGTCAGCATACTTATCACGTAACCAATCTCTGGCCTCGGAGGCGAGGTTTGATAGCAATGCTTCAATGGGCTGGTGTGGGGAAAACGCAAACTCATGGATACAAGTAGATTTGGGTATGATATCAATTTGAATATGTTTACAAACTAAATCCATGATTTCAAGGTGTGATGAAAAAAAATAGTTATAGTACTATACGTATTACAGGTGATGAAGGGAGAATATTTGCTGTGACCACTAAGTCTAGGGATAGTAACCGATTCATGAAATCTTTCTCACTGTCTTGCAGCACTGATGGTACAAGATTCTCAGACGTCCTGGATACTAACAATACAATAGCTCACGTAGGTTTATATATAGTATATAATATTTCGAAAGGGCACATGCCACTCAGATACTTTCTTATTGTTATGTAACGTTCTATAGATTAGCAAACGTACTTCAACTTCAGTACGATGTTGGCAAACATATATTTCTAAAGGTTTATTTACCTGTCGATCACATGGTGATGAAATTTAAAAATGATGTCGCATATATACCGAATGTAGTTATTGAAAAACATTCAAAGGCCATACCAATTTCTAATATAGTTCGTCGGATTCGCCGCTTCTATTTTCAACAAATCGAAATTATAATATTATAAAAATAAAATCCGCGCGCGCGTCCAAAAATATCCGAATATATTTTTTTTTCTCGACTTTTTTTTGGTATCTGACAGAAGCGCGGGGTTTCGTTAGTTTGTTTGTACTTTGTAGCAGTCTGTGAAGTTTTGCAAGACGCCCGTGTAACTGCTCGTATGTACCTGGGGTGAGCAATTAGCATAGGGGCTATCATTTTTGGGGGTCAGGCTAGTTGTTTTCTGCAAGGAGGTAACCCGTCGGGCTAGTAAAAAACATAACTACACACGCAATACATGACAAGCACAATCAGTATTTTCACTCGTTTTTTGCTATAAAATTTCCAAGCAGTTAAAATTTTCCAGACAACATGCTCCTACTGTCAATAAATCTCCAGAATCTTATCTGTTTTGCACTTCTAGCTTACTTCCAAAAACGATCGTTTTTCCTAATCCGAATTTCCTCTATTCTTCCATTCATGGTAAATACATGCAGATATCTCATTAAATTATTTACGATCACCCAATCAACTGAAAGATAAGGTTTTTGTGACTCACATGAAACATATTTCCAGTGTATTTAATGATATAAGATGAAATCAAAATGAGCTAATAGTGCAATGATCAGAAAAATGGAAGATAATTTATTTAAATTAATTTTAATTTTCTTTCATAATAATTTATGCATGATTAATATTGAGAACTTTTAACTGTAATTTTAAAAAGAATGACCTCAGTACCCTGACTTTTTCAGCAATTAATTTTTTCTCAACATTACATGTAGTATTTATTTTAATTTTTGCCCCTCTATGTGGGCTAGTAACTTTACTTGGGGCTGGTAACTTGAAAGCTGCCACTAGCCCGTGGGAAAGTACTTGATTTTTGTTCAATTGCATACCCCTGTGTACTGTAGTTATAAACACTGGGTACAAAGTAGTTCCGTACATAGCAAAAGAAATGGAATCAGAGGAGATGTTTGACAAAAAAGAGAAGAACTTAGAAATTTTTGCCACTAATATTAATTATATTCGCTCGCCTCATGATTTTGAAACCTGAAATAAAAAATAATATTTGTAAAATATTTTCGCTCGCTCGCCTCACTTTTTATTTTTGAAAATCCGAAGAACTATATTACAAACTGGTGTGGCCAAATATAAATATTATACTGTCCAAGATATGGCAATGTGTCACAATTTATCATGGTATATGTCAAACTATTTTGTTTATAATAGGAGAAGCAAATGATAGCAGAGGGCATGAAGGGGGAAAGAATATAAACTATTGATACTGATTCTTTCTATATCAGGTATTTTCCAGTGGTATTGGGGCTTTAACCCAGCCCCTTCCTGATCCTGTCACGTGTCGGTTTGTGAGACTCCATCCCAAGTCCTACAAAGGTCATCCCTGTCTTAAGTTTGAACTTCATGGCTGTGTTCCTTAAAGTGAGCTAGTGAGCTGCATGTGACTCAATCATTTATCAAATAAAACTTAACAAAATTGTGCATTGAATACTGTATATTATTCTTTCAGAATTATTGCGTACAAGTAAAGGTTGTTTGTTGGCAATTAGGGCTTTATTCATGAACCACTATGGTTTTTTTAGCTCACCTGAGCCGAAGGCTCAAGTGAGCTTTTCTGATCACATTTTGTCCGGCGTCCGTCTGTCCGTCTGTCTGTCTGTCTGTAAACTTTTCACATTTTCTACTTCTTCTCAAAAACCGCTGGGCCAATTTCAACCAAACTTGCCACAAAGCATCCTTGGGTGAAGGGAATTCAAGTTTGTTCAAACGAAGGGCCAAGCCCTCATTCAAGGGGAGATAATTGGGAATTAATAAAAATTTGGTGGCATATTTTAAAAATCTTCTTCTCAAGAACCACTGTGCCAGGAAAGATGAAACTTATGGGGAAACATCCTCAGGTAGTGTAGTTTCAAGTTTGTTCAAATCATGACCCCCGGGGGTAGGGCGGGGCCAAAATGGCCGACCAAAGTTTAACATAGAAATATATAGGAAAATTCTTTAAAAATCTTCTTCTCAAGAATGACAAAGCCATAATTCATCATATTTATATGGGAGCATGCTCAGGTAGTGTAGATTCAAATTTGTTCAAATCATGACCCCCGGGGTAGGGCGGGGCCAAAATGGCCAACCAAAGTTTTACATAGAAATATATAGGAAAATTCTTCAAAAATCTTCTTCCCAAGAATGACAAAGCCATAATTCATCATATTTATATGGAAGCATGCTCAAGTAGTGTAGATTCAAGTTTGTTCAAATCATGACCCCCGGGGGTAGGGCGGGGCCAAAATGGCCGACCAAAGTTTTACATAGAAATATATAGGAAAATTCTTTAAAAATCTTCTTCTCAAGAATGACAAAGCCATAATTCATCATATTTATATGGGAGCATGTTCAGGTAGTGTAGATTCAAGTTTGTACAAATCATGACCCCCAGGGGTAAGGCGGGGCCAAAATGGCCAACCAAAGTTTTACATAGAAATATATAGGAATTTTTTTTAAAAAGCTTTTTCTCAAGAATGACAAAGCCATAATTCATCATATTTATATGGAAGCATGTTCAGGTAGTGTAGATTCAAGTTTCTTCAAATCATGACCCCCGGGGGTAATGCGGGGCCAAAATGGCCAACCAAAGTTTTACATAGAAATATATAGGAAAATTCTTTAAAAATCTTCTTCTCAAGAATGACAAAACCATAATTCATCATATATATATGGAAGCATGCTCAGGTAGTGTAGTTTCAAGTTTGTTCAAATCATGACCCCCTGGGGTAGAGCGGGGCCAAAATGGCCAACCAAAGTTTTACATAGAAATATATAGGAAAATTCTTTAAAAATCTTCTTCTCAAGAATGACAAAGCCATAATTCATCATATTTATATGGAAGTATGCTCAGGTAGTGTAGATTCAAGTTTGTTCAAATCATGACCCCCGGGGGTAGGGCGGACCAAAATGGCCGACCAAAGTTTTACATAGAAATATATAAGAAAATTCTTTAAACATCTTCTTCTCAAGAATGACAAAGCCATAATTCATCATATTTATATGGAAGCATGCTCAAGTAGTGTAGATTCAAATTTGTTCAAATCATGACCCCCAGGGGTAGGGCGGGGCCAAAATGGCCGACCAAAGTTTTACAAGATATATATAGGAAAATTCTTTAAAAATCATTTTCTAAAAAATAGCAAATCCATGATTGGTCATGGGACTACTTTTGGATTTAAACTTTACAATAAAAAGCCATTTTCTACTTTTTCCTACCTTTAGTGCTCAGGTGAGCGATGTGGCCCATGGGCCTCTTGTCTTTTGTTGTTTTAACGTCCCTCTCGAAAATTTTCACTCAATGGAGATGCAACCACTTGCAGGTGGAAAACCGAAAGTATTGTCCTATACTTGGCACTCATGACCATTGAACAGTGAGGGATCTTTTTCGTACCAATGCCTACTTCGACACGGGTTCTCGGTTTAAACTGTCTCATCCAAAGGACTGGTCTCCACGTCCCACAGTGGGATCAACCCGTGACGTAAGGACCAACTCTTTATTTCTCGACTCTAGAGCAGACGCTCTAACCACTGCGCCATGAACCACAATGGTCCTGATTATTTCTATTATAGCCAAGACTCTTCCTTTGCCAAAAACTTACACTGTGTTGCATACTTAACCCCCAGGAAAGATTTGAAAACTTGTATATTTCAAACATGTATGTCAACAAGATGTGAGTGAGCGGTCAACACGTTAGCCCAAAACCTAGATTCTCTACTTATCTTTGAATTCAAATGGCATTAGAAAATCAGGGGAAAGAAAACGTCATTTGTCACCGAAAATCTCATTATGAAATATTCCGTCTTGAATTCTAAGCGTACAATGGCTTCATGATTTAACTAACTCATATTTATTCGGTGTCATGGTATAGAAAATCTGAAATGTTGAATTAATTTGTCTTCTACTAAAGAACAAGTATTGTTACTTTTCTCCTTCACAATCGACATTCTATGATTAAAAATGGCAACAAACTGGACAACAAACATCCGGTTCTGTCAATTTTAAAACCTTGTCTCTATTTTTCCCTTTTACCCAGTGCAATGCCTACTCCAGTTAAAACAGATTCCATGCCATCTTTTACATAATTTTTATTTACTTAATGTTTCATCAATTATTAGTTTTTTTTCTTAATAAAGAATCAAATTTAAAAACAAATAATCAGAAAACATTATGATTCCAATAACACGGTATACTAGTATTTTTCATATTAATGTTTGCTTTTTGTTTTTAAGAAGATTTTTCTTTCTTCGAAGAGCCTAGTTTAGTAGCAAGAGCAATATCTTGTAGAAGAGAATCCAACCCATAACCCAGCACAGAGGCCGACTTCATGTTGTAAGCCTTAAACGACGGGTGGATAGACACTACGATTGGTCGCCCTTTCAATCCATCCATGTAGGATTTCTTAGACTTGGTGTGTACATATTTCTTATGAGAGGGAAGAAATGTTGACTTCAGAGGCAATCTTTTAGCAAAGTTTTTCCAGTACGATTTTACCTTTCTTTTTCTTGGATATCTTGCTTTAAATTTTCGTTTTTTATTTATTGGATAACCGTGAAGCATCCACCTGTATCCCGAACTTTTCCCAAGGTCGTAATGGTGTCGTAGTGGTCGATAATGATGCCTCTTAGTTTGATGTTGATATTTGTGATAACGATGCCTCGTAGTTTTATGTTGATATTTGCGATAACGATGCCTCTTAGTTTTATGTTGGTATTTGCGATAACGATGCCTCGTAGTTTTATGTTGATATTTACGATGGAACTTTGTGGGAACTACTTTTTTCAGCGGATACTTTCGTCTATGAGAGTAATTTTTACCTTCCTGTTTTCTTCTTTTCGGGTAAGGCTTCTTTGTTATGGGTTGAATGATGTTATCATTGTTTTCAGATTTCAGCGATTTTACGGACTTGAAGGATTTAAAATGTCTCATCTTCTTTCTACCAGAATGAAGTTTTCGGCCAAAGTGAGAAACCCTGGCCGATCTGTAGCGCATTTTTGTAGCATCACTCAAGATAACTAAAACATGAAAAAATATATACCGGTAACCTCAGAAGCAAAACTTTTGTATTTATGAACTTTGATTTTTCTAAAACGAAACGATCCTTTATATGCCTAAATCTAAATTAAATACCACAATAATTAAAAAAAGAGATAATTACAAATGTTAAAAAGACACTAGTTGGTCTGTTAAGGAAATGAACAAATACCTGCTAAACTCAAGAGAAGAAATATCCCAAGGATATACTTGGGCATTTCTACTGGCTTTTTCGAGCACCTGCTCTTCCCAAATGTAGACCTTATGTAGCACAACTATGTACGGTCTCTACAAAAGTGGCTAGTAAACTTATCATATTCATAGGATTACGCACCAGATGTCCATTATCTGGAGATGTAGAAGACTTCCCTTTTCGTGTTAAACCATTTTTCTACATCGTTAATTTGGTTCAATCTTTCATCAAATAGTGTTAAGAATAAAAAATCCGTTATGTTTACCTCATATATACCTTTGAATAACCATGTATAGGAGTTATCAAAAACGGAAATTGTGTAATATGTATCTTATTCTAGCGAATCCTAACCCGTTGTAGTACTTCTATTTTAGTTGTCCTCATTGATTTTTTTTAAAAAATATGAATAACGTAACAGAATATGCTTTTGTTTTTAGTGAACATTTTGAGAGTAATGAAAATACATCTATATTGTTGTTTCATAGTTTTTTTCTTCATCTTAACATTTGAAAAATATTTTATGCAACAAACCATCTGTAGGTGGAGCTTGTGTGGTAGCTGCAGAACTGTAGCTCTCCGAAAAAAAAAATATTGACTGTCAATTTATATTTTCGGAGAGCTACAGTTCTGCAGCTACTTGTGTGGATGACCAGAGAGCAACATATCCGTTCTTTGAAAAAAAAGTTAATTTTTGTAAATTGAGAAAAGAAAAGCTTTCGAGTTAGATCTCTGGAATCATATACATGTTTTCATCTTGGAATGATTCTAAACAGGTGTTCAAAAAACATCATTTATTACTAAATCTAGATATATTATAGCAAAACAGAGATATGACGGATAGAAGCATCTAGCAACATTACAGTAACTGGACTCTTGTGCTGTGCTTCCATATCTGTTCACTCTTTTTTTTTTTTAATTAAAATAAATTTTCTACAAATGAAACATATGGAGATAACGAACCGTAGATCAAAAGTTCATAAAACAATATAAAATAGGAGCAGAGCAAACACGGACCTCCAAAACATCAGAGGTGAGATCAGGTGCCATGGAGGAGTGAGTATCCCTTGCCGACCGGTCACACCCGCCGTGTGCTCCTTGTCATGATGGGGAAATAAAGGGATAATCCGTCGTCAATTCAGGGTATGAATAATGGACGAACAATAAGTATGAAAAACGTCAGTCAGTATTTGACTCAATGATAAATTGTATTTGCTGACAAGGTCATTGTATCAAGAACTTACGAAATGATGGCTTTAAACGAGACTGATGCAGTTCTTGTTTCATCAACTTGTTTGTCTATAATTTACCTCCTTTTAGAAATTGTACATATATAGAGCATGCTCTTGCGTAACGAATCAACTGAGATATATAAACTCGAATGCAGGTAATGAAGGTATGTATACTGCTAAATAAGTAAGGGAAGTTGACGGTAGAAAAGTTAAATTCATCACGTTTATCATTGACCTTGGTTGTTTGATTATCGTTAACGTCCTTTTCAAGTAAAATATCCAAATATGAAACAGACGTGTCAGATACTGTGGTATCTTTTATCTCAAGCTCACCAGGATAATCGACATAAGAATGGAATTATTACCATTGTTTATTGACAATACGTCGTCGATATATCTAAATGCCGAGTTAAAGGCCACAGCAAGTGTTTTCTTCTTTTCACGCATAGGATTTTGCATGAATTCTACTTCATATGAATACAAAATAGGTCTGCTAATAACGGCTGGGCGCAATTGGTATCCATGCATTGGATTTCCAACAGATCGTTGGAAGACTTGGTCTCCAAAAAGGCATAGATACTTGTATTATCAATCAGAAACTCTAGCATCTTTTTAATGTCAACTTCAGAATACTTTTATGTACAATCAGAATGTTTTTTAACAAAATAATTTTGCAATGGACCTATTACAAGGTAAGTATGAAGAAGTCCAAGGTAATTTACGAGTTCCATACTTATTGAAAGAGTAGTTGTCAATGATATCAAAGAGCCTTGACTTTAAGTTATCGCGGTGAATGGTTGTGTATAAAGTGAAAAGTCGTAAGTTTTTAAGCTGTTGATTTTAGTAAAATATTGTGATTTCAAATTGTCTAAAAGTTCCTTGGAATTCTTATGTATTCACTTCTGCTTTACACCTCTTCTAGAATATATTTTTGCACAGTACTGTTGACTTCTTCACTACTGTTAATATCTTAGTGAGGAGTACAGAAAGAGGCTTAGCTGAACATTTACTGGAACCCGCTATGTATCTTTGTTTGTAAGGATTCTTATGAAGTTTCGGAATCCAATATATAGTAGTAAAAAAACTGTTCAAATTCCTTTTGGTTCTTTGGGATATTAAAATATTCAAAACTGACATATAATTTGGAAGATTTTCTTCCTTAAAAAGGGAACTATGGGTATAAGTTGGATTACCACTTGTATAATTAAATCCTTGCAAGTTCTTCTAAAATACAATTTATATAATGAGCTTTACAAACATAGCCAATGTTATTACCTGCTTTGTCAGCAGGCACTAGTACGTACTGATCATGTAATCTATCTAATTCTTTTGTCACTTCTGGATTATTGGATACAAAAGGATAGATGATTTTCATATTGCCCCTCAATCTGTTAATACGTGATTTTAATATGGATCTTTTTCATATCTGGCGTAATCTTCAACAGTATCCATAATATTTATGAAATTCCGACGAAACTTTTTTTAATTTTATTTTCAATTCTTTAATGTTCATTTTGTATAGAGTTATAATTTCTTTTGCATATTGTATATAACAAGCTTCTATGGTTTTAGAAATATAATTCAGTTTAAACTTTTCAATTGTTGCATTCAAACAAAACTCGTTTGATGGGGTTTTCAGCTTTTTTGGTTTTAACATGTTTTGTATGTCATGTTTATGGAGGAGAAATATATGACGCTTATTTTTGTTTAATTTAGGAACGTACAAATGTAGTTTATTGCTCGATCGTTATTCGAATAATCTATCATTAATTCAAATGCTGATGGACTTCTTCATACAAGTTAAGCCATTATTTACATACTGAATTTTTACTGATTTTCCCCCTTTTCCCCTCGACCACGACAAGGAGCACACTGCTGATGTGACTGGTCGACAGGACAGGCATACACCTCCATGGCACCTAATCCCACTTCTTTTATGTCTGCTCTGCACCTCATTTGTATTGTTTCATGGACTTGTGAGCTTAAATACTGTTCGTTATCTCCATATTTAATACAATAGGATTGAGAGGGAATTGAATAAATGCCAATTTAAGTATAAGATGTAAATATTTAGATTCACTAATTTTTAAATGTGGAATAAATGAAGTTGCTCTCAGTTATTGCCCAGAATACGTGAATAACTCGACCCTCTGTAATCTTTCGGATACGAGTGTTTTAACGACTTATGATAAGTTAGGTACCATACTTGGTTTTATTACATAATCTCATAGTATTCTTTTCTGAATTATGATATTCATCTCTTTCATTTTTAATCAGGAGGATATTAAATAAAATTTCGACAAGGAAATCGAACCGTTATTATTCATCTGTAGGATTCGCTTCGTTTTTGCTTGTATATGAAAAGAGAAAACACAAACAAAAGGAAAACAAAGAAATATATGAAGGAAGAATCCTGGATTGGCAACGTGTTTCTACTCGTCCTGAGAGTCCATCCAAGGTGCTGCATATAAATATATAATGCAGTATTGTTTTAAAAATGAATTCTTAACGAATTGGTGAGTAGAATGGCAAATAATTTAGATTTATTATACAATGGATCATCGTACGAAATATGACAAATTGTAACATAATTAAAATTGGTATGATCTCTTTTATGCATTCAAAAAATAATTCTGAATATAAAAGTGTAAAAATAATCTTAAACATAAGACATACATCATGCACATAACATTTATGGACAAAGTTAAATGTTCTTTTAAAAAGTGAAACGAATCCTCAACCAATCTTTTTCATAAAATCTTTAAACTTTTGATTGACAGCATGTTTTCGTTCTTCGTTAATCTGCAGTTTGCAGTTCATTATTCGTTGCCTCTGGGAGGCCATTGACATGGGAGCAGCACCAAATTTAGACTGTCCAGCAAGATGGGATTTCCACGCTTCAGAAGTTACAGTAGGTCTTCTCTGGTTCAGAATCTCGGATATCCCAGCATTCCATCCGAGTGACGTAGATGCGCGGCGTTCCTCACGAGCATTTCCTTTGCTACCACCATCAAGTGGCATCAATTGTCTTGTTAGTGATTGGATATTTGCAGAACTATGACTGCGCACTCGCTTTGTTCCTTTTTCATGCAGACTTTCTCGTCTGGGTCGTCCCTGATTTGCTTTTATGAGTTTTCTCGTGAGACTTGACGACCCAGACATCCATGATAACGACGTGCTCTCGGAATGTAGCGACTCTTTATCTGAGCAGGGATCGTTTTCTCCTGCATTGTCTCTATTCGGCAGAGTCGTCACAAAAGTGGCTCGACCGACAGGACTGCTTTGTGGGCGAACGGCGGAGGGTAAAGCAGAAGGAATGGATGACAAACTACTGGAACTTCTGCTGTTAACAGCTGCCGACTGAGAACGTTTGAACCGTCTTTTCTTGCGGCTGACGATTCTTTCGCCGTACATAAAGCAAGGTCCTTCGTCCTCTCGTTCGTACTCTTCTTCAGAATCCGGTGCTAGGCCTTCAGGACTGTGTCCGCTACAATTGTTAATGTAGTCTAATGTCAGAGAGATCAATCGTATATCCTGGTTTATGACTCGTTTGGAATGAATTTTCTCCTTCTCCAGTAGATTTAATTTTCCTTGGAGTTTTGCATATTCGATGTTGTTTATTCTATAAGCTCTCTGTATTCGAGAGGAACTAAAACTTGGTGTTTCTAATGCTGGCATTGCAAAAGTTTAAAAGATTTCCCACAGAATATCTCACTTGTCTTCTCTGTAAGATTTCAGAGAGAAAACGCCGCCTGTGTGACGCATAATTGGTGACAAAAGCATTTTCTTTTGATTAAGAATACATGGAAAAAATGGTCCAATCACGTGGTGTGCAACTGCATTTAGAGCTTTGTTCTACGATTTAAAAAATTAATCCTGTTGGAAAGTCTTCGAAAATTAGTAAATTGATGCCAAGTTTTTCACTTCTTTGTCCATTAAGCACTTACTGATGATTAATTAATGTAGAAATTAATTAATATCATTTTCCTGCATATCGTTAATTGCGATAAAACATGGCCTATGGTGTTCGCTGGTCCTCGCGTTTCCTTCTTTGGAACAAAGCGGGAATTAGGCTTAAAATCTAATCCCTTAATATACACAAATCTCGCCCCCAGTCTATAGATACAAAGATGGTGTACTTCACATAAAATCCGGTTTGCACTTCAAATCGTTGTATCCAGTTTCGGAGAACCACCACTTTGTTTACCTTATCAGCCAGTTCCGAACTCTACCTGCAAATATACCGAGTTCAAACATTCAATCCACACCTATAAAAATCGGGCATTAAATACTAAGCCATATGTGATAAAGGAATTTGGGAGTCAGATTTACGTATAAAAGACCCCCAAATCGATTAATACAATCATTGGAGATTTGAAATTTACGTTATCTAAACATTCAATATTTGGACAAGTAAAACTCTCTCTCTCTCTTTTCGAAATTGAAACGCAGATACTTAAAACTATAGTTGTTTTTCACTGAAATTAAAATGAGGTTTTGCTCTGCAATATTTTCTGCAAATCAAATACACACATGCATTTTTTAATTCATTTTTACTTTCTTCTCATTAGCACATATATAGAGATAACACTTCGACCATTGCTTATTTCTCAAATATTGTAGATATGTATACTTTAGCTTAGTCATAAGCACTTAGAAATTGATTTTGGATTGTTTTAAATCTCAAATTGCATTAGAATTTTGTAACTCTATAGAACACAATCCATTAACAATTTACATAGCACTTCTCAGTAGCAATAATTCGACGACTGAATTGAGAGGATGGAAAACCCTTTTAAATCCTCTGTATATAAATGCAAAATCAATTTCAATGCTGACTGAAAAATTATTTGTTTCAATTTTACGTCAATATTTAGTCTGCAGACTGAATGGTGAATCTAATTTTCTAATTTGCGTTCGATAAACATAGTTAAGGAAGAAAGATTTTAAGGGATTAAATTTCTCAGATATAAAATATAGGTATGGAATGAAATAGGTGAACGAGAGAGATAATTTATAAACTTTGTAGATGGAGATAAAAATTCGTTTCCATTGCTAAAAAGGTGCCATTGTATGACTTAGCTCGTTTTGTTGTTTTACTTATATTACTGTATAGAAATACAAGAAAAAAATGAATGAATGAATGACTTGATTTAAAAAAGTACCTGGAGGTTTTCTTCACACTTATTAAATGAACAGGTGGATTTATTTTTTGTTTGTATTTTTTTTCAATTGACAGCACTTCTGCTCATTTTAAATTCACATTTGACGTAATTAGTAAAATACGTTTGAGTTGCTTTCAAAAATTCTATTCAATTTTTTAACAAAGAAGTGAATGCTGTTTAATACAGCTTGTGAATATGCATTAATAAATAGTCCAGATGTTAAACGCCCCGATTGTCAAAAGATAAAACTAACAAATAGCAAACTAATGTAAATAAAAGAATAAAAAATACCAATGAGTTAAAGTCTGCAATGATTTCACGAATATAAAAACGCTTGAAAATACGGAATGAAACAATTAGAAATTATTGAAAATATCTTATACATTTTTCAAAATCAATCTTGTATTTTACCTTATATATTGTAAATGGAAGGAAAAATATTACTCTGCGATAGACACTGTTTCCAATAGTCACCCACCCCAAAATGCAAAAGTCGAACATCTACTTACCGGGTACCAAGATTAGGTACTGTTTACCAATTCACCAAGAAAACGGCATGCTAAAATTTGTCACCGCTTCAACCTTACATAATAAATCAAAACTGAAGGTAAATAAATCCCGACAAGTATTGATAGCCTAGGTCTTTCTGAACCCACGTCTTACGATAGGGGACAGCTTGGCTTGATTTAGGATCTAGTGAGGGGCAGAATATCAGGAATCGACCACATTTAACACTGACATTATAAACACTGAAAAACGTGATTTATGGGGTACTTTGTTCTTACTCTCTAAAACAATTCTTCATTTTCGATTGCCAACATCGGAAATACTTTAACATACTCCACACGGCTTTTTAAACATAATGGCTTTAAATCTGCCATTATTACCTGTGTCTATGATGGGGTTTTCTCTCTGAAGTGCCCCTCAACGACAATAATAAAAATTCAAAAGAATGCCATAAAATGACTTTAACTTGGTGGCAGTTTTTCTGTCGGCTTTTTTTTTTATTGTTTGCTACATTTTTCTTTTCAGCCCTGTAGGTGTCACTTTTTCTGAACAAATTCAAGGTACAGTGAAAAACGCGCTAACAGGTTTAAAGTGTCATAATAGTTTGAGAAAAATAAATATTTACCACCTACCAAAGTGTTAAAAAAAGAAGACTGGGCCCAAATATTAGGGTCTATTTATTCGTGTGAAAATCTTATCAACAGTGGCTAAATAAAGAAATAATTGCCATTGTAAATATTGGCCATCTGGTGAAAAAAGTTCATGGAGCTGAATGATTCGCCGTAGAATCTTTTACCCAAACAACGGAAATTTGAGCCGAATATATCTACAAAATTTTAATGGACATGCAAAACAAATATTAACTGTACATTATTCTTTTACCTGTGCAAATTTATGGATAAAAAATATATATATTCGAGGGAATTAATTGATGTTTCCTCGTTACACACAGACCAGAAAATGCACGAAAATTCACTGACAACCGCGATTAAAAATCAAACAAAATAAATTTTGAAGGAATGGGTAAGAATGTTAATAATATAGAAAGTAATCTCTATAAAAGCTCTTCAAGTTTTTTTTGTTTTATTTTGAATTGCTAATCTGAAAAAAGAGACGAGAGGGATATTTCCACTCTTAGGTAGCCACAACAGATTATCACCAGCTCAAATAACAGATTACCGATATAAAAAATCACATTGACCCAGTGCCATAATAAACACAGCATACCCTGGCCTGAATGATTACTCCATAGTTAATCTTACTGTGAAAAAATCAGACACTACCTGTATTTATATTTATAGGTTTTTTTTCTTTCCTTTTTGAAAATATGTCAGAAATTACTTTAAATACACGATTGTTTTCGTTAAAAATATTTAAACAAAATGCAAATATATTCACCGATTAATATAAGATATGAAATCTGAAAAAGAAAATCAAGTTGAATTAAATTTTCATTACAAAAGTATTTCTCTTTTTAGTACAAAGAATTCTAAGATCGAAGATAAAGCAAAATTACCTGCTTCACCAAGAGTGTCTCTCGAATGTGTTGAGGAATCCGCGCGCCTCTTAAGAAATGAATAAAATAGAGATAGTGGAATTGCTAATGTCTTCCTTATAGATCGAACAGACTCTTGCAGAGATTTTAAACATACAGATAAATTAAACGATAATCTTAGCCATACCTGCTTCAGGGGAAAGCTTTGATACCGGGCATTCTTCATTGATCTTGTGCCGCCAGTCGCGGCTCCAAAACGGAAAATTAGATTTCACTTATCGATCACAGCTGATCAATGACCAGGTTAACATTTTTAATAACACCTGGTTGACTTTTATCAGTTGTCATATCGAGTTTCTATTTGATGTACTGGAGAAACCGTACGTCAGAAAGTATATTACATATATACTGTGTAGTCACATAGGTATGTGTACCTGTATTTACCTGGTGTATACCTACATAATCTGCATAGGTCTTATCGACACGAGTCTACACATTTCAGTTTAGAAAAGAAACAAAAGAAAAATCGGATTAACAGCGCGGTAAATAAATACTTGGACATTGATAATCCCGCGAGCTTACGAGAGCACTCTGGTACACAATTAACGAAATCAGTAAAATAATGTGTGAATACGGCTCCTTAAAAGTGGCTAAAACTGAGTTAAAAACATTTAAGGGGATTTTCAATGTTTTGTGGTTAGATATAGATTTCTTTCGGAACTGGTGTTAGATTTTTTAAACTATATTTTTCACGAATGCAATTGAAATAAATTTTTAAACTACAAAACATTGAATTTTCAGTGCATGGCATTGTCTTTGGGCTTCCTTTAATTGTCTCCTTAGTGTAGATGTCTTTAACTGAAATTTCAGAATAAATATTAAAAGATAAGGAACTAAGTAAGTTCAATAGTCTTCAGAATTGGATATTACCTATAACTGTAATACTGACATGTACCTATAAAGATGAAATATAATTTTTATCAGGTGGTAATGTGCATGAAACCTAAGAAAAGTTCATATTGTGAATAATTTAATTCAGAATTTCGTTTTTTATAGTGTGAAAAAAGTTGCTATTTTCAAACGGAAATGATTTTTTTTCTCGGTATGAAAATGAAAAAGGAAAGTATGATTTTATTTCTCGGTATTTTAGTGTTGAAAGTGCAAGAAATGAAACAAACTTTTAGTGCGATAACGCTGAATATAAACCCGAAATGACTCAGTCTAAATAGAAGTGTAAATTGTAAAATAAAAGCCAGCCAATGACACATCTGGTTGTTTAGTTGTCAATTTAAGAACCCCTCTACTCAAATAAATATGCTTAATGATTTCATGTATATTTGTACCAAGGTTTGAATGTAGATCAGAGAGAATGGGAATCTACTTCGTTTGATATAATGAACTAAATTTATTCATGATAGTTTATTATGTATAGAATCTCTCGATCGATTAAATGATGTCAATAATATAATGAATGTAGAAAAAAAGAGTATAATGTGCACATGACTGAGTATGTAGAAGGGTATCTTAATTTATAGACTGGAAGACTTGGACTCATTTACGAAGCTTATTGATTCAAATTAAAGGCCGAGTCTTGCTCAAACGGCTGCTCAATATCCGACAATTACATGTAGATATGTAAGCCAAACGACTGTATGTCTCTCTTAAAATGCTTTAACATTTAATATTTAAGAAAGCTGTATAATTTAAGCACAGGACTCCTCCAAACCTTTGAGTTACATAGAAGAAAATAGAGATAACGAACAGTATTCAATATCAAAGTCAATAGAACAATACAAAATAGGAGCAGAGCTAACGCGGACCTCCAAAACATCAGAGGTGGGATCAGGTGCCATGAAGGAGTGAGCTCAGGCTCTAACAGAGAGACTGTTGTCCCTCTGTTCTTACTCCTTACAAAAATATTATCTACGTTTAAGGAGGAACCCCAAACGTCCGTGTTACAGCATATTCAAAAATGTTGTTTATCAGATGTTGATTCTCAAAAACTCAAACAACTTATAAAAAAAATCTAATTCGGCATTTTCTTACAAATGTTAGTGACATCTCGAGAACCGACTTTCTACACTTAACCATTCCTCACGATAAATGAAAATCTATGCTTTTTGATATTATAGACAATTGCTTTTTCAATAAAAATAGAATTAAGAAATTTTCCTATCTTATGATTTGTATTTAATGAAATACCTTTGTAAAAAAAAACCTCTTATTCATCAAACAAGTGAGAACTGTAATGATGTGGTTTTATATTCAAGTCTTTGACCATAACGATGCAAAGATGACGAATTTTCGGCGCAATGTTTTCTACGTACGGTTTTCACCACTTTCTAGCATTTGTCAACTACAATGTAATTAACTTTCATTCCCTATTTCTAGACAAATTCTATAGATCTAATCATTTTATATATTTTATTCACCTCCAAATCTGTAATAGTCGTTCTACAGACCAATAAACTCGCTTTGTGAATCTGTTGGGTTATAGAATATGTGTTAATTTAGGGAATAAAAGTAAGTTGGTTGACGAATGATGGGAATGGGAGAAATACATCCCAAACAATGTGCACAAAATCTTGAGCCGTAAATTGCACCTTTTTTGCATTACGAGATCTGTATAGTTATGATCAAAGACCAAAGTTTTTTTCACCTAAAAACAAGTAAATTGAAGTTAATATTAATAAGTTCCTCAATTACATATATCATGTAGTCTTCGGAGACCGGGGCACCAGTTTTGCTACTTGATTAGCTGACCTTTATTTTATATTCCTATGGTACAGAATTTATTCGAAACATTCTTTAACGCGGTTCATATAAGTGATATTTTAATCACTGAAGAGTTCAGTCTTGCAATTCATCATATTTTGAGGTAAAAAATACACCTAGTATTTCCTACAAATATACATAAACTATAATTGCTTCCAAACTTTTCAATTAAAAGAAAACTTTACAGGGCTTGAATATCAAGTATCTGAAACATAATCCTCCATCGTGATCATGTTTTTTTCATCCTATAACTATAGCCTGACTGGACACATTATTACTGATGACGTAAAAATAATTAATAATGAGGACCTTAGATCACTAATTTTTAAAGGTCCTAAATATAGGGAACCCCGATCCTTCAACTGCCGTCGGATTTTCATTATTATTATGGATTCTGTAGAAAATTATGTCAGGCGATGAACAAGACATGATAAAGAAGACCTTGACACTTCGTCAGAATGAGTTAAATGTATCAAATGTATGTTGAAATCGCGCATTAAAGGGCAATATGAATCCATCCTTCTGTATTCAATTATCCAGAAGTGGAAAAAGAATTAGATAGATTACATGATTAGTATGTACTGGTCCTGTTGACAAAGCAGGTAACAACATTGTCTTCATTTGTAAGGTTCATAATATAATTTGTATTTTAGAGGAACTTGGATTTAATTCTACAAGTGGTAATCCAACTTAAATAGTCATAGTTCCCTTTCTAAGGAAGAAACTCTTCAAAATCAAATGTTAATTTGCAAATTTTTAATATTCCAAACAACCAAAAGGATTTTGAATTACCATATCTATATTAGATAACGAAACTTCATAAAAATTCTTACAAACAAAGATACAGAGCAGGTTCCAGTAAATGTTCTACCAATCCTCCTTATTTACTCCTCACTAAGATATCAACAGTTACTGAAGTGAAGTCGAGACTCCAAGAGTACTGTTCTACCACATATTCGAGAAGTGGTGTAAATCAGATGTGGATACCAAAAGTTTCCAAAGAACTTTTGGAACTTTTGAAATCACCAAATGTACCAAAATCAACAACATAAAAACGACTTCTCAACTTTATATACAGATATTCCCCACTATAAATCAAAGTCCAGGCTTTTGATATCATTGACAGCTACTTTTTCAATAAAAATGGATCTGGTAAGTTTACTTACCTTGTCATTTGACATTTGCAAAATAATTTTGTTAATTCTGATTGTACACACAAGAACTCTGAGGCATCTTCGCTAGCCAAGGGTTTTCGGTCCGCACCGCTCCCCGAAAACCCTTGGCTAGCGAAGATGACTATGAAGTTGATTTTAATAAGATGCCCGAGTTTCTGATTGAAAATATCTATGTGGTTTTGGAGACCACGTCTTCCAACAATCTATTGGAATTCATATGAATCCCAATTGCTCCACGTTATTGCTTTTTTGAATGCAACTATTTTGATATTAGCATGTTATCATTTACAATACACATAATAAATAAACTTAATCTTTCCTTTTCGGGTATAAAGTGTTGCAAACAACCTTTCCTATTGAGTAAATATTATTCGTAAATTTGTAGTTTGAGTAAAAGCTATCTCGACATCAGTGTTTTTAGAAGAATAAATATCTCTGTACAGTTTGTTAAAGACCTAAAGATTACACTTACTTTTCACTTCCTTTAAAGTTAGAACTATGAATTTCATTTCGCACCAATGTAATACGCAGAATAAGTCAAAGAAGCACAACTCTTATATCCTTTAAAGGGAACAGAATATGTAGTAACCTACATTTAATTTATGATTTATATTCTGACAGAGATGAATAAATAAATAGTTAAAGGGTTTGTCATACAGATAGGTATCATTTTATTTACATTTATGGTTTTAGGCCAAACACTATTTAATTTTTTTTTTAAAATACAAGATCTATATTGTTGGAAAGATATGGTTAAAAAACCCACTAGCCATGCATTATAAAATTACGCTTTATCTTGGTTACAAACGAGTGAGTGATGTTCAACAACTCATGTGACTTTTACCTAAGTCTACTCTCCAAGGTTTTAAGTTATCATGCATAACTTGTATATATTATTGTACATGTCATATACTACAGTAGTACTCATCGTGTGATAAGGTTTTGTTGGTTATCTCTCTAGGTGACCAAAATGAAGGTAAGAAGAAAAGTTCAACACGAAAGAAAAACTCAAAGTTTATGTTCCAAAATAAAGAGAACAACATATTCGTTGTCTTATCAGTACCGAAAACCAAGAGTTTCTCGAAAATTAATGTTTTGACGACTTCAGCAGATGCAAGCACATGTGGATATGTTTTGAAGTCGATTTATTTGTACTTTAATTTCTACCTCTTTAAGGAAACAATACATTAAAGATCTTACTTTTTTCTGTTGTTTCATTCAATAATTTCTGTGCAGTGACGGATTGAATGTGTTACATATATTTTGAAATTGTACACTTGAGTTCCCTAATTGGATTGTTTCAGACTGCATGTCTCTATCTGAGTCTTCTGGTAGCCATTGTATCGGCGGTTCAGTACGACTACTGTAAACAACACGCCCCTGCTGGGGCTGTCAATGGCTGTAGTCTTCCCCCGCTCGTGCACTTTAACTACGAGTACCAGTTCACACCGTCATGTAACAAACACGATATCTGTTACCACTGTGTAAGTACTCAATGATCGACATATGTAGGTTCTAAAGACTTATAATTTTGTCATTCTCTTTTTAAAATATATTTAACAGATACAGAAAATATAATCTTCTAAATACTTAGTATGATACTTGAAGACTTAGAAAAATTCCACAAAATGGTTCTGTCAAAAGTGCTTTTTTAACATCCTAAATCTAGAAGTGAATATTTTTATCGGAACTCAATCAATCCCAAATGTAATCAGTATGCCAATGAAATCTTAAGATTACTAGGTAATAATTTTATATTTTATGAATGATTATCATTATGATAATGAATAATAGTTATTGAACTTGCCATGTTACTAAATGAACAATCTAAGGACCCCCTGTAATTTTTTGCACAGGGTCACCATTATGGAATCACCAGATCTGATTGTGACCACAAGTTCCTGCATAATATGCTTGCTACATGCTCCAGAAAGAGGCTGTTGAACTGCCAGCATTCGGCCGACGCGTTTTTCGGGGCAGTCCGTACGGCCGGAGGTCTCTTCTACCGGACGGAAGTCCCGCACTACTGCACGGAATCCTGGGTTCATAATTGTCTAACATGATGCATACAGTCCAAATAAAATCAAAAGAAGCATGTCTAAGTTTTTTTTACTGGAACATGTTTTTTAAAAGCAAAAGCATAAAAATACATATAAATGTTATGATCTAAATCTAAAAGTAAAACAAAATATAAATTTTGGGTCTCCACACTCTATGACTGTGATGTATATTGACGGAGGAAAATACTTTTCCTTTTGGTTTTCAGTGACGTAGTATCGATTTTGAAAGTGGTAGGGCCAGCCAGGGAAAAAATTTAACCTTCCCGAAAAATAATTTGAAAAGCCAAAAAAAAAACTATCCTATTTGGGGGGGGGGGTTACTGTCACGCAAAGTGAGGGGACCAACCTGTCTTCTTTTCAAATACTACTTTTCAAATAGTAAAAAGTTATATTTGAAAAAAAGGGGACAGTCCCCCCCCCCCATGTTGCTACGTGCCTGGTTTTGAAAGTTTGTATTTGTGAACCAACGATTTGGCTGGCGCCCCCTTTTGGAGAATTTGGCAACGTTTAAGAGACGGTAGTTTGCTTTGAGAGCATTACACTAATAATAAACCAATAAACATATGGAGTGACCGAGAAAGATTTTTTTAATTTAAAAAAAACGCTTTTTCAGTTTTTGTAACATACTTAATGTAATTCTCTTATCTAAGGAGTCATATCTGAGTCTGCCACAACATCATTTTTGGATGTATTACAGTACTGTCTATAGACAAAAAGGACCAACTATATCAACTAAACTGTATGACAAACCAGATGACTTCAGCTTTTAATTTCCATCGTCAATTTTGCTTATTTATTTCGTAATATTCTGCTTTCTCCTGCAAAAGGTGTTTATGCCTTCCAACTTAAAGAAAATACCTGGTAATAAATAAAATCAGAATGTTCACCCAAGTCCCCCATTTTAACTTAGAAAATCCTAAAAATCAAAAAAAAATTTTAGTGGCTACTTATTCTTGCAAGTACCATATCCTAATAGCTCAAAAATACAAGATTTTTTTAATATTTAAAAAGAATCATGATATTCTTGGAATATTGGAAAATTTTAAAGGGCCTAAGGTGGGTGTAACCAGTCGTCAGGGAATGTTTATTTCCTCTAAGCACCTTATTTCACACCAATTTTTCCTTTTATTTTAGAAATTGTTTTGTGAGGTTTTGTAATGTGACCTTTCATCAAACCTCCAAAAGAATCGTAATACTTTGAAAATTTTTAAATACATGTAGGTATTTAAATTTTCAATACCTAACAACTTCTGATACGCTTAATTTGCTTTACGGGCACATATATATATATATATATATATATATATATATATATATATATATATATATATATATATATATATATATATATATATATATATATATATATATATATATATATATATATATATATAAACCTGCACATAATACGAACAATTCTTATAGAGAGACATGATAGTATCAATGACAAGGATTTCAACAAGCTTGTTTACTGTCGGCTTTTCCCAAATTCTTTGGTTGCTATAATGACCTTTGTAATCAGAAATAACCTACCAGTGGGTCGTATTTGGGCTAACTTGTTTCATAATGAAACATATGGAGATAACGAACAGTATTCAAGATCAAAGATCCATAAAACAATACAAAATAGGAGCAGAGCAAACACGGACCTCCGAAACATCAGAGGGAACAGGTGCCATGGAGGAGTGAGCATCCCCTGCCGACCGGTCACAACCGCCGTGTGCTCTTTGTCCTGTTCGGGAAAAAACGGAAAAATCCGTTGTCAATTCAGTGTATAAATAATGTACTAACAATAAGTATGAAAAACATCAGTCAGCATTTTACTCAATAATAACAATTTTTTAGTCCTTGTTGTAACATTAAATTTGACTGCTGAACATCCCCTTTACATGATCAATACATAGTACCTACGGCAGGTGTCACCGGTCAATATTTGATGCTTACTCCTTCTAAGCATCTCACCCTTACTCTGATAGTCCGTATTTAATGCCCTCTTTACATACATGTATTTGTATTGTTTAAATTTTTTTTTAAATTGATGAATATTTGTTTATTTTCACCTTTTACAATCTGTCTGCATCAGCAGTTACTGTACTCCTCCTTTTATATCACAATGTCCTTCTCTCCGTTTTCTTCACTATACATGTATGCAGTAGAATGAAATTTATGGAGATAACGAACAGTATTCAAGCTCAAAAGTCCATTAAACAAAACAAAATAGGAGCATAGCAAACACGGACATCAAAAACCTCAGAGGTGGGATAAGGTACCATGGAGGAGTAAGCATCCTCTGCCCACTGGTAATACCCGCCGTGTGCTTCTTGTTATGATCGAGAAATAACGGAAAAAATCCATCGACAATTCAGAGTGTATAAAATGGCCTAACAATTTGTAAGAAAAACATCAGACAGCATATATGACAACGATAAATTATATTTGCTAACAATGTCATCGACCATAAACCTTACGAAATGATAACTTTAAAACGAGACTGCTGATATTCTTGTTTCAGAAACCTGTTTTTCAATAATTCACATCGTTTCATATATTGTTTATACGTAGGGCATGTCTCGCGTATGGGACCAACTGAGACGAATAGATATAGGAAAAAACTAAACCATTCTTCCGTTCGATCTATCTGTCAATTTCATCATGTATCTCGTATGTTGTGACATATGATCAAACCAAAGATTGTTAATATTCTCTTGAACTGAAAGTTTGGAGGCTTTGGTCGTACATTTGTAAACCCGTGGACCCACTTTCAGTCGGTAGGCATTTTTCTTGTCGAGTACTAGCAGAAAGTCTATGCACCACGTACTCTGGTTGTATTCATACAAACACTGAATCATTTTCTATCCGTCCCTCTTTCCATAATTTGATATTTCGTAGAAGAATTTCCTCACATTCAGAATCATTTGTAACGTCTCTGCTAGAGAGAGTGTTTGGATATTTTGTCACGATATCGGAAAATCTCCGTGCCGACAGGTACTGTTTTCCTGGGACTAAATTGTTCGAGTTTCCAGACAATTGGTTAGCGTCACTGACAGAGTTTAATGGCGTTCCAGCATCATCATCAGACGTATAGGAATCTACAAAGACATGTTATACACTTCATGTATTTTTTGTTACTAAACGTGAGTACCTTTTAGTTGCAAGTATAAATTAAATAACTTTTGAAGGTCAAAAATAAACTGTGATTATAATGATTTTGTGTGAGAGAAAATATTCAAAACAAAAAATGAAGAACACCATCGTAAAAAGAGGCACATCAAAAAAGAAAAATGAAAATGATTTTCTTCGGGTGAAAATGTTAAAATGTAATTAATGAATAATACTGAGCGTTTAATAAAAATGCTTTTAACACTGAACCGTGTGTGGAGAAATTCTGCGCACTCAGTATTTTATTTGGTCAACCAAAGTTAAGTTTTACTAAGCTGCTTTCATTATTAAGAGTATAATATAGTTTTAAAAAAATGCGCTATGAATCAGATTCAACTAATTTACATGACATATATTAATACTTATATAAGTACAACTGTATACCTTCTACACTTGAAACAGACGAATCCTTCAGGTAATGAGGAGAGTAAGTAGGAGCACTTTGACGCCTCAAAAGTGGAGCTTCAGGACTCGATAGTGCCTCAGGTGGGACAATATTTACACCTGAAAAAAATGATTAAAAATATTTTATCACACGTTTAACTCGACAAAAACCCCTTTAAATATATTTTTTTTAAATAAATGTTAAAAAAAAAAATTCATATTTTTTAGGATACTGAATGAGGAAAAAATGACTATTTACGACAATGGTGTAATTTGAATCGCAATAGTTAAATGTAGATACTTCTAACACTTGATTAGATATGAAAATGGAATTCGAAATTTGCAAAATAAACCTGTAAAACGATACCTATATAGCCTTTCTTTCCGTTTAGTTTGGTGACAAAGGTTCGGGAGATCACGTGATTATTTGGCGGGAATCTAGCTTTGTTCATCTTTTGTATAGTCTCGCTGATTGTAATTAACTGCTTCATTAGATCCACATCCTGTCGACGAAGGTCAGTCTGGAAACGAAGCATAAGATTCACAACAAAACTGAAAAAATCTTAAATAATCAAATGACACGCATCTTACTCAATGGATTTAGATTTCTTTTTTTTTTTATTAGTTTAGTTATTTTAATCAATAAAGATAGGACTTTACATTACATAATTTAAGTCGATAACTTTTTGACAAAGATAAAAAAAATTGAAACAATCTTTTTCTTCGTATCAATAAATATAAGACACTTTCATAACTCCGTCTGATTCGGATCGCTGGTACTTAATTTAGACAAGGACATAACATTAAACGTCCGTCAATGATTACACATGAACATGAAAATGTGAAAGTATCCAATTAATATTAAGTAGCTTGTAGTCAACAAACCACTCTTATGACAATATGCGTACATTATTGCTACGTTTGATTATTAATTTAAAAGAACTTTGAAGAATAATTTGGTTATCTCTCTTTTTACAGTTTCACAAATCTTAAACCCACATGCGTACAAATACATACATATTATACTTATTAATGATCATACAAGAAATAAAAAAAATGACATAATTCAGCACTTGAATACTGTATATCAAAAGTTTAAAATTTATCTTCATTTTTAAGCAATTAAAAGTGAACCATTAACTCGAATTTTCTGTGACAAAAAATCAGAAAACTTACGAGATCTAACTTTATGGCCTCAAGTTTGTTTGCAATAGATTCCGGAAAGGACATGTCGATATATGCAAGGTAAAAACAACACAGCATCGAAGGCTATCGACACGATGAAAAAATTCATGTAACCAACATCCTCCTATGATAATAATAATAAGGCTAATTGGCTTCCGAAAACTGCTACCGGAACAAGCCACAAGTACTTGTTTCTTAGGTGCATTTGTGAAAATTAATTTTCAAAGCGGTTCAAATTGATCTCCTATTGAAATCTTTTGTAAAAATTTAATGGTCTGAAGTGTGTTATTTTCATAACATATTACATGTAATCTCACCCTTGCATTGAAATCAGTAACGAGTTAAGCCAGAGTAGTAAAGTCATTCATAAACAAGTTAAAATATTTCATGATAATCATTGAAGGTCTTTAGCTGTTTCCTTCAATTCGGCTTTGTCAGATAAAATGACAATTGATACTTTTAAATATCTTATTAACCGTACCTCAAATGCGAACTATCACCTTTGTTTAATCAGTGATATTGTATCTGAAAGCACCCTTTAGCAGTTATTTAAAATGATTAAAATATATTGTGGCGTCTGTATTCGTGAAACAAATGATAAGGTAATATTTGAAGAATTTAAAGAAAATTATTTCTCCATTGCAAAAACGTGAAAAGGGTGACCATAAACTCCAAAATTATAACGTCTTAATCTATTGTAAGACAAACATACGTACATTGGTTCCTAACGTCTTGGTCTAAGTGAAACATGATGCAGAAAGAATTTACCTTGAGAAAGCCTGTTGTCCTTTGAATTTTCATTCATAATGCCACCTCTTCTACAGATTTGTCATTTGAATTGCAATTAAATGAAAAACTCATGTACATGTACCAAAATCAGTACGATTGTCCACTAGAACAGTGAATTGTTTTTATAGTTTATGAATGCAATTACAACTTATAATGCACTTTCAAAATGCACCTTAAGTTAAACAAATTTTTAAGGCGTGTGTAAATTGTAAAGCTAAAAGAAGCATATTTAATTTACCATATGCCATTACTGATGTCAATCAGAATTAAAATATAATTTTAAGTTTTCTCGATATTTTAATTTTTTTGCTTATTTGAAGACAACCAAATATATGAGTACTCATAATTACAGAGATATCTAATTAAAAGGCAATGCTTACATTGTTTTTTAATGCCATCTATTATGCATACAAAATGTATATAGCTTCTTCAGTCCACGTTGAATGATATGCTAGTCTATCTGCTACATACGAGAAAATGCATTAAGGAGGAGGTATGTATAAAATATTACACAATCAAAAAATGAAATATCAATTTTCTAGCCATACAGAATTGAAATATCAATTTTCAATGGTTTAGCCATACACAATTTTGATAGAAAAAAAGAGTAGCCCATTATGCTTTTTTGTGAAATGTATCATGTTCATAGACAATAATTTTTTCCAATAGTTTCAACAGAGAAAATAATATTTTCTTTTAAATACTATGCATAAAGCAAATATCTAATTGAAACACAGACTGTAAAATAATGAATACAAACCAACGCACTATTTCTTCTGCTTAATATTGTGATAGAAGCCAATAATTGAAAGAGATGAATTTATAAGGTAATGGTAAAGAGTCGGAAATAAATATTTACAAAATATCAAGTCGAGATTTAATGTATGACAAACGGACTGCTAAGCAGTCAGTCAGTCAGACAGACATACAGACAGACAGACAGGCACCAAAATGATCAAAGAACCGTTTTGGCATGAGAATGAGTCTCTAATGTTTTCATAGCGAAAATGCATTAAGTATTTGAAAATCTTTTCTTTCCCTTGGTTTTATCAGTAAAACAAAGTTCATGATGAAAATAATATACAGTGTAAATCGAAATAAATTTTAATTATGAAACTCGTGTCCACTGTGTCAGCGTTTTTAACAATTAAAAGGGGCGGGTTAGGGTTGGAAGCTTTATATTTATTGTATGATGAAAAGGTATTATTTCTAATATTCCTCTCTGTTTCTTAAAATTTAGCAGAAAAAACAAAGTGCGTTGTAATGATTAAGTGTGTCTCTATCAAACTAATGAGATTCACGTCCCTATGGCTTTGGGTTTCTAATGTTAAGACGGTACTCTATATTCATTGTATAAAAAGAACACATTCAATTCTTTATTAAGAAAAAAAAATCTGTCTCTTGATATTTTGCAGACAAAAAATTGTATGATTAAATTGAGTAAGGATACCTCTTCCAAAGTCATGGTCCGTGAATCAGAGACCTAGCAGGGTTCTTGTGAACATGCTTTTTTTTCTTTAAAATACTTCTATTCCTGGATATTTAGTAAACATACTCGATAAAATAAATAGTTTTGATGAGCAAGGATGCCTCTTCAGAACACAAGCATACACTCAATATTGTTTGTTAAATGCACACACACATACACACACACACACACACACACTCTCTCACACACACACACACACACACACACACAGAGAGAGAGAGAGAGAGAGAGAGAGAGCAGATTAAAAAGAGAGAGAGAGAGAGAGAGAGAGAATGCAATAGAAATTAGACAAATAGTTGTAGATCTTTTTAGTAAATATTATTTGAAAGGATAAATATTAGCGCAAATATTTAATTATAATGAATAAAAACCAACACTCTATTTATTTTGCTTAACATTGTGATATACGCAAATAATTGAAAGAGGTAAACGAAGGAGCTGATGGTAAAGAATAGCAAATAAATATATGCAAAATATAAAATCCACACCTCTTACAGTTCAGGGTATATAAGTTATGACAGACAGCTAGGCAAACAGACAGACAGGATCCCAAAACCGTTCTAGCATGAGAACGAGTCTCTAATGTTTTATTGCAAATATGCATTAATTATTTGAAAATATTTTCTGTCCCTTGGTTTTATCAGTAAAACAAAGTTCGTGGTAAAATAATGTAAATTGAAATAACTTTGAATTATGTAATTCATGTCTTCTGGGTCAGAGTGTTAAATTTTAGGAATTTAAAGGGGAGATGGAGCTTTATATCTATTGTATGATGAAAATATATTAATGCTTCAAACAATTCTTCTATGCTTCTTGGTATTTAGTAGAAAAACAAATTAGGTGCATGATACATGTAATCATAAAGTGCGTCTCTTTTGAAATCAAGAAATTTATGTCCACTGAGTCAGGGTTTCTAATGTTGAGACTAATTTCTATATTATTATTTTTAAAAAGAATAATTTAATTCTTCAAAAAAAAAAAAAATGTCGCTTGATATTTTGAAAAGGAAAAAAAAATTGTATGGTTGTAAGGTGTAAGGATACCTCTTCCAAAGTTATGGTTCCGTGGGTCAAAGACATTGCAGGGTTTTTTTGAATATATATTGAACATGCTTTTTATTCTTTCAAATACTTCTAATCCTGGATATTTCGTGAACAAAATTGTAAAGTCTAAAGTTGTTCAATTAAGAGTCTGGTGTCAAGTAGGGCTCTATTGGCCTTGTAAGGAAAATTGTACTTTCCTATATTATTCACCTATAACGATTAATCATTGTTAAGATGTTTTTGACAAGGAATATTCAGAAAGAATTGTAGATAATTTTTTTTCTGTAAATGAGACGAAAATAACTTTTATTGTGAAATACATATTTCTCAGAGACCAGAAAGGCCATACTGAAAGGGAATGAAATGATTTTATCATGAACGCCATGTGTGCCCATGATTACAGTAGGAAATGCAATTTCATAATATTAGCACTGACAAACACAAGCAAAGATAATAGACCCACTTTATGCTTTGTTCCTGAGTACTGGACTATTTTATATTTTGAAGATCCCCGATCATCCCATTTCTTTCACTCTTTGGCAACATATCCTCACCTGTCGTTTTATTGTATTCTTCAAATATTTAGGGTACTGTATTGATATCTGTGATAGCTTAAGTCATTTTACCTCCCTTTAACAAAATAAAATATTTCATTTATTATTTTTTTGTTTCAATTTTCGGTATAATGGGTGTGACCGGTCGCCAGGTGATGCTCACTCCCGGATGGCACATGATCCAACCTTTGATTTTTTGGAGGTCCGTGTTTGCTCTGCTCTCATTTTTTATTGTTTTATTAACTTTGATATTGAATACTGTTCGTTATCTCCATATGTTTCATTCAATAAACTTGGGACACACATAGGATCGAAAAGCTATATATATATATTTGAAATCAATGTTTTGTGTTGAAAAAATGTATCGTCAAAATTTGAATTAAAATACATGTAATAACATTTTGAATACAACTTTATGGTATTTCCTTATTTGGTTAGCCGAGAAACAGTTGAAAAAATCTATTTATATTAAATAATCGTTGCAGGGGATCTTTAAACGTTGGCTAGTCGAGATACAATTTAAAGAGGAAAAACACCATTGGCATCAGTTGAGAACAGATTAGAGGAGATCGTTGCTGTCATCTCAACAGGTGTCCATCTGTCATATAGACAGTTCACTTAAGGACAAGATATTAAAGACTAATAGAGGTTATTAAGGAAGGCATAAGATCACGATTTTAGACATATTTTAAGTGGTCCATCTTTTACAAGCATTAATGTCTGTATAGAGGTATTTTCTAAAGTTAAATATCTAAATTGAATGTGTTTATATGCCATTTTTTTGGTTTAACTGGATAGGGTTTTAGGTCAGTCCTTAACAATACAGATTTCCATATAATTTTGAAATCCAGTACATATGATTAACTTTTCCATAACAGCTCTATTTATTACTGCTTCTATCAGAAAGCATCGACTTAAGGTAGGACAAAACACCCGTGGATTCTATTTTAACCCATTTCTTAAAAAAGTACTGGAGGAAAAAAAAGTAATATTACTATACTGTCAACAATGAATGATCCCTGAAAGAAAAATAATAAGTTTTGGCAAATTTGCGTTATATTTTGTAAAAAAAAAATCAGAGAATCCTATATATTGGTCATTTGGGAGCTTACATTTTGGAATGTGTTTACGCTATCTAAGTGCAATAAACAAGCATGTAACAGTCTGTTATGCAGTGCAACTTTTGTTCCATAAATAGTAGAGGGCTGATATTTGGACACATACATAAGGATTCTCTATTCGTTATGTACTACAAAGGTCAAGGTCATATCAAAAGGTCAAAGGTCAAATATTGTGACGTCATCTACTGAATCTTTTAGTTTTTTGCCATTGAATTTTTTTTAAGAGCATGTCTACGAGAAAACCATGCAAGAGGTTATGGGAGCAAGGTTCTCGGATCAACTTCATGTTTTGTATGTAAATTTCTTCTATAATATGAAATATTTTGCCACAATTTTTTTTTCAGTGTGGTCTCACTTAAGGAGTTAAATCGACACTGTTACTAAAAATAGAATTCTTGGTCCTTATGCAGGGTGAAAACAGGAATTTTATAGGATTTTATATTTACAAATTCAGCATTTTACTTGATAATGATTTAATATATCCATATATGGTTGAAAGTAACAAGATACACTTGTTTCGTTAAATTCTTCATAATCACAAACTGTGCCCTCGTTTAAGTGCAAAAAGGTCACGAATCTGGCATATTTCCAGATTTTTGAAAACTGGTGAAAATATTCACTTTTCAAAAACCTATAACTCAGAAAGTGACGCTTAGAATCAACTCAATCTCATACCAATTATTAGACAACATGTCTGTCTACATTATATAAAAAATCTGTCTTTGGACTCTCAAATATCTTGCTGTACTTTTTACTTAAAGTTGGACATTTTTTTGTAAATTTTCACATTTTCTCATCCCTGAACTTCAGCAAGGAGTTATTTTGCTGATTGAAATATTTTCAAAAATTTAAATTTTGCTGTTGAAAAATCCCAGTATATTGTACATTTTTGTTTTCAATCAATAATTATTTCTTAGGGGGTTAAATGGGGTTAATTTGGGGGGGGGGGTACCAGAATTGTATTATTTTACATTTCCTTTGAGCAGGGTGATATTCACATACTGCTTATACCTGTTTGTCAATCAGTAGACCAAGTGTGTTCTCTCTTATCTTATAAAAAAAACATTTGCTTGATAGATAATAAACATAGTACATTGGTACCTACTAATAAGTAGATGGCCCCTTTTAATTTGGAGTTCACAAGGTCAAAGGTCAAGGGTTATAATTCTCGATATACCAGTATGTAGATTTTAATCATTCAAAATCTTGAGGACCCATTGCTTGACAGACATCAAATTTAGTATACTGGTTTCTTGAAAAGTAGAGGACCCCTTTAGATTTTGAGGTCACAATGTCAAAGTCAAGGGTCAAACTGAACAAAAAGGAATATCAGAGCCATTTTCTTGACAGACATATTGTCATGGCAACAAACTCAAAATGAATGAACACAAAGTTTTAAAAATCAACAAATTAAAACATTTATAGTTTTTAATTTCATTGCAGATTAAAATTTGAATATTACTCAGTAACTAAGTACATTCAACAACAAAAAAAATTACAATGCTTGACTGCTTCCTGATATTTTATATTCACTTCCAAAATTAAAATGACCTTGAAATTTTGTATGCTTGAAAAAAAATCTACTTGCTCAAGTATACATCATGGTTCTAAATTAAGGTAAGATTTAAAAGAAAAAATCACAGTTTCCCCAAATGTTGACCTTGACCTTTGATTTTTTCTAACATAACAAACACTTAAAATTTACTCTGAATTTTTGTGTATTCCTGCAAGTGAAACCTGATACATCAAGATATTAACAATGTTTAAGTACATGTACCGATAAAATTGTATAAGTTAACATATATGAAATACCCTGAAATTTTGGCTACTAAACAAGCTTCTTCAATCATAAACTGTCTTTTTTTCTTCATGTTTGGTACACCATTTGGGTTGATCTTGAGGTCTCAAGCTTTCAAAATCTATAAGATGTATCCAAACTATTCTGTTCAGTATGACCCCATTTTCTTCCTATGTAGCATCCAATAACTTCTGGAGAAAATTTAACAAGCACTGAAATTTCCACTTCTGGTTTAAAGAACAACTGGACTGTCTCCAAATACACAAAAGTAGTACTCAAAGTATGTACCTGTGGAAAAGGACAGTTTTCAAATTAAATTGAAATAAACCATACTAGACATATTCTAAGATTTTTAAAATAAATGTCATGTTTATGATAATCCTACATTTATATTTATCAATTGAAGAAAATGTCATCAAATGACTTAGGAAAGATTCTTCACAAATTCTTCTGGCTATCTTTGAAGAAAACAATAGCTTCATATATCCTTGAGGTAAAGTAACAGAGTAGGGAAAAATGCATGTGGCAAATCAACAGACAGACAAGGCAATTCCTATCCATGTACTATAGTATACAGTTATGAAATGGGTATGAGGGAAATAGCAAATTTTTGATTCCCCGAGGGAGGAAACTATTTCCCGAAGGAAATAGTTCTCTGCCGAGGGGAACTTTAAATTTGCTATTTCCCGAGTTCCCATTCCATAACTTTTTTATCATATCGAAACAATAATATTTTTTTAACCACATATTCCGACATTTTAAAAAAAAACTGTAGAGGCATAATTACAAATGCATGCGGTTTAACACTTGTTTGATAAGTGAAACATCGTGTCCTTAAACAATTAAATTATTTTTAAAAAGTATTTTCACTGACATTTTGAAAAATTATCATTGTCTTCATTTTGGTAGAATTCAAGTATGATTTTGACATCGCACATCAAAATGTTTTGACGTCATAGCTACATTGCTAATAACATGACGTCACAGACTCGAGATTCCTTGAACGCTCCACCCACTGAACACTTTGATTGGTTAAAATTACTAATAAATATTCATGAGGGAGTAGTCCCAGGGAGTAGCTCTGATTTTCCAGGGAGTAGTCTTCAGATGAGGGCAATAGTCACTTCTCGGGGAAATAGAGATTTTTTTTATGGTATTAATTTATACAGAGTAATTACAGTAGAGGTATATATAAAAAACATGGTTACTTTCTTGAAATATAAGCGATATTTGGGTGAGGGTAAGAAAACGTGATAGAGGGCTAGGCTTTCCGAGCCCTCTTACGTTTTCGACCCGAACCCAAATATCGCTTATATTTCAAGACAGTTATAATGTATTTTGTTTATCCTGCAACATATTTCTTACATTTGAACATCCAAAACAAGCTATTTCCGACAGATTTAGGCACATCTCTGCGGTTGAAACTATGACGCCATGGCGTAAACATTGCAATATACGTGACGTCACAATGCTTTTGGAACGTCGGAATACATGCACGAGGCTTTATTAGGACAGTGACCGGATAAAGCTTTGGTTTATTAGGTTACCTCTATTAAGTCAATGCAAGGGGTAGTTGCAGGATAAGATAATATAAGTTAACACATATCTTTACCATTTTCTCAGCAGTGGTAAGTAATTGGTAATGCTAATGCTGCATCTGCATTGTCTCTCCTCTTCTTATTTCTGGATTCTGATCACAAAGCTACATTGGAAACCCTATGTAGTAATTCTTATAGCTCCACAGCTGAAAATCCCATTGTAAAGCCCAGCCCTAACCAGGGAAATGAATTTGAATAATCTGAAATTGCACGAGAAATATAAGAATGAAAGGAAATATTCTTTACAAAGTATAATTTCCCAGACTTATATTTATAATATTAGTTATGTTTTAAACACAAACCTGTCAAGGAACATATGGTGACCTTTCATTTGAAAAGTCTGCACAAGTATTTGACAACTCTTTTTCCTTTAATCATATATGAAAAGCAGAAAATCATACCTGTAGCCATCTTCATAATATTTCATAAATACATGTATCTGAAAAAAATATTTTGTTTAATGAGATTCTTTATCATCATGCTGCAGCCCACATATGAGGCAATAATGGTGATTTAATTGACAGTGAAGACCCACCTATCCAATTCATAATGTACCCTATTAGTAAACAGTCTTTGAAAACCCTGGACCTATTCAACTTTTCATTCCCTCTTCATCACCCCACAAAGGCTGCTTATGCTATTTATAATTCTGCAGATGTGAATATTTTGCAATATTGTTGAATTTATACAGATATTTTTATTGCTACATGTACAAGTACCAACCTTGAAATTTCTCTTAACGGGTTTGCTAGGTATATATTCAGGTCCAGTACTATCACTAGATTTAGCTACGTAGGTAATTTTTACAGAAATAAATTACTTTGGTAGCTAAATAAAACTACTTCAGGTAGGTGAATAAAGCTAATAAGTAGGTAAATCAAACTACGTATACAGCTAAATCTAGTGATTGTACCAGACCTGATAGTGTCTTGTAAAAAATCTTCTCTTGTCCATAATCAAGTCCCCAACAAAATTGTTTATTTATTTATTTTTTACATATCAATAAGCCTTTTTATAAGGTACATAGATAGTATTATAAACCAAGATCCACCTACCTGTTTCTTTTTCAAATTCAAACATTGTTGATTCGGTATCATCATCACTACATCCGTCTTGCTACCAAATGAATATTCGCTGTCAGAATCATATTCATTAAAATCAGAGCCAGAATCTGAAGACTCGTTAACAATTCACGCACCTGAATCTTCAAAACGGTAACAAAACGTCTCAGGATGCCACAATGTTTACACGTGGTTACGGAACCGTACATCGATCCCGATGGTTTTCATAATTGTTTATGCATTTTATACATAGGCCACTAGTATATACGTAACAAATTACATTCACAGGAGGGACAATTTTCTTCAAATCACAGATAATTTAATTATGCCTAAAACGATTAGATGACAGACATCTGTTTATAAACTTCGTAAACATAATCATTATCTACCTTCTCTACAGAAGAGCGCAGCAGGGGAGATAATTCTAACAAAATCTAAATAAATAGTAAAATACTTTTTTTTTCACAGGAAAAGCAGGAAAAAAAAATATTTATAGCTTTTATAAAATTAAAAATAATTTTCATTGTTTATATTTGTAAACAGAAGAATGAGATGGTTGGGACACGTAATGAGAATGCCCCAGAGCAGAATACCTAAAACAGCATTACACTGGACACCACCTGGAAAGAGAAAACGAGGTAGACCACGAACAACATGGAGAAGAACTATAACATCAGAGTTAGAGGAAATGGGTTACTCGTGGGGGCAGGCACAGTATGTGGCAAAGGATAGAGGAAGATGGAGGCAGCTTGTTGAAGGGCTAATTGTATTCGGCGCGTCGGCGCGCTCGCGCAACAGATTTTGTTTATAAAATTTATCGCTTATATGCATCGGGCTCGATATTTCATTTGATATTCCTCCTCTAATCAAAGTACTGAAAGTACTGATAGGAGTTGATTTTAATGACGGTTTCGCTTAAATTTAATGTTTGACACTTTGTTCACAACTTTTTCAAATTATGTTCGTTTATGCTTTATACATGTTCATAAGGAAGTTTCTGAGAATTAAATAAAAAAGAAAATGACACGATTCTACAGAGTCAAAAAGGTAAGATTTGTTATGATCGCACTATAACATTTGAATGATATGTGTAAGGCTTTTTCTCTGTTCAGTTTTTTCAATAAATTAATAATTAAGGTATTTTTCTGACCAAGAGTTTATTTAAAAGGGGTATTTTAGCAAAGCAATTTCTGTATCTAAAGCTAACCCCCATCCTGTAATAAGTCAAGTTAATTTTTAGTAGTACTTAGTATTATTATGAAACGTAACAAGGAATCTTTTTAAAACACTGATACCAATGCATGGCAGCTTATTACCATGAAAATCAAGTCTAAAAAAGGAGGTTACACTCTAGAGTCTATGGTGATAACGAAATACTGGTAAATTTTAATTTGTCACATTAGCCTCGTAAGCAAATCAGTGGCGTAGCATCGTTTTTGAAAGTGGGGGGGGGGGCAGCCGGAGGAGAAATTTTTTTTTACTTATCTGAAAAAAAAAGGAAAAGTTGAAAGTTGCCCAAACTCGAAAATCCTATTTCTTGGAGGAGGGGGGGGGGGGTAAGAGGCTAACTTTTTATCAGTGTCAACTACTATCAGTACCAATTCTAATACTTCATTTTCGGTGCATCACTATAACTGGGGGGCCAACCAAGTTTTCAATTACCATTTGGTAATAGGTAAGGTTGGGAAAAAAAGTGGGGGGCCAGGCCCCCCTGGCCCCCCTGTTGCTACGCCCCTGCAAATTGAAAGTGTGTGTGTGGGGAAGGGGGGATGTAAGGAAAAAAATTCGAACCTGAAAATTCTTAACAAAATTCCAAGATTGTTAAAACTCAAAAATCTTTTTTCGTGTGTGTGTGGGGGGGGGGGGGGGATCGAACTTATTACAGTATTTTTTTAATTTTTTTTGTTTGTTTTTAACACTACCACTCACCCTTCTTCGACTACACTGCAACGTTCCTGTTGAAAGTGGAAAGGTGGGGGGGGGGGGGGGCTACGCCCCAATGTTTAATACAGGTCTATATGATGTCTATCTTTGTAAGCCTAATCCCACTCTCCCGGTTCCGACACCTGTGTGTAGTACATAAAGTAAATACAGTGTATATAAAAACAGAGAGACTTCAAGAGAGAGATTGAAAGTAGACCAACTCAAAAAATGGGGTAAATTACTCTTATACAAATTGTGGTAAGACGTGAATAAATTAAAGGGGATCCCGATTTCTGGAAAGTTGATATTTAAACTGACATAATAAAATAATACTAAAGCTATGTCTCGGATCTCTTACCCTTGCGATTCGAGCCACCACCAACTATCGAAAATTTTCTGGATCCACCTAACAAAATAATTACAATCGGGCTCGGGCTGTCGACTTGAATATAAGCGATAAAGCTTAAATTGAAAAGAAAATCACTGTCATTAGAGTGTTTTAAAGCAGGGATTCTCGAGAAAATACTTATGTGATATTGGGATGAGATGGACGCGCTAGCGCGCCGACGCGCCGAATACAATTAGCCTGTTGAAGCCTTATGTCCCATCGGGGACGAAGAGGATAAGTAAGTAAGTAATATTTGTAAATATTTTACACAAAATTCATTGAAATTACTGTTTAAAGTAAAACTTATAAAATCATGAATTTTTCCATCATTTGAATTTGAGGTAATTTCATTACGATATAACTTTTCTGTCCTTGAGAGTCCAAAGGTGGATTTTACATATTGTTGGGATAGTATCCTAGAGATTCTTAAATGCACAAAATTCTGAAAAAAGAAGCGTCACTTTCTAAGAAATGTATCCCTGAATATTAACAAAAAATGAACCATTACCATTTCTTGGCACCATGCCAATATTTGTGCCCTCGGGACAGCCTTCTATATAGGGATTTTACAAAAAAATTGACTCCAACTTAATTTTACGACTTATTTCTATGAGAACACATTGCCCTTTTATTTATATATTGTTTTTTTTCTTTTTTATTTTTAAATATTGAAATTGTCATTTTTACACCAACTTTTTTGCATTTTCCCTTGAATATTGACCAAAATGAATTATTGGCTGTTACTAAAAATAGAAACAACCGATGCAAAAATAAACAACATATTTCTGACTCTCAATGGGTGTCCTTTAATTTAAGAGTCAAAATCAGCAAGCATCGAGCATTTAGTTAAAAAATGTGGAAAGTGGCATAGAAACAGATTTGGTTAAAACTCATATATAAATTTTCAGAACAAAGGGTATAGTAGAAAAAAGCAAGCCAAAAATAATTTTTCGCATTGTTGCTATGGAAACCACGCGCCTTTCAAATAGCGTGTTTTGTACTTTATCATGACACTTGAATTTATGGTTAAACAAATATTTTTTTATTACTAGACATTAATAAAAGCTTTTTGAATTATTATTCTATTTATCTAAAAATACTCTATTTTAAAAACTGTTGATTATTAAAATTCTCTTCACCTTTTGATAAATAAAACTAGTTTTTGGAGGTTTATTTTGATTTAAAAAACAGCAAATTTGCAGTACTCTATAAGAAATCTACAACCACATTAAAGCTTATCAACATAAAATATATATTAAACAGTATTTGTCCTAGAAGAATCAAGAAAAAAATCTGCAGGCAACTAAAGCATTTATATATGATAACTGATTTAAATCCATAATTTTCTGTCTTTTTTGCTTCAAATTACCTCCCTTTGGTATAGCTCTCTAACATAGGAGGAATAAACGGTAGTTTGCTTACATTGTTTTCAATAACAGTGTACAGAAGACTAGAAGAAAATTACAAACTTGGAGCAGTCTGAGCCTCAGTTTTGGCGTTTTCATGAGTCTTAATTACGGTTAGTGACTGAATTTTTTATAATTTACCATTACAACAGTTTCTGAAGAATTAATAACAAAAATTAACCATGCAGGAAAATATGTAACACTTGGCAAGTGTTTTTTTGCACATTTCAATTTAATTCTGATTGATTATATATGTTAGCATTACTTTAGTATTTTATAACTAAAAAGAAAAGATTATGCATGGCCTGAGGAACCAAGAGGAGGGGGTATGCACCTCCCCTCTCCCCGATAATATTGCCGATATTAAACTATAATATGATAAAATGAAATTAAATTCCCCAACTTAGAGTTAGATTGTTTCTGCTGGCCGAACGTGAAAAAGTTGGTCATGATCAGTTACATAACTGTATTCCAAATTATAAAGTTTTATTTGAATTTAGTTTAATTTTGATTTGTTGTATTCACAGCATGTGTGTAACCAAGTCACTAACCAGCTATAATGATTATAACTTGAGTGATGGTCGGGTAAATGAAAATTCTGTATATAGTAATAGATATCTTTATTTACCATTTAAGATAATACCTGCTTTTTACATAAAAAATTATGAATTTATGAAAATCAACACTATTATGAAATATTTGTAAAATGACTTTTGTTATGACGTCGTAAAAAAAGAAAAAGGGACAGGGGGTTAATTCTGTACTTAATATATTTTAGTTTAGGAAAGGGGATTACCAAGTGGAAGTATTGTGATACAGACAAGTATATAATGTAGTGGACTAGTGGTAACTGAATTGTATATATACCACAGTAAAATAATAAATTAAAAAAAAGGTTTTTGCTGATGTCATCCAGTGTTTACTTATGAAAGAAAATTCATATTCAGCTAACATTTTCACCGGTACCACTGAACTAATTTAAGTCAACTAGGTTCAAATAATAAGCATCATTCGAATTACAGCACATAACTATACTCTATTTTTTCTTGGGGGGGTGTTATTGGAAAGAAATGAAAACCACAATTTAGAGTTTTGACAAAACCTAGAACCAATTGACCTTTTTATTACAAGTTTATAAATTTAAAGAATATCTAAATCAATACCGTCTCAACTTTGTGTTGTATACTTCTGTTTTTAGAATGAAATTCGCCACTTTGAAGCCAAACTCGGAAAGAAGCAGAAACAGAATTGGATGAGCTGATAGATAGAATTAGACAGGAAAAACGTGTAAATAATACATTTAGTAAAAACGTTAACTTTTTAAAATAAAATGATAAACTAAACCATTGAGATCTCTTGGAATTTAATTGATTCCAATAAACATGCTTTGTATTCATCATCATTGCTCAAGCTCAACTAGAAATGATTCTTAGTAAGTATCTGAAGGCAAAGCTGTATAATATTATTACATTTTAATTTCATCACTTTTTCAGATTATCATTATGAGAATACATCATTACAGTACAGACCATTGATGCTGGAAGTGAGTGGATAGTGTTACCGGAGACTCAAGGATCCAGAAAATAGATCCATAAATTGTACAGTGTATTCATGAAAGTGGATCAAATAGAAATGTCCAATCCAAAAGTAACGTTCTTTGTTTGTCTGTTAGCATTTTTTTATTGATGTAAATCTAACAAGCTAATTCAGAGAAATTGTGTCCCCCGCTTAGGGAAAAAGTAAACCATGCGCAATTCGGGTGGGGGGGGGGGGTCGGATCCCCCTAATTGAATTTGTAGAATTTTTAAATGTATACATGTATACTGAAGCAAATAAAATATGTCAATATTGATATAATGATTTAATCATGTGTATAGAAGATTCTTTTTATGTGGATTATTAATCACAACATAATGATTTTATGAGTTTGTACAAGCTAGACCTCATAATTTTTTTCATTTCACATGCTGAATACTATCATTTAGTAAAAAAAAAGAATTTCGGAAAAGAAAAAAATGATCGTCCGAGAATCGAGCCCGTGACCTCTCGCATGTGAAGCGGGAGACATACCACTGCGCCACGGAACTGCTGTACAATTTCGACAATTATATGCAAATATGAAGTCACATACATATATATATTCACGTTTGATATCGTCAAAAATTTACACAAAACATGGTGTCTAATTCAACCTTTATTAAACAGTTCTGGTAGATGTGATAGGAATATAAATTCTGCCGAGAACCTGTTTTATACGGAATAACTCTCCTCATGCCCCTGTGCTAAAAATAGCGACATGTAATACTATGAATACTAATAAAACAAACGGGGCGGGACACTTTGAGAGAGGTCCTAGGGAGTTTTGGTATAAAATACATTGCATAAGCTCAAAATCTTCTTGAAATATCGCCCGGAAATGAAAGTGTTACACACAGAGAGAATGTATAAATTTACGACCTTTAACTTTGACCTTTTTACCTCAAAATCAATAGGGGTCTTCATAAGGCCACGGGGAGTTGTTATGTAAAATTTCATTGTAATAGCTCAAATGGTTCTAGAGATACTGTGTGGAAAGGAAAGTGTTATAACACAGAATTTGTTTATTTATGACCTTGACCTTTGACTTTTTGACCACAAAATCAATAGGGTTCTTCTTTAGTCCATAGGGAGTAACTGTTGCTATGCTAAATTTCATTGCAAAAGCTCAGAGGGTTCTCGAGATATCGCGTGGAAACGAAAGCGTTCCAGACAGACAGAAAGACGGACGGACGGAAGGACAAACTCGGGAGGGGGGGGGGGGTGTGCGGTTAAACATTAGGGTAGGTCGAGAAAAAAGTTGGGTGGGGGATGTCATCCCCCCTACCCAACCCAAACCTGATGCTACATGCCTGATTGACATGGTTTTACTTTATAATTATGTGAGCTGTCATAGTGACTCTCTTTCATAAACAAGAATTATTGTGAGCAAGCTAATAAAATGATACCAACCCTCCTGCTATTGCATTAAATGTTTTTTTTATTACAAAAAAGGTCTAAATACTAATTTGAAACCTTTTTAAAATTTTGCTAGTGCAGATATACATACCAAAATGACTATGACAAATACTCAAGTCATAGGTAGTAAAACCGTTGTGTTGAGCACAAACTTCCAATTTCCCTTCATTCGAAGTTAAATATGTAAATGTGCCAAACTCATATAGTATACTTTTACTGCAGTGACCTTGAAAAAGCTATGTCCTTGAGTCAAGGGCAAACATGTTCAAATGAATTTTGGTCAAGGTAATGACAAACCTATAGCTTAAAAATAATTCCCAAGATGAAACCAAGTCTTTTCATTAGAATGTTACAGAATGGGCAAAGGTTGCACTTTTCTTCTACCAATGACCTTGAACTTGTTCAAATGACCTTGAGTCAAGTTTTTGACACATCTCTCGATCGCAAGCAATCTTAATATCAAGTATGAACTTTCAGTGGCACTTCATTGAAATGTTATGGACAAGTCAAAATTTTACATACATATGGATCGGTGAACAAGGTGAATCCTACCCCCCCCCCCCTTTTCCAAGTTTCGTTTGTGAGGAATATAAAATTCCTTTTGAAATTAAATGTGCATTTATTTATTAACAATAGTAAAGTTATGAGTATGCTTTGATCAGAACCAATATGGCCAATATAATGGACGCTGAACATGTATTCAAATTACCCCACCCCTTCAAAAAAGCTTATAAATGCCAGATTTTCACACATTTTAACCATTTGTAACTTTTTTCTGCTAAAGTTGCCTGCAAATTTTATTGTATAGATATGACATATAGATAACCCCTAACAAGATCATACCATTCATTTTTCCAGCAGTGGTTGTAGATTTTGTGAATAAAGTGATAAACATATGTAACTTTTTTCAAAATTAATAAGCATTGACACCATGTTCTTTTCCCGTTGTCATGGCAACAATATCACTACAGAAATTTTGTTTTTCCTATTTTTGGAGAATAAAGTAATTCCATCTTTTAACAAATAAAGTAACCAAAATACCTTATCTTATCACGTTCAGAAAAAATATTCGTAGAAAAATGTCTAAAAATCATTGATTTTCATAAGGATTTATGAACCCGTTGCTAAGGAAATGAATTTCCTTGGATACCAGTCCCTTGATACGTTCGAAAAAAATTTTAATTGTGTTTTAGCATTAGGTAAGACAAAATCTTTCATATACCAAAAGCTTTTGAAAAAATAAAATTTTGACTTTCCATTCAATGCTCGATGCTTGCTGATTTTGACTCTTAATAATAAAAATTAGTTTGTTCTTGAGAGTGCCTACCAGAGCATTTTTCTATATATCTGCATGGTTTTCTCGTAGACAGGCTCTTAAAACACCAAAATATCTGAACCACCGGTTCAATTTTCTTTATTTTTACACATTTTATTCTAGGACCCATTTGAATCATTCTGTTAATTTTTTTTAAAAAATTGAATTATACATTTTCTCTTAAGAAAACTTAAACTGTCGGATATTTGCATGTGTATTTTCAGTTTCTGACACAATGTATGTTCTTTTTTACTGAATATTTTACCCAATTTTTCTAGTATCAATGTGACTTACTATTAAAAGTAACAAAAAGGTTATCTTTATTAAAAGTATTACACAAATTTGCAATAGATCAATAGAAAATTCTAAAATAAGGCTCATTCTCAAGTCGAATGCCTGATTTCACAAACTTCTTACAGGGGTCTGAAAGGCCATATTTCAGACTATGTGGGCAAAAGAAGTGCGGTTGAATTTCTTTCATATCATATATAAAGAGAGATTCTGTATCCAAGAACAAAATATCAAAGTTTCAGAAAAATTGAATTTGAGCAAAAAATTGACCTATCTATTTGGTCCTACCAAAAGTGAATGGAAAATAGAATTTCCCGAGTCAGTTGAAAAATCTATAGGGATATATTCCTTAAAAAAGTCTAATTTTTGATACATCTTGCCCCCTTTTTTTAAAACTTACAATCTTGATTTTATACCTTGAAGGATAAAAGAAAAATACATGGAATCAATATCAAGTATTTGTTTTCTCTCTGACAACCGGAATATCTGTTTAATGAAATGTTGTGGTATTGAGACCACAATATATTACATTGTCTCGAATATTTACATCGAGCAAACAGAACTGCTCGAATTTCCTCTGAAGTTGTTCATTGCCTTTTCATGGCTAATGTCACGAAGAGCTCAGGAGAGACAGGTACACCAATTCGGAGTGTCAAATAGTTGATCAGGATCATCGGTCAAGTAGTTTTCTCTGAAGCAAATCACAATTGACAGGGTTTATTTTGCTTATCATGCAATTCTTTAGATCTCAAAAGAAAGACTTCTCATTTCACAAATTGTCTTTTTTCGTACCCCCTTCAAGTTTGACAGAAAAAAAAAATCGAAGTTTTAGTCTGTCGTTATTGCCAGTACTTCAATAAACTGTGGTGGTATTTTATAAGATACTTCTCAAATAACAGATTTATATTAAGAATATTTTGTTTAATGATGTATTTGCAGTGAATCAAAGGATTAAAGGTTTGTGCAATGTGGTGCAATAGCATTTAAAATTTTAATGAACAAAGAATATCAATCACTGTAGGTTTTGTCAGTTTCATAATTGTGAAAAGACTGAAGTACGACCATGTGCCTATCAAATGTAGTCTTCAAGTATGAATTAAAATCCTTTAAAATGTTTAAAATCGTTTAAGCCCGTAAAGAATAAAACAAGTTAAATTTGACAATGTTGGTTTCAAGATAAAGCCAAATATGATTAGACCTCCGCCAGGAAAGCCGATAACTTTTAGAAGACGAAACAGCAGGAAGATGTCAATATTTTTCTTTTTTATTGACAGTTTAAAACATTATTGAACATGTCCTAAGGTTTTATTATAAATTGTATTGACTTTACTTTAAGGGGGCAATTATTTGTTACATCGTACCAAGTTTGTGGTAACACTGCTTTTCGAATTGTCATGTAAAACTTACATGTAATTAACTTTATTCTTTCTTAAGAGTTGACGCAGTACGATATGAACCTTTTTATTATGGCTTTATTTTCTATATCAGGAAAGAGCTGTTCAGGAAAAAAAAATTACATAACAATGTGATGAAGGAGAATTTTATGAAGAGATTTTGTTTACCCCTTTTGTAAGTTTGGATGAGAACAGTGGTTACTGAACAAAGGGGCATATCTCCGAGATAAGTCTAAATAATGTTGGATTCAATACTGAACTTTCAAATACATAAAGGCCGTGTCACACTGTCACGATTTATGCTACGATTATCCACGGATTAAGAAAAGTTAAAATCGCCGTTCATCGCCAGGTTTGTCTTGCGATTTTTCTGCAGCGTTTGGAATATTTTGCTGCTAGAATGGTGTGTCTGCGATGTCTGTGCGACAAAGTACGAGGTTTCTACGATTTAAGTACGCAAACTGGTTACGATATTTCTACGATTATGAGCGATTAAACGCGGTAAGATACGATACTCGTACGAAGGACTACGATATGCCACGTTTCATACACGATATTCCCACGACTAATGGCGACTTTTTACGAATATACATGTAATGGAATGCATATATAGAGTAAAGGGAGATTCTGATATCATTAATCATCATAGTTATGTTATTTGATAAAGGTAAAAACTAATGTGGAACTTTTGATTATGTTCAATCTCTTCATATGTTTATTGTACACGGTGTTTATAGTATCTGTTATACAATAGTCATGTATATTCAATTTATTTCACTTTCCTAAGCTTTTTTTCCTTATATTTTTAGCAGTATTTTGATTTCAACAGTGTTAACATCAGGCACCGTCTGCCTACATCATATTAACTCGTAGTTCAATCGCACGGTGTTCGTACAGCACTTGCCATCAATCTTCCTTTTTCGTGTCATATTCGCGGGAAAGTCGTACTATGTTCTTATCAATTCGAAGAACGCTCGCAGTATCTCGTCGGACACTCGCAGTAACTTGAGAGACACTCGCACAAACTCGAAGGACACTCGAAATAACTCGTAGGACTCTCGTAGTGTCGCGAGTACTACGAATTCCGCGAATGTCGCACGAACTTCGAAGATTTACTACGAATATGAGTACGAGTGCAGTGCGGATGCTGTGCGATTGTCTACGAATAATAAAAAATCGTACTGTGTCCACGATTGTTTTGAACATGCTCAAAACAATCGCCAGGTTTGGCGATTTGCTGCGATCCAACACGATAAAGGAAGATATCCTACGAGTACTTCTGCGATAAATCCCGATTTGCTGCGATTTTTGAATTCGTAATGAATCGTAGCTATAAATCGTGACAGTGTGACACGGGCTTAAACCTTTGTGCTTAGAGAGAACCTTAATCTACCTATATTGGGCATTTACTTTTCCTTGACTTTACTAGAACAAAGAACCTCCACTGTTTAATATTTTGCGTACATGTATAGATCTAGTATCTGGATTCTGTCGTCGGTTCAATGTTATATTCAATGTTACATACTGTAAACCAACTTTTTAGCGACGATTTTATTTCGCGATTCACCGGGGGTAAACTACTTCGCGATGATTAATTTTCGCGATCAGGTTTTGGATATGTTATAAATAGACACAAAGGGTTTAAGGACCGGCTGACGGCGAAAAATATTCGCGATGACGAGGATCTCGCGAACTTCGCGAATATTTCTCGCTCTCGAGTAAAAATTGGTTTACAGTATTACAAAGAATACGCCTTTGAGCAGTAAGAATTTTTTTTCTTGCCAGCACATACCGAAACGCAGGACCTCGTTTATACAGTTTCATCCGAAGGATTGGTCTCCATGTGCCGCAGTCAAAACAGTAACGTAAGATCCAACTCCTTACACTGCGAAGCTAGAGCAAACGCTATTACCGCTGCAAAACGCATCGGCCGGATCATTTTAATTTCCTAGTATTTTGATTTTTCTAGAAAATAACACTTGATATTTCTAGGCATTACTACATGTTATTAATGCATTCGATTGAAACATTCCAAAAGAGCAAAGCAGTTCTTTTTCAAACTTATGTGAACTTTTAAAAAAATGTTTGCAAGCAATATATTGTAATTCTTCGAATGCTACATAATTTTTTTCCCAATCTCAATTCTTTTTATATCATGTTATGGGGTTCAATGTTTGTCATGTATGATTGATAATGATTGACGATTATTCAATCTCTTTTCAGTAGGCACAATCTTTAACACGACTTGGTATCATAAATTATAGAAAAGAATATAAATTTATGACGTTTTTGATAAACTTACTGTACATGTACATTGTAGTTCGTGCGAACGAATGCAAAATGCTTTCAATATCCCCTTTTAACCTATTATCACATTCAAATCACATTTCAAATCGGAACAGAGGAATGAACATACCACTTTTGTAGACAGTATATGTATTTATAGAGTATTTTGCCAAATTCATGTATCTTATATGTTCTTAGTTGGGAATTTAGAACAAAGGAATCTTGAGAATTGGTACATGTAAAGGCTATGAGCATTTGGCGTAATAGGTTTCTTTTTTAAAAAAAAAATAAAATTTATTTTTCGCTGTCCCTTTTATCGCCCCTCACCTCACGCAACACTTTGCTCAACGATGCTTGCGTCTTTTAGATTTGGCTTTAATATAAATAATCTGCGAATGATGTGCTAAATATACTTTTATTTTCTTGCATTTCTCTTTTTTGTATGTATATTCTAGTTCCTATAGCAGTTAATATAAACATAAATTTGATGTCAAATACATAGACATTCTTCTAGAAGTGAAGAATTATAAATGCATTTGACCCCCTTATGCAAAATTCATGTGTTAATTAAAATAATATTTGGATTGAAATGATGTACTCTAAAGTTGATGTAGAAAGATGCTTAGATTTTTAGTTGACAATATCTTTAAGGTATTTTGAGATTGGCTTTGCAAACAATACGCAGGACCTCACAAAGGTAAATGTTTGAAAATCAATTTTAATTGACCTATTCAAAGGAAGTAGAATTTATTCAAAATCCCAAGCCTGGGAAGAAGAAAACATTTCCTAAAGCATTCGATTCGATGGTTCGATATATCGACATCCATTCTTTAGATAACAACAGTTACTTCTATTTAATTCATTTCGACTCGATATATGTATATCAGTGAGCTTGAATTAAAAGATTCTGCAGTGCTTAATATGTTTAGCACATCAGTATCATGGTCGGATATTAACCAGACACGGACGATGATGGTAACCTTACAACAAAGCTTTATAAAAAACATGATGGCTTTAACTTCTCAATCGTGAATCAATTCCCTACTTATATGTAGCAATATATACTCTTTTTATCTGACTTGCAGTTTAGGTGTCTCAGTTGATTCTGTACGCAAGGGTATACTCTACGTTTAAGTACGAACAATCTCTAAAACGAGATAGGCTACTGACAAAAACATTGCTGAAACGAGAAAACCAACAGTTCTTTGTTATAAACAAGGATGCTAACTTGTCAGCAAATGCAATCTTTTATACTGAAAATTTTCTTGCTATTTTTAAAACATTATTACACACTGTATTGTCTACGGATCTTTTGTTAAGTTAAAGAAATCAGAATTTGCTAACATATTTTCATATCAAGTATGGGCTTGTAAATGATATTAAAAGTTCCTCTTCATTTAATTTATTTCTGCTTCATAAATAATAATAAACATCAATTGTCAACTAATTAGAATGTCACACATTGGCACAATGGTCTTCCGCTTGACGTTACACTCCACGCGAGACTTCCTGATCACCATGAATAATGACCTCTAAAACTAAGAGCTATCTTTAATAGTTCTTTATTGCACTGTATCCTTGGCAGTAAGTCTTTTGTACTGATTTCAACTGCAAATTTACAATTGGGGTTACTAGCACTGTAAGATAAAATTTGTATTGACTACATACATTTTCGTCTAAATGCACTGTCAACTCAATTCATGTAACACCTGAGGCAGTTAAAAAAACCACCCATATGTTTACTGGAAATCCATGGTCATTCAATAGAATTAAGCACATAAAACTATGCTTAATAACATAGTTTTTTTCAAAGAAAAAAAGTTCACATCTAGTCTATACTTTAGTGCATTGACTCGGTCATGATGTCAGACAGAATTCCTTTAATGCTCATGAAATCTGAAAAACAGCCTTCTGATAGTGTAATGAAGATATTTCACGTCTTATGGTGGCACTTTTGTTGTGAATATTTCCAGAGTTTGATATTTGTCATTAAAATCCCCTCGTACTTGCTGTCATCTGGTTCATCTTCATCGTCCGGAAGCGGTGTCATCACTGCGAGAGAGTGGGACTTTGGAATTGTGGGTATCGGAGGTGGAAATGACGTCAACGAACAATTTAAGCAATCATCAAGCTCTTCAATTGTTTCTTCGTTGATGTCTTCAACAGAACTTCCAATTTCTATAAGGAAGTAGAATATTCTGTGTTAGAATAGATCTGGTCATAAACTATGCATATTAATTATATGTGTACATATTGATAAATATACTCTGTTAAAATAACAATCCTAAAGATTAATTTTCTACTTTTTTCCAACTGGCACTGGATTCTTTCAAAAGTGTATTCAGTAAGACTCAGAAAGCTGTTAAAATTAATTTATTTTCCACTTAATTCTTTTTCAATATTTTACCTCCAGTGGACTCAATGGACCCTGTGCTGTTGTTTCTGTGTAGCTTGTTGTAAGATGGAGCACTCTGTTGTCTAACTAAAGGTGTGGTTGTAGCATTGAAGTCGGCAGTGGACATTATTCGTGGTTGTCTATTTGGAGTCTGATGACGGGACTTAGCTAAACTCTGGATAGATTCATTTATTCCTATTAGCTGCTTCATCAATTTCACATCTTGTAACCTCATTGCTTTCTGCAAAATTTATAAGATGTTGTGTTTCATTAAGTTTTTATGTTTCTAATATATTTGTAAGAAGACAAAAAATGTGCAGATTTCAAACAAGATTTGTGTATTAGAAATGAAAATATTCGTCAGGATAAGTTTGAGCATGATTTTAAATATTTTTCTTTTGTTGCAAAATTTAACACTGAACATTTGTAGCCCTGTTTAAATTGAATTAATTCTAAAACAGCTATTATACACACGGAATAAACACAAAGGTTGCATTCAAAGGTTGGGGGGTACAAGAGGATAAAAAGTTCCCGGTGACTGACTCTAAACGACCAATTAATGGCCGAAGTTTGTGTTAAATTGTTGATTTCTATACATGTAGTACAATGTGAATAACGGTAAAACTCGAGACGAAGATCCTCTGGTGTGAAAGATGTTTATGGTAATTTACGATAATCGAAGTGAAAAAAGTATTTTGATACGGTAATTTTAGCTTTACAGCATTTTACCATTAGACTAGACAAGTAACCCTCTAACAGAAAAGTAACGTTGAATTATGATGTGGTTTTGTTGCTTGTCATATTTTTTTCTCGAGACGGTCTATTTTGGGGGAAATAATTTGTGTTGTTTTATTACATTTTCAGTTATTTTTCAAAAATTACAGCTAATGTTCACTATCTGTAATATATGATAACAAGTGTACTGCATTATTATATGAAAATAATAATTATTTTTAAACGATTTTAATTGAAACTCTAGATACGTGTGAGGGGTTTTTGAAGAAATATAATTATCTCATACACGAATTTAAATTTTGAATGCATTTTACGTAATAACAGAGAAAATCCTTGAAGATATTTCGACTTTTTTCATGTATAGCTTAATCGTGTGCATTTAATAAGGCATGCATACACAGTACTGCTGCATTATTGCACAAATAAGAAGTTAGTCTGTGTTATTGTGTATAGAAAACTTTACATGGTATTGTGTTGAACCTTTTCTTTACCACATGTCGCGACGGAGGAACTGTTTAGAAATTAATAACCCACTTTATAATGATGCCACAGGATCTTAAAATTTCATTCGAAATCCGTCATGTCACATTTTAATCTACGTGAGGTGTAATCAAACAAAGTGAAGTAATCGTGTTGGAAATAAAATTGAATTGTTTGTATATAAGATTACTTTAATTATATTTCGTGTAAAGATATTTACGATTGCTTTTTTCTTAATAGTTCAACTTGCATTTGAATTATGAATGAGAAATTAATTGCCATTCTCCTCACGTTGAAAGCTGTGATTTATGTTCAACATGATACGAAGAGCTTCCTTTTTTTATCAATGGACAGACAATACGGCTATAAACATGATAAAGAATAGATTTATTTGATTGTTTACTTAAAGATGAAAACTTATCATTGATCGATTGATAAAAGATACAATAAAATGGTTGTTTACTCTAAAACAGGTCATATCATTCAAGACGTTGCTTCAAACAACATAGAATAAAGATTCTCTTTACATCAATTACTTGACGTTAAAAACTGTCAGAGATTTAAAACATAATGTGATTGAACCTTAACATATTTGATTCATTAAATTATATATACATTGCGATCGCGATTGTATTTGATCATTCAGATCTCTACAGAAATAGAAATATTTTGTTTTGTAACAAGAAAGAAAAAAGTGATGAACATATAACTTTTGTCATTAGGAAATAAAAGAAATCAGGTATTATGCATGTATACACGTACATAGAAACACTAGGAAAGTAAATTACCATGGTGTCAAATTTCATAAATTAAAGTAAATCAAAAGTTTTTCCAAAAATAAATCAAGTTTGCAGTGAATTCATGTACATATTGTCATATTTTTTCTCTAAGACTTACATGTAATTTTAAGTTTTAAAAGGAACGTTGCTTGCATGTCCTCAAACTATTTACAAAACTTGCACCATGATTGAGTAGTTACTGAGGTCTCTTTAATATTCTAAGTCATAAAAATTCAAGGTATCAAAGTACTAGCATTTACTATATAAATAACTGCAGCTAAGTATATACTTTATCATACTAAAAATAATAAACGGTAGTAATTTTTTTTTTGGCCAATGGCGAATGCTTTAGAATGTTTATTTTTTAGCCAATAAAGAATTTACAGTAACTGTACAATATAGAGCAAATATATAAAATAATGGATTAAAAACAGCAATACTAAACATTAATTATTATCTTAAATTTTTGTTCAGAAATTGAACTTAATGCTTTTAAATGTAAAGATTTAGAAATCTCAAAGAAATATGGGCGTCTTAAAAATAAATAATAAAATATTAATGTGAATACAATTTAGAAGAAATGAATCTTACCAAATCTGCTTTTAAAATTTCCAATTTTGAGGAAATTCGGTCTGTAGAAGACTCCATTTTATCGCAGTGTGCACCTGCATAAACAGTTCAATACTGATATCGTCCAGGGTTTATCTATTACATTGCAATCAAACTTTGTGCGGCGTTATCACCTTTAATTTAACTAACAAACTAGTCTTTTTCGGGCATGCTCGCACTTATACCACCTGTTTTCCATGATGATTGACAGGTTATAAAAATAAACTTTAAAACCGACGTTACCTGTGCAGCCTTCACTTTTAAGCCAGTAATTAGAGTTAATGGGTCGTAATTGACGGAATATATACGGATATATTTTAAATTCCCACCCTCGATAGAGTAGCTTGTATATCTGTAGTCCGGCTTTTGAGGATTTACTTATAGGTGAGATGCAATAAACCGGCTGACGAAAGATGCATTAATTACATCAGAGAGGATATATCGTCGTCAGTTTTTCAAGACATACCTCAACAGAAATTAACTTTAATGTTTTTTTTAAGAAAAAAAAGGCAACGTCCGATTTGGTTGATTTCATTATATTTCAACCCTCACGAACCTTTACTTTGTGATAAGCACACAAACAATAATGGACGAAGTTCAGGCATTTTTATCCAGAATTACGTGTTCTCGCTATTTTTTTCTCTGAAAAAATATATGTAAAAGGTAAGAAAACGAATATTGATGGATCTAAAAAAAAATTCAATACAACAATCAACACAGCAATACAAATATACAAAGAGGGCAAATAACATGGACCCCTGGAATTCCAGAGTTAGGATAAGGAACCTTGGTAATTCCAGAGGTATGATCAGGTGCCTAGGAGGAGTAAACATCCCTGTTGACCGGTCACAACTGCGTTGAACACAATGGAATTTATTAAGTTCTAAAATCAATACAAAAACAAAGGGCTGACATGTAGTAATTGATATGAAACAAGTCATCTAAAATACGACCTAATATCAAATAGATTACATTCCTTTACAAGGTCATTATAACAATCATTTAGAATTTACAGAATGACAACTTAAAACAAGGTCAACTAAAATCAACTTTATGGATTCAGGAGGTAGTATACTTCGCTAATTATAGTACTTAGGGCAAGCACTTTTGTAGCTAAAAAGCGGTGGGCATAAACACAAAAGTAGAAGTCATCACGTTTATAATTATAAACCAGCTTAGTTGTAAGATTAACAATACATGTAACATCCTTCTCTAGTAAAATAATTAGATATGAAACAAAGAACAAGGTTCACTTTTGCCTTATTTGGCCCTGTGAATTTCTGAAAAACTGAAACTACATAGTTTTTGTTATCAATGCATTGAATATCTTTGGTGATTTCTTAACTATAAAAATGACGTAATTTTCTGATAGTCAATGCATTATGAAGTCACGAAATGCGCCAATTTCCTCACATTCTGAAAAAAGTCTACAAAATCGGCTAATTTTTAAAGCTATTTTTATTTAAAATATTTAATATAGAGCGCAACCTCTGATCTAATATATGCAACTAGTAAATGATAGAACTGTTTTTGAGGATTAAAAGACATTTTATTATTTTTTAGATCAGAGAGTGTGCAAATATTATTTTTCTTCACTGAAAGTACTCATTTATACCTGTTTGCCTAAAAATTCAAGAACATTGCAATTTTATGAAGCCAGTTCTCCGAAACAAGGACCTTAAGGAGAAAATGTTTAATAGGATATGAAAACATTATGTTTCTATTTTATTTTAATGCTTCAAATGAACAATCAAGTGTTAATCAATCAATTGGTATATCTACAGGGCCATTTTTATAAAAAATTCTGTGGCATCTTTTATTTTAAGCTCACCGAAATATAATTAATCGAAATATGAATGGAAGTTACATTTGCTATTGTTTATTACTTGATAAAACATCATCCAGATATATTAATGTCGAGTTGAAAGCTAGAGATTCTTTTTTTTCTCTCAAGCATATAATTTTGAATACATTCTGCTTCATATGAATAGAAAACATATTTTTCTAATATTTGGACCCATGGAAATTTTGACAGGTTGTTGGAGGACCTGATCTCCCAAAACTATAAAGATATTGTCAATCAGCAACCCAAGCATCTTCCAATATCAACTTAAGTATTAAGTGAAAATGTTTTGAGATTCATTTTTTAACTGAAAGGCAGCTATAAATGATGCCAAAAAGCCTTGACTTTATTTTCTTGGGAAACGTAAAGGTGAAAAATCTTAAGATTACTTTTGTTGTTTTTGATTTAAGTAAAGATTTGGATTTCAAATCTCTAAGTATCCACATCTATTTTAGATCAATTCTCGAATATATTATTGTACAGTACTCCTGATGTTTCTCCTTCACTATATTAGCAATCACGTTTAAATTCATCATTTCGTGAGTTCTATGGTCGATACAATGACCTTGTCAGCAAACACAATTTATCATTGAGTTATATGCTGACTGACGTTTTTCATGCTTATTGTTAGTCCATTATTTATACATTGAATTGACAACGGATTTTCCTGTTTTTTCCGATCATGACAAGGAGCACACGCAAGATGTGACCGGTAAGCAGGGGATGCTCACAACTCCATGGCACCTGATCCCACCTCTTATGTTTCGGAAGTCCCTGTTTGCTCTGCTCCTATTTTTTATTGTTTTATGGACTTTGATATTGAATACTGTTCATTATCTCCATATCTTTCACTTCTGTTAATATTTTTGTTTTGTGTAAAGAAAGAGGCTTGGTAGACATTTACTGCAACCCGTTTTGAAAACTTGTTTGCAGGGACATAATGTCATTTTTGAAAGTAGGGGTCCGGCCAGAGAAAACAAAAATCAGCGTCTTTCTGATATAGTTAACCGAACAAAATATTAGTTGAAGTAATCAAAAGGATCGTCTCTTAGAAAGAGCAAAAGGTATCAAGTAAAAACGAAGTTCAATGGGCCTCTCTATTATCATTATATTATGCAATTGCAGACAGTTTTAAGGTAGGGAACAATGGCTCGGACTGTATTAAACGTCTTTTGTGTTTAATATTGCATTTTTTTGAGTGTGAATATTTCCTATTTTATTTACTTAAGCAATTAAAATAATCTTTACGGCGATACAGAACTTCATTTTTCTCCGTGGGAGATTATTTTATTATGGCTTCACAGAGTAAATTGGCAGAACATGATCTCGTAACCTGTTACACGCTACCAAATCTTAAATAAATATCAAATACACCACTTAGGAAATTTAATTCAATTTAAAATGATTGCACAAATTGTTGGCACTAAATCTGAAAAGATAAAGATTTCATACTTGTATTTTATTAAACTTCTTTTTTCACTCGACTAAAATTGTGAACATGCATTTGAAAGCATAAAAAAACTGAGTTAATTATTAATTATAAAACTTTAATATTTCAATACAATACAATAATTCGTCTACAGCTTTTCAACGTCTACATTTAATTAAACGATTGTTACAACGCACTTTTGAAAAAATTACGCACTTTGAAAAATTTTTCAAAGTGCATTAAATTTGGGACCAAATCAATGTACTTTGAAAAATTAATTTCTTTTCAAAGTGCGTTAATATCGACCATATTAAGGCACTTTGAAAAAAAAAATGTATGGCATGGTCAATATTCTTCCAATTCTTAGGTATGATAAATAATTGAACCTTTTTGATAACTTTTCAGTAATAGGGTCACTCCAGGATGTGAAAGAGAGCGATTTTGATTTTTCTATGCTTTGAAAATTTTTTCTCTCTGAAATGTTTTACTGTACTTAAATTTTTCAGTTTGCATAAATTTTTTGTTAAATAAATTTAATGAAAGTTTTCAACGTCATAGTAGTTATGCAGAATAACACATATATTTGGGTGTAGCATAAGTATTGGTACAGGTGGGGGGAGGGGTGGGCGGTTACGCACTGAAATGCATGTTTTGCATTTAAAGAAATACGTATACATATTATAGGCATTGAAAATTGTGTTCCACTTTCAATTTGCTACCAACAGCGATGTACAGTGTATAAGAAAAAAAGAGAGTATAGAGAGTATAGACCTTCTACCCCTCTTCACCTTGTTCTCAATTAGGGTAAATCAATACATGAAAATTAAAAAAGGTTTTCTTTTAAAAAATCAATTATTACATATTGATTCTGTTAATTACTACGATCTAAGTGTAATTTGTTTATACATATTTTTCAAAGTGCGTTAAAAGTCCGCATATTATAAAATTTTGACTTTGAAAAAAAATTTCAAAATGCGTTGAATGTGTCCCAAATTTAACGCACTTTAAAAAAATGTTCAAAGTGCGTTGATTTTGTCCCAATTTTAACGCACTTTGAAAAAAGAATTTCAAAGTGCGTTGCCACAAACGATAAAACTTGTCCAGGGTTTGCTTACTCCTCCTTTTCTCTCTCTCTTGAAGTAAGTTAAATGAAAAACAAACAAAAGAAAAGAAACAATGATCTATTTCGGAAGCTAATTCGATAACGTTATTCTGTGATCAACATCTCAACTTTAAAACTTGTTTGAAGAGTCTTTTGAATCTTCTTAACTAAGTTAAATATGTCTAGATAAGAAGGTTTTTTTAAATAAGAGTTTACATGAATGCACGTACGTTTACCAAAGTTCTTTAAAAAAAAAAAACGGTTAAAAAAGTACTAAATAATTTTCTACGTGAACTAATTTCAATATAAGAAACATCAATGTTATACAAATAAAATTTGTTCAAGCGTGCACACGTTTGAAAACAAAGTAAAAATATAATTGTTTCTTCTGTGTTTTCTTTAGACTCAGTATAATCAAAGTACCGATAATAAACTTTGTGTCTTCATAACTTCCTCTGTAACTCCGACTCTGCGGATAGTCGTAGTTTACGGAGAAAAGCAAGTGACTGCAGCTGGTTTAGCAAGATTTTAAATACAACACAAGATGAAGAAAAAAGAACAAATATAAGTTGTAAATCTTAAAGGCAAAAAGGAACATTTTTGTTTACATGTTCAATAAAAATATAGAAACAATTTTTTAGTAATGTTACGACAAAAATTAACGTATCATTTAGATTTATTTCAGAGTTTTTTAAAAATTAAATCATCAGTCAATTTTATCTCTTATCTTAAGCAACATTTAAACTAATGTGGACAATTTCCATTCCATACAATTTCTACCAATCACAAAAGAGGAAGTAAAAAGTTCTAAGGCGATTTTAAAAATACTTCAATCTGTATACTTCCTTCCAAAGGAAAAAGGCTATTTCCTTGATGTCTTTTGCGATGCATTTAACATGCACATATATAAACATTGAATGCTGTACAAAAATGAAATAACAATAAAATGCTGAATGTTATTTATACAACTATTTGTTATGCTATATTTGATCTGGATTAATTGATACACAGAAATCAATTTTAAATTAGCAAAATTATAAAAATTCAAATATTGTAAGATTTATTTGACAAGCCTTAAATTCTTAGGGAAATATCGATTACACTAGAATAAATTTTGACCCAAAAAGAAATTCTTATTGTTCTTTTAATCTCATCATCATTCGCGTTGATTTCATTACATGAAAAAATGATCCTTTCCAGTGGTACCAGGTTAATCCCTTGATTCCAACACTTCCATACAGTCCGTTCAGATTGCTGATCCCACAATGTGCATGCCACCATCCACTATGCCACATCGTAGCACAGCCAACATCTGCATAATTTTCAGGATCCATGTCATACGTAGAAAAGTTAAATCCATTATGACCACTTAAACTGTTGGCTGAAAAAAAAATCAAGTGTGAACATGTAGAAGTTTTACTCATCAAAATCATTATTAAAATAGATTAGTAACTTTGAAATGAAAAAAGGGAAATATTATTTACACGTGTAAGTTATTTCAGTAATTTTCAAATAAAAATGTAATTCGTAAGTTGAATTCATGTGGTTCGTTCGTATTTATTCAAACAATTCTCACTCCTACAAATACAATTCCAAGTTGTTATACTATACTCCAAAGCACAAGCACAGTGAAGAAGTAAAAAAAAAAATTGACTTTTCGATGACAGCATAAATCAATGCTTAATTCCTTAATACAGCTTTTATGTATAAAAAAAGACAGAATTGAGATATGTTTCTCAATTGAAGTAATACATTTAATACTTTTCCGATCAACAAAGCTAAGATATTGCTTTAAAGTCATGCATCTATGTGACCATGTTAATATCGCTATTGAAAATATCACATTCAACGTAACCATGTTTTCAAATCAACAGGAACGTACTAGTATATGATCCATCTGCTTACTCGCATTTCCAGTATATCCTGTGACGGTTAAAGTATACAGAGAATCGGGGCTGCCTACTGAGAACTGGGAGTATTTGGCATACCGATATTCTCCTGCTTGGTCCGTCAATTCAACTCTGAGCTCAAAATTTTTGTCCTTAATTATTTCATGTAGAGCCAGATTACCTAAAATACAATAGAATAAATTGAATATATTTTTAAACAACTGCAAATATGCAATATTTTTGCTGGCAAAAAATTCTAGCATTGATTGGATACTATAAACTCAAAATGAAATTAATTTAAATTCAAGGTTAATGCTCAATCATATACTGAGGCTTATCAATTTCAATTACTAAATACACTAATTTTTCTGAAGTAAATACTTGTTTTAACCATTCAAATACACTTTAAATGCAAGGTAATAGGACCACAAGGTAAAGTGCATCTCTGATAAAAAAATCCTTCTTTGGTGATACATACAACACAGGATAAACACCCAATTATAAGGACATATGCAACGTACAAGATTATCCAAAAGTAAGTGGGAAAATTTAATTAAAAAAAAAATGAAATCTACAATATATAAATATAGCATGTAGTTGAGTCACATAACATTGACTTACATTGAAAATTTTTAACCCAGGCGCAGTCGAGGTTGACAATGGTTTTCGAGGGGTGAAAATTTTCAATGTTACACTCAACTACATCCAACATTTATCACATTATACTGAATGTTTTATACAAATACATATAACAGTGAACCGTGCACGCATAAATTCTGCGCAGTCGCTATTTTTGGAATATCACCCGAGGTCAAGCAATGTTGACTGTTGCTGTTGGGCGTGGCTTCATTATTCAGCAGGTAATAGTGGTTTTTAACAAATATTTCTCAACCAATCGGATTCAACAAATTTACATGAAAGTATAATATTGACAATTGTGTCCGATTATATCCTGATATATACCATGATTTAGTACATATATATATATATATATATATATATATATATATATATATATATATATATATATATATATATATATATATATATATATATATATATATAAAAACAACGTCATGAATAGGGATGTCCTATTTACATCAAATAACAGTGGTTTTCCACTTTTTATTGTGTCTGAAGCCTTTATTAATGACAAGTCATCACCTTCAATGTCTGATATGTCAGAAAATAAAGGATTTTTTACAAATAATGGAAAAGCAAGTTATTCAAAATTTGCATGGGAGTTCTTAAAAATCTCTACATCACTCTCTAATTCCATCATGCTAGCTGTATGAAATTAAGGGTAGCGATGACCTAAATTGAAGACTCGGGGCGTGTCATACGTGAAGTGTATTGTTCTAATACTTAACAGGACTAACCATTGCATATCTATTGTTGTTATATAAGAATGAAATCTTCACTGGGGCTCACACAAGGCGATTGTAAATAAGTAAAGGATAACATTAATTAAAAGGGTACATTCTTTAAGACAAAACAGGTGCTTTTTGAATTTTATCTCAATATTTAACATTTTCGCTTTAAATGTTTTAAGTAAAGTCTAAGCCTCAAACGAATCAAGCGGATCATTATGAAAAATATTGGACCTGCTTCGGTGCTTGTGCGCCTTAGCGAGTCCAATATTTTTCATAATGAACCGTTTTCGGCTTATATTCATTACATACTTAATATATAGAATGACAATTTCTCGAGCTCACTGTCTCGGTAATTAGGTGAAAATACAGTTTTCGCGGATAAAATGTATGTAATTTACTGTATTTACGTATGCAATAAATATATCTTGAGCCATTCATTTTGACAAAAACGCCATTGTCCACGAACCTTTTGGAAAACCCTCGTGCGTACTCGTATCTTACAAAACATCTCTCCCACTGAGACAAAAAAATAAACAAACATTACCATAAGTTCTGAACAGCTATTATATAAATAAATGAAAATCCTTGTGTTTTTCAAAGAAAAATAAAATAAAATATAGTTTAAGCTTGTATTTTTTGAAAATTGAATTAGAAAGGATAAACGACATCATTTGAAATATGAATTCGTTCAAAGGTCGTTCAATTATTCAACGACCTTTATTATTCAATTAACTCTAAAATTATACAGAGAATATGTAAATAATGCTAAAAAATACTTTGCTTGTGTCCTTTACATTGTTACTGACAGGTACAAATACGTGTCTTACGTTGAGAGTATTTTATATTATTTTAGACTGTGTATACCTAAATAAAACTCTGTATCCAGAGCCCCAAATCCGTCGGAATACTCTGTCCAGATTCTGTAAAAATCGACACTTCCGTCCCTTCGTTGTTGAAAGACCTTTCAGTGGAATGTTAGTGAAGAACGTTTATTGAATATATATATATATATATATATATATATATATATATATATATATATATATAATATATAATTTTATATTTTATATAATAAAATAGAGAGGTTTAGCAAGCTTACTTGTACGAGTATGTGTAAGTGTAAACTACAAGATAGAATTACACGTACACGTTACCATCATTTTTCTTCTTTAGCAAAGTATAACTGGTAAATGAAAAAGCGGTTTACATTTAAAAGACATCCGAAACAAAACAATTATTTTAATCCGTATTTCACCGTTTTACATAAATATATGCATGTACTAATGAGAAGAACATTTTTCAGAGCTCTTATCTTTTTAATCGGTCAAAGCATGTTTCGAAAATCTAGATGTTGTGATTTTAACTCTGATTTTAATTTATATTTTCAATTAGTGACGTTCAGTTCTTTTAATCAGTATTTACATTAAATATACCGACTTTAGAAAAACGCAGACTTTTTAAAAAATAAAAAGCAGTTAAAGAATTATAAGCTACAAGTTTGGACTTACGTGTACTTGACAATATACACGTAATAGGATACGTGTAGATATTTGTAATTAGCAAAAGTAATGACGTAAAGTACAGATTTCTTGTGCTAAACATTCACGTACGCGTACACGTTGGTTTGCCTAACCTCTCTAATAGCTCGCACTGCATCTTATGAGATAATAAAGTTGAGATTGAATTCAAATTTAACAAAATTATTTATCTTAAATTGTATCATTTGTTTTTATTTGCGAACCTCCAAATTACACAAATGTTAAAAAATGATATATACTCACAATCCATCGCCCTCCATCAGTTACCATATCACAAAATAGATTGCGTGTTTTGCCATTTGTAAACGTTCTCGAATATTCATATGAAGATGTGGATAGATTAACCAAATTTCCACTGCAATCTAAAATCAACACAATGGATTTTTAATATATACATGTATAATTTAGTGTCTTTCTAATAATAATACTTATCTATGAAAATTTAATAAGACTTGTTCATAAAGAATCTTACCAAATTTAAAATGACATCTTTCTCCTCCACGATTTTAGGACATCTACATGGCTGTGTAAATTCTCCTTCACACAACTGGTTCTATATATTTTTGTGAAATAAATATCGGATGGATATTAAACAGTCATAAAGTATACATGTTATGACAATTCTGATCATAAACTATATTAAATAAGTATTTCATTAGATGTATACAGATTAAAGACATTGAAAATACTTAAAGAGATAAATTATATGAATTAAAAAAATCCTGAAAAAAAAACGGAAAGGAAAAAACAAATGCATACTCAAATGAATTTATGCTTAATATATTAAGAAACATATCATTACACACAATTTATTTAAGATTAAAATCAAAAGACGTCTAAGAACAATATAGGTTTGAATATTTATTGAAAAATATTTTTTTTAGAAAAAAAAAAGATTCGAAATTAAGAAACAATTTCAAATAAGTTAATTATGACAAAAATCTCACTAATTTGTAGCGTCCACATGGCCCGCCAACTGCCTCACTGGTACTTGATTTGTTTTTGTTGTACTGGTAGCAATTCTCAGTAATGCTATTAACACAGAAGTCGAAGTAATAACAGTTGCTGTTCTGTATACACGAGGAAAAGCAATGGCTCACTGTCATCTCCTTACTCGCAGAATCAGCATGGACTGGAGTGGGAATATGACCAACAAATTCGAAATGAGACTCTAAGTATTCTCCATTATTGAATGCAATAGCAAGTAGTAAAGTTATGTTTGCTATTAACTGCATTTCGAGTACTAAATAAGCTTGTACTGCAATTTCTTAAATGCCTGATTACTATGATATATTGACTTTTTTAATTTGTTGATGAACAAGAAGTTCTTTGACTGCAGCGTTCACTAGAGTGTCAAGACTTTTCATAAAAGGTGATTATATACGTAGAGAAAAAAAATCTTTATTTTCATTAAGATTAAACAAACATATCCATTAATTTCAGCCAGTCGATGGTACCTAAATAAAAACAATGAAAATAACAAAAAGTGATAGATTTTTTACAAAACAAATTTGTGAACAGAGCATTTAACACTGACTCTAGGAATTTCAGTTGTGTAACCAGGTTTTAAGCGTCACGCCCTCTGTTTGCCTTATCTTGTTATAAGGTAAACGGAATAATTAGTAATTAAAATTTGGTATAAAATAATTGTTTCCACAAAACATATCAGACAAAACACTATCCCAAGAACAGGTTGTCTTTACAAACAAGGTAATTTTAAAGACCAAAGAACTATCTAAATATTGGCTTTAAACAGTTATTGAAATCCCTCTAATATAAATTATTTCCTATCAAAAATAACCCTTAGGTATTTTTTTTTATGTATTCTATATAAATAAAAACTATTTTATTGATTCAATAAATAATTATGCAAACCAGCTGCAAAGTCAGATACATTTAATCACGTATTGTTTCCATTATTCATTAGGCGTATACGTAGTCCTTGAGTTTAGTAATATTTTACGATGTGTAGAATGATATCGATGTTACTAAAAGTTGGAGTCCTATCTTCAAAATCTAAATCAGTGTTCTTTTGTTAATCGAATTAATTTAAAAACTACATATAAATCGCATTTCTAACACCGAAATGTACATGGGGGATTATATGAATTATATTGATACTAGGATCTAGCTTTAATTTATAAAACTATGTTCAAATTTTAAAGCACTTTCCATGGGGACCTGAATCAATTTGTATGGTGATGGCTTGATATCCAATGACAAATTTATTGATGCGCACAAAAAATGGTATTAAACTTTTTTGAACGGAGGCAATAGTGAATTGTATTTACAGTAAATACATATACAGTAAATAGTAAAAATTTGTGAAAGAAAAAGACGTATTGTAGAGATTTTATTGAATATTTTTGGAACTTCAGACATCCGACAACTTACTTCTTATTTTTCACTTACGAGAACGCGTCAAAAAAGTTATTTGAATGATATATCTATGTATATTTTATTAAACGCGATAATCACATATCGTTCTTATTTGCACGAGATATAACAGTGTATATATAAGACTTTAAAGTCCGATGGTCGGGTCTCGCCAAATCCCAAACTCAAATGTATAATATATATATTAATTCCTCCAAAAATTACGTAGATATTGTTAATCAGCAACGCATGTATCTTCCAAAATCTACTTAAAGGTACTTAAAGGTACTTGGACACAGATTTGAAGTTAATATTTTCTCATTTTTTCTGTATAATATCACGAATTATATATTTTAATAGCATTTCACACAAAAATTAATTAAGAATCTTATTTCATTTAAAAGTTATTAAAACTTTAAATTTTTTGGCGGGTTTGATTGACACATCCTTGCACTTTCACAAATTTTAATTTTATTCTTAATCCTTAGGAAAAGTGGCAATTTTGATGTGTTTTAATGAGAAATATTAAAACTTTTATCAAGAAAAATGATTTTATTCAGAGCAGAAATGTTAGAAAGCAAAACACCTTCACAAGTATCGTCATTCCGAACTAAGAGATGCGTATAGAGTTAAGCAAATCGAGCACACTCACTCGTGTTATGTACACAGTTTTTGTAAACAGGGCTCGAGTTCTGTTATTGTTTATATTTAGAATTCACCAGGTGCGTTCAATCGTCACAGTCTGCTTACCACAACTGCATGGACTGACAATATATTGTGTGTTTGTTTTGCTTTCGAACGTGTCTACTCTGAATTTTCTGGATTATAGTATTAATATTTTTCATTTATACAAAACGAGATTGCCACTTTTCCTAAGGATTAAGAATAAAATTAAAATTTGTGAGAGTGCAATGATATGTCAATCAAACCCGCCGAAAAATTTGAAATTTCAATATCTTTTAAACGAAATAAGATTTTTAATTAATTTTTGTATGAAATGCTATTAAAATATATAAGTCGTAATATTCTAGAGAAAATAATAACTTCAAATCTGTGTCCAAGTACCTTAAGTGTTTATTGATAATGTTTTAACAAAATAATTTTGCATAGTCCAATGAAATTACATGAAAGTAAATTAACAATTTCCATTTTTAACTGACAAGCAACTATGATGTCAAAAAGCCTTAACTACATTTTCGTTGGGGTAATTAAAGATGAAAAGTCTTAAGATTATACTTTTGTTGTTTTAGATTTAAATAATTTCAAATTTCAAATTTTAAAGTATGCATCTCATTTTTATGTCATCTCTCGAATATATTATTGCACAGTACTCCTGATGTTTCTCCTTCACTGCTGTTGATATTTTTATGTGGTGTAAAGAAAGTGGATTGGTAGACATTTACTGGAATACGCTATGAAAATTTGCCTAATTGCATGGACATACACATGTTCAGTTCAGTTCAGTTCAGTTAATTGAAGTCGAGAGACATACATCTCATGGACAATATTTACAATCACACATTTTGTCACATTTAATAATAAAATAAACATACAGAATACATCTTTCAGATTTCAGATGTATTCTGCTATGTATACCACAAAAGCGGAAAATGTTCTAACCAACAATGTCACTATAAACACATCTGCTTTCAGTGTAGAAAAACAGACTCAGTCTTGTGCGGCACAGGGGGAGATAAAACAATTACAAAGGGCACCGGTACCACATCCCAGCCTAAACAAACATCAATCCCCCAAAACACAAACAAATAAAAATGTAGTAACGCCAGTTAAGATATCCATTTTAAGGCAATTTCTCAAAGGGTATGAAGACAATTTGAAAATATATTTAACTGAGGGTTTTCAATATGGCTTCAAGATACAATATGAGGGTCCAAGGCAACAGCCCTTTTGAAAGAATTTAGTTTCGGTTAAGCAGCATGAAAATATAGTTTCAAATAAATTACAAAAAGAAATTTCCCTTGGTAGGATTGCTGGTCCCTTCAGCTCACCTCCTTTTACAAACATTCAGTGTTCTCCTATTGGAATTGTGCCTAAAACAGAAACGAATTTCAGCTAATTCATCACTCCGGATGGACCATCTATAAATGATTTCATCCATGATGAGTTGTGTTCCTATACAACAGTAGATGATGCCATTAAGCAAATAAAGAAACTAGGAAAACACTGTTTGTTAGCAAAAACAGATATCGCTTCGGCATTTCGCATATTACTGTTCATCCAGACAACCATGAATTTGTTAAGGATTTAATTTAGGGGGGGGGGGTTATTATGACAGGTGCTTGCCCATTGGTTGTTCAATATCTTGTTCGATTTTTGAGACATTTAGCACTGCCTTACAAGGATAGCTTGCTCAAAAATTGGTGTAGCCAATATGCTGCATATTTTGGATGATTTCTTAATTTTAGGCCCACCTGCTTCCCTAGTATGCAATTCAGCTTTATGTCAGTTCATTTCAATGTGTGAAGTTTATGGGTTACCTATTAAATGTGAAAAAACTGAGGGGCCTTCAACTACATTAATCTGTTTGGGTATAGAATTAGATACTGTGAACATGTAAGCTAGATTACTAAGAGACAAAATAGAAAAAAAATTAAGAATGCTCTGCATTCTGCTAAACGACGTAAAAAGATTTCTCTGCGTGAAGTTCAATCTCTGATAGGTCAGCTAAATTTTGCATGTTGTATTGTTGTCCTGGGTAGGGAATTTTTACGGCGACTTATTACACTCACCATAGGTGTTTCAAAACCACATTTTCACATTTGTCTGAATGCACAGGTTAGGTTAGATTTAAGTGCTTGGTGCGAATTTATTGAGAGTTTTAATGTGAAATCAATGTTTATTGATGACCATTGGCAGAATTCTCAAAAACTCCATTTGTACACAGATGCTGCAGGAAAGTTTGTTTATGGTGCTGTTTTCGGTATAAACTGGTTCAATGGTACCTGGGAAGACATGGGTTTAAGACAGGACTACAACATCACTTTTAAAGAGTTATTTCCAATAGTTTTAGCAGTAGATACTTGGGGAGATGCATTTGCAAACAAATCAATTCTTTTTCATTCAGATAATATAGCTGTAGTAGAAATTATAAACAAAACTTCTTCTAAAGACACCTCTGTTATGTGCTTAATGAGGACTTGGTGCTCGCTTGTTTAAGGCATTACATTTTATTTAAAGCGGAGCATATTCCTGGAAAAATAAATTTCTTACCAGATCTACTTTCCCGATTACAGGTGCAAAAATTCCTTGGGTTGGCACTATACATGGACCGATTTCCAAATACTGTGTCAAAGCAATACCTTCATATTTGAATGAGACTGCGTCTAAATTGTTGAAAGCCTTAGTAACTTACAACACTCAGCAATCTTACAAGATTGCTTTGTCTGTTTTTCAGAATTTTTACAGAAAAGTATTTCACACCAGGCCTGAATTTTATACCAAAGTAGCACAGGTTAGTTGTTTTTTGTCTTGGCTCCATAAAGAGGGAAAATCCCAACATACGGCATTAACAGTTATGCTCCTGGTCGGTCATATAACCACTGACTAAATGGTTTCACAGACCCCACACAATTTCGTACAATCAAAAAACTAATTAAAGGTGCACAACAGCTGTCAAAACACCTGATATCACGCTACCTATCACACCTCAAATATTGCGCAAACTTGTACATGCAGTTAAAAACACAGTCTCCGAAAAATTCAATAGGCTTCTTCTTATGGCAATGTTTACTCTGAGTTTCTTTTCTTTTCCTACGCATTGGAGAAATAACAGCAAAATCCCCCAGAATCTTGTGGACCGATGTGTTTACTAATAGCTACCCAGAAATATAAGTCCATT